GCCTCGTGGTTAATAAACGTTTCTATTGGTTAAATAGTGACATCTGATCGTCAAGTTTTTGTTTCGACAAACTCGAGGTATGGTCGGCGAAGAATAATTAACACGTTACATACCGGGATGACTAAAAATTCATCAAGTATGATAATCAAAAGCGTGGATGACAAATATGCAAGAAAAGAAGCAAAGCATATAGTGCAGCCTAGAAAAGAATTTATCTTTTTCAATTGACCCACTAAAGAACAGGGGCACCCAACGAGAGTATAGTTCAAAACCGCTTAAACATAGCATTGTTAAGCGTATTTTAGTATTTAAACGGTAGATATAGGCATATTTTTATCCCCTAAAAAGTTTTCATCTGTTCGGATTTTCTAGCTGAAAGTCTAGTGATCCGAAAATTATAGGGATAAAAACGTACCTTTTCGAAAGTTTTAGCCAGAAAAAAGACTCCCGAAAATTCTAGGTGACCCTTTCAGGGTAAAAATCCGTTAAAAATGGGCAATTATACCATTTTTTAGACGTTCGAAAATCCTAGGAGAGGTAAACAAGCAAGAATTTTACCCAAAAATGTTCCGAAATTCTAGATCTCAAATCGTCTTCCGAACAGATATTTTGCGAAAATTGACGTTGGGTGTTGGCCCCTGTAAAGAAGAGATCTGGAGGTCCAAAGATCTCTTAAACAGCGATCTAAGTTAGACTTCGTTTAAACAACCGACCCTTAGTTTTTGAAAAAGGAAAAACTGAATTTTTTTTCTTTTAAAAAACAGATACGTGTGTACGGGGTTTTATTTTCACATGCTTAAATCTATGAGCACATGCTAGTTGATTTTAATGCGTGGTAGCGAAGCACGGCAGCTTGAAGCAATGTCTTGGGCTGTTTTGAGGAGCGACAAAATACTTTCACTCTTTTATTCTAATTGGAGACAAAAATACAAACCGGAAATGAAGGAATGCACCTTCAAATTTTAAATTGGTCAAAATTCATAAGGGTAGGTTGACCGTCGTGGCAAATTTAGTTGGAAAGCAACAAAACTGTATTGCCATGAAATTGTCCTTTTGGGGTTGAAAAGACCGAACAATGTCCTTGCAGTGATCAGAATTCTTCACAGTAGCCAAAGTCTGTAGTCTCTCGTAGTATGAACACAGGTAACACAGCTCTATCAAATAACTATTTGTAAAGAAATATCAATTTCACTATTTTGGGCGGAGGGCTTAGTACCGTAAACCCTAACCCTAAATCTGCTATTAAGCCCCCCCTCTTGAATAAGCCCCTTCTCTCTAATAAGCCCGCTCTTTTCAGGGGAAGGAAGTTAAGAAGCCCCTCCTCTCTTTTAACCCCCCTCCCCTCCCCTAATTATTCTTTACTAATAAATGATAGACTGTCACGGCTGTGAAACTTTGTGTGGACTGATCCGGGATGGTTTATTCACCAACTGGAAGTTCGGATTTGTTTTGATCCTCAGCTGCACAACCTCTAACTTCTTGTACTTGAGCCTTTCCACGTTGTATCCTAGTTTTTTTTTTTTGTGGAGAACTGATACCATCGTCTTTTCTACATCAAATAAGCCCCCTCTTCTCAAATAAGCCCCCCGTCTCTGATAAGCCCCCCCCCCCCATCAAATTGGTTTGAAATGAATAAACCCTACGGGGGTGGGGGAGGGGGGCTAACAGAGGATTTACACTATGCGGCTGTGTATGTAGGGATGTGATTGCAGGTGTACTGGTCAGGAGCCCATAACCCGGAGCGAGCAACTCCCATACTCGTCCTATGTCATGGCATTTTTACGGAACACTTTATTGGATTTTTAGATACATTTATTCAGTATTGATTTCAATTATAGAAACTCCGGAACACGCAGACTAGGTTTTGATACTAAAATCAAGGTACTATGTCTTTTTTTTTATGTGGCTCCCTATGGGTGTGATAGCAAAATACACCGAGAGGCTTAAATCATTATTATTGTCTTGCCAGCGCAGAAAAAGTGTTTGAAGAATTGATATCACATTCACCAAAACTGCTTTTGGTATTTTTATCGGCTACTCGTACTTAGCCGGCGGCTATAAGTGGTTTTGTTAAATTGAATTGGAATGGTAACATACGTCAGGGACCAGCTTGTTTTGAGTTAGGTGATTTTCCTCTACTTATTTATTCAATATATCATTCTTATTAGCTCTTATCGTTAAGATAGCTAGTAAGAACAAAGGAGAAATAAGAAGTCGAATGGTCAAACATGTAGACCAACAGAAAAGCATCCAAATCATCTAGAAGCGAAATTTAGGTTTTGGGAATGATGAATGGATGGAACAAAGAACCTATTTTCGTGGAAACGTTCTCAGGGAAATATTACAGTATTATAATTGTTCATTTTCCATACGATAATGTTTCATTGAAAACACTACTTTAAACAAGCGAAGTGTGTTCAAATGACTGAATTGTTAAGTAAAAATATAAAGACTTGTTCATCGAAAAAATAGTTTTAAAAAAGTAACATGGGGACATGGGGAGAGAATACTGAAGAAAGTCCGGTGCGCGCGTATTTGAAATTGTTTCATTTATTTATAGTGCCGGCGTATTAACAAAGCTGTATCAATTAACGTTAAATTGGGAAAACCATGATTTCTCTATAGCCGTGTCTGTCACGAGTCATTGTCTGCCGGATGTTCTTCAAGCTTTACTCCATTTTTAAGCACTTTGTTTTGATGCTTCCTGATATGAGTGGTCTGCGGTAATTGCTGTTTACTTCCATTGGCCGTCACGTGACTAATGTTCCTTCCCCTCAAGTAAATTCTTTTCGAACAGAGAATACACTGTTACAAAATGATGAAAATAATAGCTTTAGTTAGAACATAAATCTAAAAATTTGGCATACATCCGTCAGAAGAAAGCACTGACTAAAAAAAACACGTTCAGTAAGTGATGACTTTTTTTATATAATTAGGGTAAGCCGTAAGATTCCTCCTTTCATGGCTGGATTGTATTTTAAAAGTGCGTTTAGCAATATGTAAATCCATTGTATACTTATTTCAGTATGGATTAAAAACTTGAAACAAGACACAAAAAAGCCTTATAGATGACAGCTTTCCGTTAAAGCACTAAATGTAGGCCCTCAACAAATGTTTGCGACGCCCTAGGCCTAGCACCTCCAAACTTGGTCAAGAAAAACTATAAGCCCAAAATAAAAAGAAAAAGACCTTTTTCAAAACCAGCGTTTTCTGCGGACTGAGTTAGCGGTATCTACCTGTGTCCGCGTCAGATTTGTTCCGGCTCTTTTCCCTTGTTGTAAAGGACCAGTAAAAGCTTCACTGAAGGAGAGAAAGAGAACGAAAACTAACGCAGAACGAAATCCAATACTCCTGATCATTTTGCCCGTAGGTATAGCTTCAACCGCTACAACTAAAACGCGAAAGTTCCATAAGAGTTTATTTCTTTTACCAAGTTAATGCTCTTGGAGAGCCGCAATTTCCTTTCAGTCGGATGATCCTTAAGTTGCTATATAAAAAAAAAAAAAAAAAACAAGTAGTTCAATTCCAGACTTTCCTAAAAAGATTCCTCTGTGCTAATTTTACTTCTATTTTTAACAAAATTATAATGCCATTATATACTGCTTTGTTATGAATAGACCTTGATTATCAGTTCAGTCTGTGCGAGGGAACTAAAATGCGACTCAGTTTCCCAGAAGCTCTTAGAAGTTGATTGACCGCATTAAGTTCTATTTACGTTTGCATTGTGAGCAAGGATTTTGTATAGGCAACGAGGAAGGCACAAAATAGTGTCATGATCAATTGTAACCTAAGTATATCTGGTCGATATAGTTACAACCCATACTCAAGTACGGTTCATACAAATAATGTCCTGTTACAGGCCTACCTGTAGTCGCGTCTACCGCACTGCGCACATGCCACGGCAGGTTTTTATTCTTAGTAACTCTTTACATCCAAAGTAATGATCTTTAGATTTTATGCAGTTTATTAAATTAAGAATACTGTCTTTTCAACCTTTGAAGCCCTTAGTTAAAATATCTCTTTTGCTTAGTAGTTACATATGACGGCAAAATAATGACAGTTACCCTAGTTTGTATATTCAGATTGGCAGTCCAGTTTGTGATTTAATTTAACTTTAATTTGAACCAGGTAAGGTATTGAGCATCAGTGAAAGGATGATGATTGCTTTACCCCTATAGTGGTTTGCCATCACCTGTTTTCCTTTGTCAAAAACCCGCGGCTGGCCTTTATTTTACCCTTGCTAGATCGGAAAACAAGAAGGACCCAATAAAGAGATAAAAGACGAAAATGGAAAGAGAGGATGTTTTCAAGGAGTAAACCGGAATGAGAGGGGTTAAGTGGAAGGGAGAAGAAGACGGTTAGAGATAACAAAAAACAACTTTCGCCATTTGCTCAACATGACAACGTTTCTCAGGGAAATGTCACGTGATCTCGTACAAAGCAACAAAGGGTGAGTTTAATTGAATTGCTAAGCTCCTGATCCGCCCGTGGCGTGTGCGAGCTGCATGTAACCTGTACCCTTGTCCTAGAAGTTTTATCTCTCCTTTCTTCGATCATCATTTTTTGTTAAGTTTATTTCCGAGCTCCTTTTCTTTTTTCTGGTCCCGTCTTATTTCTTTCCTCTCAAGTTTGTTTCATGAAAGAACAAGGAAAACCCTTGGAACCAGGATACATGTTACAACCGCAGAACAGTTTGAATTATGGATTCACATTACTATCCAACCCACAACTCAGCATCTTAGATTTAAAGTGCAGTATTGTCATGCAGATTCTCAAAGCATGGGAGCGATTAAAGTGATAACTATTTGCCGTAACTTTCAAATTGTTACTCTATAACTAGAAAAAAAAATACGCGCTCTGCAAGCTAAGGAGACCTACAGGGAAGTTAACTAAAATAATGATCATACTGTTTTATATATATATACAAATATCTGGCTTAAGGAAAATTTACATCAACATGATGATTCTTCAAGGAGAAAAAGATCTGTGACTTAGCAGAACGCAAACACTATTCATCACCGGAGCGCTTTTGTTTAATTGGCTGACAGACACAAGAAAGAATGAGCTAGATCAGTTCGAGTCAGTTATTTCTCCGCCGTTTAGTTCCAGTGTTAGATTCCATCCCTGTTTTAAAGCTTTAGCAGTAGATTTAATATCATCCTGCAGCCATCCACCAAACTGGTAAAATGCTCGCCCAACCAAGAACACGTTATTTCCATCCAGCGGTTTCTGGGCCCAGGCACGTACGTCGGTTAAGGAAAAGTTGGTTCCCGGCTTCTGAAAAAACCTACAATAAAATTAAAAATCGGTGAATGATTTAGAAGCACTTATAATTGGCAACGTTTCTCTTAGTGTCGCCTATATATCAGAGCCGGTTTCACTATCTGACAACATTGTGACTGAAAAGCCCTGTAAAGGGAGTCTCAATAAATGTATGTATGCATGTATGTATGTATGTGTGTATGTATGTATGTAACATGGGCTATACCGGCCGTCACGGCCATGTGATTTATCCAGCCTTATATCAAATATAAATGAGTTGAACGCCAGTGCGATTATGAAGGCAATGAGGGTTTAGTAACAAGCTACCTACTAAGTCGCTAAGTGGGTTTATTACCTTGTGCCATTACAATCACCCAGGAAATTTCGCCACAATTTTTTGCTTTTTTCTGATTTCTTTATCTCCTGGTTGTCTTGAGAAAGCCCCAGTTGTGGAGGGTCCGGAAGTTAGCGTGGCCACAACATCCAAAATATTTTAAAACTAATCATGTTTTATATGTCTTATTTTATTAATGCCTAATCTTACTATCACAACATAAAGCCAAAGACTTTCTATATAAGAGGATTGGAGGCTAGCCCCTTTTTCTTCTCACACCATGCACCACCACCTCTTGTAGAGGTTATGAGTAAGTCACAAACATCTAAAGGATGCGTTCTAGGGGTAGAAAACCGCGAAAACAAAAACAGCTGGTTGATGACGACGTGACCGTTGCTTTTGCAGATCAGGCTTACAAGCAACAACTTACCAGAATCCTTCTTCCCAATATTTGTAAGCGGTATCCATTGGTTCTGGGATTTCTCTTTGAAACTTGTATTCCAAAGCTCTTTTTATTTCCTTATCAACAGCATCCTTGCTGACCTTCAAGATGTTTCCCCAGTTGTCACTACATCCGCCATTATTGGCTATGGTATGCAGCACTGCCGTGCCATTGTTATGAGAACTCCTGTAACAAATAAAAACAATGATGATACTAGTCAAGGAGTAATCAACCAGGCGTGCACGAAATGAATAGCAAGAGAAACGGGACCGCCATTTTACGTGGTTATCCAGGCACGCGAATGTCTAGCCGTTTGCTGGGCAAAGGCAATCATTGGTTCGAGGGCCCCGTGAATCAAACACACGGCGACCTCCCGCTCTGCAGTCAAGCGCTCTACCGACTACAAAGCTAATCCTGCTGGGGTCAGGAACTAGGCCCGCTTCCTTTCAATTGACAGCAATCAGAGTTATCAGTTAGGTTTCTTCGTGGATTGATATGCATTGGCTGTCATTGGCGGGTTAAGTGTCGCCTCTGAAGAGAGCTAACTCACTCCCGAAAAACAAAAACGAGGGGGTTCATTATTATTTATTACAGACCCGCTAAGTACCATTACTTGTTAGCACTTACTTGTAAGGCATAGTGATTCCGAGACAGTTGCTGTTGGAAATGAACGTCTGCAAATTCTGCAGTGAATTGTTCTTTTGTATTGCGACAGCGTCATTCCACCATGCAGTTGGATACACCGCTGCCCCACGAAAAGCTGGCACACTTACAATGGACTTAAAAATGTCATTATTGGTGATGTTTTGCATGACATCACCTTTTATTTCCTTCAGAGCTTCCGGTGCAGAGGTAAGAACCGTTTTATTTGCTTGAACGGTGAAGTTCGAGGTGAGAAGGACAAAACTGTTTCCTCGCTTGCTGACGGAAGTCACTGTCTCTTGAAGATAAATTGTTCCATTTAGGTTTCGCACTCTTAAAAAAAGATTTTCAACTAACGTTGACATTCCCTTCTTCGGCCTGTAATCATCACCCCTCCCCTGGTCTAACACAAGCGTCCATTTGAGGTGTTCTTTATAGCTTTTCAGGTTTATCTTTTCTATGTAACCACCTTTTAAGCCGTATGCATCTGTCATCCATTTGGCTCCTTCAGGGGACAGAAAGCTGGACAGGAATCTTCCTGCCGTTCGAAGATCATTACCATTTCCACTATTTGTCTTAGTAACAAAGCTCGCAGTTTCCAAAACTGTCATGTTGTACGTTGGCGTACGGTAAAGCAATGTTGGAAATGCTCCTGATTTCAGGGAATCGAAACTGTCTGCGTATACTCCGCGATCTTCAACTCGATGAACTTTTCTTGTGTCCCAAACGTCGAGATCGTTTAGTCCAAGTTCATAACAAAGTTCGCTGAAAGCAATGAAGGGATTTTATTGAACTAAGTTGTTTTTGAAAGTGAAGAATGATCATCGCAGTAAATTTTCCAATTTAAGCAATTGGAAAGAAGAAGCCTGAAAAAAATCAGGGCTTCAACGGGATTCGAACCCGTGACCTCCGAGTTGCCGGTGCGTTGCTCTACCAACTGAGCTATGAAGCCATACACTGGGAGCGAGGTCAATTTATTGAGTTCATATCTCCCGTGAGGAGAATTATTCATGGCTACAAACATTTTTCACAAACCAAAGGCGAAGCCGCTACGAAGGAGGAGAACTTTTCAAACAGTGACGTAGTTTATTGAAATTCTCATTGACAGAAATCCTCATTGGAGCAACATTGAACAAACAAGCCGAACTTGTATGATGGAACAAAACTGTAGAAAATACAGATCAAAGGTAGGTGCCCCTGAGGCAAAACCGAAAGTTAACAAAGGATTCATTCTATTTTGATACTTACAAATATTACCAAAAGCGAATTCAGAATCACTTTTTGCATCACTCATTTTTTCACGAGAAAAGGTACTCCCCCTTCCTTCTCTATGGTAAAATTTAAACAGCCCAGGGAGAGGGAACTGTGAGACACGAGGTCTAAACATGTTTAATTAATATACCTCTCTGATTCACAAAGCTCTAATCATTTCCATAACTCTTGCATGGGATCAATTAATGAAAAACAGAGACTCAGGGTACAGTGACCATAGCAAACAGAAGCATTCAGCAGCACTATACTAATAAAAAATAACCCTCCTACTCAGTGATTTTAGCTGGCAAACTGCTATAATTGTCATTCGATTATTTCTAGTCTCTTGGTATTGCGGATTGGTATAATCAACAATTAATGAAGTAATACAAAGGATTTAAAAACACTGAACAATATCAGAATCGCAAAACAATACCGGAAAGTGAATTTTAGGAGCTACATTAAAGGGCAATTCCAGCATTCTCACAAAACATTATGGAGCATGAGACTAACTTGATCTTAATTTAGTTTTTCTCCTACCTTTCGTCGTGGTTTTCGATATAAATGTGCCACTGTCCAAGCCCTGTAATGATATTTAAGAGTAGGTTACTTCTTTGTCGTAACGCCCTTAGAGGGCTGAGAGAATTTGCTCCTCTTTAGCCTGGTTTCCATATCATCGCTACGATCGCTGACAAAAAAAAAGTTAAGTGATCGCAGCGATCATAGCGATCGTATGGAAACCACTCTCCAGCGATCGTAGTGATTGCAGCGATCGAAGCGACAACGATCGCTGGTATAGAACATTTTCTATCTCACCAATCGCTTGTTTGTCGTTTGTGGGGAGGGAAATACTAGTCTGCTACACAGACGAGGGAAATACGAGCTCCCCTAAAAAACGCGTGCGTGGGAGGCTACCTTTAACGCAGTTTAAAAGAACATTCTTCCCGACCTGATTGGTTGGTACAACTTACAGAAGGCAAAAAAGGGGTTCTCACTTCAGCACATAATGAATTACCCTGATTGTCAAGCTAAATTTGACTAACAGTGGACGTAATCAAAGTGCTACAACACAAAGATAAACCAACCTATTGAGACGTTAGGAGCATCGGCAAAACGGTGATCAAAGATTTTCCCTCCAAGACGATTCTCTTTCTCCAAAATACAAACATTAGTTTCTTTACTGTTTTTAAGGAGCGCATATGCTGTCAGAAGACCAGAAATGCCTGAAAACGTAAAGAGATTCATAAAAAAGGCCTATAAACACTGCAATCACGAAAAAGTGCTACTGCGTGCTAGTGTCTCTAACTACACCGGCTGCCGTCACATTGATTTCATCTCCTGTATTATCATCTCTACTGCAAATCGTTGTTTTCTTATCCAATAAATTATTTCTTTTTTTGGCTTATTTTGTTACATTGAAAATTTATAAGCCAACAGTACCGTAATATCGGCGGAAGGTAATTCCGTATCGGCTTATTGATCCGTAAGTTAACCTTTTCCATTCCTCCCAACGTTAAACTAAAACTGGGTTTACGTTGTACTTGAAAGACCTGAAAAATACTTAAACGCTTAACGGATTCCTTAATCATACTTAAAACACGATGACACTATTACTATTAACGAATATTAATTTTTTGCTTTGAGGTTAGCATTCGATCAAATTCTTTTAAGTGTCTTATTGAGGTAATTGTTAAGAGGAGGTGTCTGGCAGTAGATGCGATGAATGTTAATTCATCTGAATTCTTCGACATGCTCATCCTTTAAACAGGACTTTCTAATTTTCCAAAACAGTTCTAGATAATTCTCAGTCAAACATCTTTCTCCTTAGTAATACAAGAAGTCTTGTAAGAGAACGTACCTCCCCCAACTATAGCTACATCACACTGAATGGGTATCCTGTTATCAAGCGGAAGGGTGGTTGGAGTTACTGTGGTCTCTAAGGGCTGGCAAGTGCCTTCTTTAGTAGTTCTTCCCGTCGGACCTTCCGTCTTTTTCTTTGTAGATGACGTAGGTTCTGTACCTGGTGTGAAAAGACATAAATTAGTACTGTTTTTGTTTTAGTGTTTGTGTGCTTTCTCATGCCGACAGGACACGCAAACAACAACATCAACAACAACAAAGAAAAAAAAGGAGTTAACTAACTAGTTCCAGTTTGACACTAATGGTAAATCACCCTTATTCTTCCTTTTTAGACCCCTCCTTCAGTTCGTTCATTTAAACCGCACCATTGACCACGAAAAGTATTCGGCTTCCTTTGTTTACGACCAACATCCCATCGTGACGTCATCAAGGATTAAGAAAGACAAACAGCCCATATCTAAGATTCTTTTACATCACGCACAAATTCGAGTCAAAGGAAAAGGATACATAATATACACTGAACAACCAGGGATAGACAATATGTGAATGTTTTTCATCAACCGAGGCACTGAATGCATTGGACCTAAAGACTCTCTCAAAGAGACGACACTTCCATCGCTGTGTTATGATGCAAAGATATCTGTCTGGTTAAATTGATTTTCAATTTGACATCAGACGCAATTGTAGTTTTCATTCTTATTAAACCCGCAAATGTAATGATTTACACCTTCCTCCTGTGCGCACCAATTGGGGCAAGTAAACGTTCATTTTCCAAGCCTCTAAGGACTGGACCAACCTAGACAATGACATTAAAAACAGCAAATCATTGTCCTACTTTAAGGCAAAGCTTAAAACTTTCTAAACAATGCCCTATACAATTGTTAAACGATTTCAAAATTAGTTTTATATGTAAATGTCAATTTTCATCTGTTTTCTTAGTTTTTAATTTTTAAAGTAGGTGGTTTTATTTTGGGCCCCATTGAAAACCGCTAAGGCGAGTGGGCTCCCTGGATAAATACTATTACTATAATTATTATTATTATTATTATTAAATACACTCTAATTATGATCCGTGTGAGTTCTAGAAAGGAGTTAACAGGTATATTGAACTTCCTATGCTTTGAGATCTCCACGATACATTCTCAAGTACGTGATCACTCCCAGCAAACAAACACCGTTTTAAATATGTTAGCACCATTGCATGGATGAACTCAAATTTTGACAAATGATTGATTTTCTGTTAATTTGTACTGTGTTTCAATGTCACAATAACAATAAGCGAAAATATCTGCGAGCACTGGGTGATTCCATAAAAACGCACAGTGTAACCAGAAACGACACTGAAACGAAAACTATTTCCCACTTTTCCGGTCTTGCTCAATTCTGTCAATGAGTGGGTCACGTAAGTGACTTTCAAAACAAAAGATTTCAACAAAAATAAACATTTTAAACAGATTTTCTTTTCCACGATCCTTGACTGGCATGTAAGAGATCTTCCGAGCTTTTAGCTGACATTTTTATGACGTTTCACAATATGATCCAATAATTATTTGAATTCTTAAAGATCCATGAACACAGTAACATTTATCGAACAAAATACGTCTTAACTCCATTAACTGGTAATAAGCTAAAAGAGATCTTAAACTAACCCTCCTTTTCTAACAATAATCTGTTGCACAGGTAACTGATGAGTTTTACCTCATGGTTTATGTCTACTATAAACTTGAGATTATCATGTCAGACAGCTTACTGCGAGAAAATATGCAAAAATTGAAAAAAATTATAACACAGGTCGCTCTAGCCCTGGAGCATTTCTTTTAACTTCAGTTTCTTTAATTTTACAATAATTTTGAAAAAAGCTGTAAGTAGTAGCTAGTTCTCTTCACCTCCGGCATTTTTCTAAGCTAAAACCTTATTTCACTTCTCTCTCAGTTCCTTTGACCTTGAAAAAAAAATGTCACGCTATCCTGGAGAAAAAAATGATTAGGTGCAAATTGCGCTGTGGTTGAACATGCTTTCTTTTTAGTGAGACGGGTTAGGGTTAGGGTTACTCTGAGTTAAAAGCAAATTAACTGGTTGTAATCGCCAGAATAAGGCTGAAATGAAATTCTAGTGATATATCTGTACTTGGTAAAAACTGGATAAAATAACGCGAACTGATAAGGTCTCTTGTCTGATCAAGCTTGCTTTTCCATTAATCAACAGTTTTAAACTACTAATTCTCTTTTATTTGAAATTTATTTGATATTTCTCACTTCCTGGACACACTGTGGACAGCTTATATCAGCAAACAAAATCTTCGAAGAAGGGAACTTCTATAAAACTATATATTATATCTGTAATAGTTTTGGAGTGTAGCTGTCCCATAGACTTCGCTTTCACCAGCTTTAACCATGTGTCTCAATAAGGAAATGAGCAGATTACCTGTATGAATCTTGTTGGTTGGATTTTCTGCTTTGGATTCACTCTTGGAGGTCTTGGAGTACTTCAGGTTTGTATTGCCTGGACCAAGCATGGCGATCAGAAGACCCATTACAGCAATGATAAACGCTATAACGAGCAGAAACACAAGAATTTGCCATAGTCGGAATGTGCATTGTCTGTGAAAACAGTCACAACAAGAAAACTTTTTTTTAGTGTAGCGTTGCTGGGTTGGCAAATCATAGCCTTCAGAAATTGTGAGAGTCGTTTGGCTGTCCATCGGAGTCATCTTTGCTGAGCACGTAACAAAATAGATTAACAGCTTCCTTTGGATTGCGTTTAACAGTTCTCGTGGTAGGAAATTCCGTGGACTGAAACTTGATTCGTGCTCTTAAGATAACCCCTGATCGTCTTGACCACACCTAATGACGCCAAACTGACACCAGGCAGACAATGTAACTTCGATTTATGCATTTACTTTCGGATAGTCCGCCGTCTAAAGGGCTCTTTCAAGAATTCTCAAATTTCATGAGTCCTAGGATCGCTTTTTCTCTTTTTAGTTTCGCAGTGTTCATTTATGTTGGCCGGCTTCTGATCACAAATGACACTTGGTATTGAGTTCTTTTACTTTTCTCCTTTGAGCTCTCTTTCATTCTCGCGGTTGACGGCTCAAAGTCTAAACTGCCGCCGAACACATTTGACAATTTGTTGCTGACGTGAAATTCATAAATATTATTTACATTTTTAAAACATACGTCACGTCCGCATAACAATTATCGGCTTTTAACTTTTCTCAGAATTATGCCGTCAAAGTATCATGTATCAGAGATCTAGCTCGATTGGTGACGCAAAACACAAATAACACATAGGCCAACCAACAAGTGACATTTGACATCACAGGTAGCCCAAAATCACAACCCTTAACCATTAAGGCAACCTCGTCCCCAGGGCTTTTCCCTTAAAAAATGGGTAGGGCGGGAAAACCCTAACCCTAACCCTTTTCCCGCCCACCCCTTTTTTAAGGGAAAGCCTAGGGGGACGAGGTTGAGGCCAAGGTTTTACTAACAACAGGAACCTTCATGGGCTCCTGCTAACAATTTAACTGATTTTTTCATCCAGTTATGATTTTTAATTATTATTTTTAGATGAGAAGCTAACTAAAAATGACCTTTCAGTTTAAAAAAAAACGATAAAGTACTAAATTATATAACTTACAATTATTCGTTATTGGTGAAGTGATTTTTGTTGTTGTTGTGCAAGTTGGTCAGCCAAATCAACTTAAGTATATTATCGCGGTTTTTAGGAGGCTGAAATTTTTTTTATAAAAATTAGGTTAGCAAGCCCCGAATACAACAGTTAATCAGAAAAGTCGAACCAGTAAAGTACAAACACTAAACAAAGGTCACGTGACTGAACTCCATAAATGAGTACCTCATTAACACATGACAGAAGGCGGCCGGTTGAACTAAGATTAGTACTTAAACAAAACAGCTATTCAGTCGATAACTCCTATTTCAATTAAACTACCAGTTGCACAAAAACAATAAAGCTTTACCTGTCACATGAAAGTTTACTCTTGGGAGCTTACATTACCTCAAGCGGTCTTCACAATTTCCTACTAGTACCAGAGTAAAAAGACTTTTATTCTATTTCTCAGGGCTTCTGCAGGAAACTATCATTAAACTGGGTCTGAATATTCGTCGCCATTTTATCTCCTTTTTCTTAAATACTTGTTGAAAGGTAGACTAATATGTTATTCTTAAGTTCAAGGTATAACATGCTGTTGCTAAGGAAATCTATGCACAAATTGGTAAGTAAAATAAGTTACTTTTGTCAAAAAAGGTACATGTTATGATCCTGCTGTTACGAAAGACAAACACTTCAGTTTTCTTTCAGTTTTACTTCAGTTTTTTTTTTTTCACGTGTATCTTTAAAGCCGTTTTGAGATGGTGTTTTTAATCCCAAAATCAAAAACCCAGTCTTTGTTATAGTGACTGTTGTTTGTCTAGCGAGTATAAACCACCCTGTAAGACAGTGACAACACGACGCAATCGCAAGGTCTTTAAAATATACTAATTTAAGTACTGTATCCGGATTTATAAGCAATAAGAAATGAAGATGGTGTGAGTAGAAAATAATAGCTAGAGCGCCCGAGTTGAAAACACTTTCTAGGCTGTCCAGAGTACTTTTTGGTCACTATTAGAAATGCCGTTCTAAGCGGTCCGTACTATAAAGTTTGGATCTTTCGGTCAGCCTAGCGCGACTTTTAAAAGACTTAAAAGTCTTTTCGAAATTACAAGGGCTTCAATTATATTTTTCCCTGTGCGAAGATTAGCATTTAGCATTTTTCTGATACCTCTCTCCATCAAATGCTTGAATCCGTAAATTTTAGGTTTCCTTTGTCTTCGAAATATAACTTAAACTGGAAGAAATGGGAAAAATCAAATTTCAGTAAATTGTAGGGAATTTATGGGACGAGCGTCGAAAATCGTACATGAATGTGACGGTCATTTATAAATTTTTAGCCGTCCTCAAGCTATAGAGAATTCTAGGCAATATTTGCTTCTTCGAGTAGATATTTTACAGAAAACATTCTTTGGGTGCCCCTGAGTATTCATTGCATAGCGGCGACAAGAAAGTAGTTGGAAATGAAAATCCTTGCGATTAACGTGATTAGCTTCGAAATTTAAGGTATTTAAAGCATGTTTTGAGAAAGGAAGATTTTTTTCCCCAGTTGCACGGCGCACTGTTTTTAAGCACATTATAAAAGTCATCTAACCCGTTTTATCTCTGTCTGTAGGTTAACTAATCCTCTGGCCGTCATCTTGTGCGCTTGTGTGGTCATGGCACTTCACATATCAACGTCTGTAAGAGCACGTCACCTGTCACGCCGGGACCATGTGCTGAACCTTCTACCACCACTGACTGTTGTCAATAAGGAAGATGTTACAATGCATGAACGGTTGTTCGCTGACAATCCCCCACAAAAGAATTATCCGGAAAATTTTCCAAGTAAGGTCCTTCGACATCTTAGCGCATGGACATTTTACTCGGCTCCAACAAAAGGAGAACTTGCATTGCTTGACAGAAATATGGACGAGTTAGAAAATGAAACAAAGAAAACATCAAAAACAGACCCGGCTGTCACAAAGAATCATAATAGCAATCAGAAGACAGAAAAGAGAACTGACAGTGACCAAAGGAAACTGGAATCTAACAAAGGGAGGAACGTAAATGCCGACAAACCTATGAAACAAATTCAGGCAAGCCGCAAGGAGTTCAAAAGAGAGGATAAAGAATTAGCGAAAATGAAAGAGGAAAAGTCGATTTTAACTTCAAATTTCGAAAGAAAAAAATGTAGCAAATCCAATCCTTCCAAAAACACAAGACAACCTTTTAGTACAAGTAAAAGCAATCGCGTTAAAGAAGATGTGAATAAGGTAATAAAACGTCGTTCAAGTTTCAAAGGTGGCACCGCTAGTAAACAACAAAAAAACACTCGAGTTAAAAGTAAACCACAAACCCCTATCGCAAAGCCTGAAATAATAACACTGAAAAAAAACTCGTGGTAAAGTACTTGGAGGAGCAGAAACCGGTGCCCAAGTAAGCAATGAGGATTTGACAATCAAAGGACACAACGTACAAGTGCCAAGCTCTGACAAGATCAACAAAAAACTGATTACAGGAGAATCTTCGCGACATGTTCAAAGAGCTGGCAGAAACCATAAACAGAGCGTGAAGTCAAATATAACTGAAGGTGAAGACTGTAAATTACGTCACAACTCCAATTATGACTTGTATACTGCGCCCAAATCAGCATACGAACACGCTGGAATTGGTGTAAAGTATTGCGACCAAAAAAATAAAAAAACAGTTAATCCTCTTGAAACAGAAGTAAAAAGAAAAGAGCGTTCTGTAATAAAGATTCCTCAGCAAGAAAATGAAATTCCAGAGGATAATAAGCACACTAAAACAATGACCTCACAAACAATGGATCAGTAACTCGAATGACGGATTAACGTGAATCAGAGAAAATATCCGAGAACGTAATAAGTTATGAAGTGAATCCTGAAAATCTTTGGAGCAAAGCAGAAAACTATATGTCATGTAACGGAGATCTCTGTAATGTATGAAGGTCTTTAGAAAAAAATGTGTGAAGGTTATACTACCTGAAAAAAGCGTCGCACAGGAACACGAACTACTGAGATTTTTTTCTTTTAATCGAAGCGCTATTAAATCCCGTTTCACTCTCCATTCTATCTTTTGAGTGGTACAGGCTAACATAATTTTTTTTGTAGTGACTTGTTGTGGACAATTCTCGTTAAATGTATAGTGACACAAGCCTGTACAAATGTATTATACAGGATAAACAACTAGCTGTGTCAAACTGGTATGTTCACCAAGGTTTTACACAAGGGACATTAGAACCCCGGTAACTCGAACTCTAAGGGAAAAAAAAAACAGTTGGAGTTCGGGGGGTTCGAGTTATCAGAGACGATTGAATCTTCAATTTGCCATGTTGATAACTCAGGGTCTTAATAGACCCCTTTACGGTTTTGAGGGCATGCTGGGTAATCAGGACAAGATGGTGGAAAAATCAAAAATTTTTATGAGAATACAAAGTCATTTAATCCTTGCTAATTGAATATATTTGTCACTTTCTCTTTGAAAAATGTAACTAATGAGCTTAAAGAAACTACACACTAAATCTGGAGTGCATAGCAGTCCTTTTTGTTGCTTTTTAGAACACCTGAGTTCTTCCATACATTTTCGGTAATCAGACAACACAAAAATTACACATAATGTATGGAAGACATCAAATTTTCTAAAAAGCTGCAAAGGACTGCTGTGCACTCCATATTTAGTGTTTAGTTTCTTTAAGTTTATCAGTTATTATTATTAAGTTTATAAGTTTGCAAAGAGAAAGTGATGAATATATTCAATTAGGAAGAATTAATTGACTTTCAATTTCCATACAAACTTTTGACTTCCCTGTCATCTTTTCCTGATTAGCCAACATGCCCTCACAACCATATACTGATATTTCAGCACTTCAGTAAACAGTAGAGTGCAAATAAGGCTCATTTCATCAAAACTTGTAACAAATATATGCATTTTAACTCTTTAAGCCCCAGTACCCAAATACAAATTATCCAGACTGATCTCCATACATTTCCTGCAAGAATTGGTTAAGAGAATTTGATAGCAGATCAAAGCTTTTCCCATCATGTGATTATTTTATTGATTCTCACAACATTTTCCTTTGATTATCTATTGATTTTGTTGGGAGAAAATTGACTTTGGTCACTCTTGGGACTTAAAGGGTTAATGATAATACTGGGAAATGACTGTCAAGTGTGTGATGTATTTGTTGTACTGCAGTGTTAGTGTTAGAGATTTTACTGATTACAAGACAAGAAGAGCTAATGACACGCCATTTGTGGTGAGTTGCAAGAACCAGAACTCGAGTTATTGAGGTAAATTAGATAAAGGGAAACAAAATTTTGTGCGAGTTAGCAGGGAATTTGAGTTATCAGAGTAAAAGTAACTGAAAATTAGGGTCAAATGCAAGGGAAATGGGACTTTGTTCGAGTTGGTGGGGAGTTTCAGTTATCTGAGTTTGAGCGGGGTCCCACTGTACTGGTATACACACATAACTGAGTCAACAAATATTTTTGGTTCAATTTTTATTTCCTCTGTCCACACTCATTCTTATACAATACTATGCACGAAAATAAAGGAATATAAAGTTGATAAAAGGACAAAATAGAATGTCAGCAAAATGGACATATTGTCTTTGTATGAGGAATGCTTCAGTATTTTTGTTTGATTTCTTTGTTGTTAAAGCTCTGAAGATCTGAAACCTTCATAGCATTCTACTGTACCTTTACCCGGCTACAATCTACATGGGATTTATAGCTTAAACAAACAACACTGCAATCACTGAACTTTCACTTTTTCTTGATCAAGTCTGTCCATGATCTTTGATTATAGCCCTCATCATCCTCTTCCTCAAGTTCATATATTTTCTTGGGTTTTTCTGGTTTAAGTCTGTCCATTCTTGCTTTTCTTTCTTCGTCTGTCATGTTAGCAGGGTCAATTGCTTGTTTTATTATTTTATAAGGTTTATCATATCTGATGAAGTAAGAAGATCCATCTGGCTGCACCAATCTTACTTTGTACATACGTGGATATACCTTTTTTCTTATGCGAGTGATTGCTGCACTGCAACTGCTAGTAAATAACAAAAAAGAAGTCAATATTATAATACTGATCCCATAGTATTCTACACAGAAATAACCAGTGAATAAAGGGCTCATTTATTGTTTGTCTTGTTATAAGTAGTTAGTGGTTTACACCCATGCCCTGGTTTTGTTTCTAAAACTTTCAAAAAATAAGATTTTAAAACCTATTTTGTTGAAAAACAAAAATATAGTGCGAGGAAAACAGCCCCTAATTACTTGTTATCATGACATCATGGAAGGTTGAATCATCTGAGGGCCCAGGAGGGAGGGGGGGTACTCCCATACATTACCTATACAGGTATGTGCCGCCCAACAGGGTCGTGATTTTGAAGCTCCTGATTTAGAACGGGGTATCCATTTCAGAGGCGTTTTCTAGAACGGGGTATAATATTTCGAACGCAAGAAAGCTCCAGTACTCCGGATGATTATGAAGAAGCATTTATTTGATGTATAAGTCAAACAAATAAAGAAATATCTTTTTAAAAAAACACGGCTATTTCAATTTACAAACTTTCTAGAACGGAGTGTAAAAAATTAGCCCATTTCTAGAACAGGGTACCAGTTTTATGGCGAATTCTAGAAAGGAGTGTAAAAAATTGGCCCATCTCTAGAAACGGGTATCAATTTTAGGGGAATTTTTTTGTAGAATGGGGTGCCAATTTGGAGTCCTGGGCAGCACATACCCACCCAAAAAATACCCAAGTGCCCCCCCCCCCCGGGTCTGAGGTCTTGGTGCAAGAAACTGATCCTGTGAACTTTCTTTTTGTTTTTAACCTTTTACTGTTTTCCTAAGGGCTATTGTGTTGAATTCTTTGTTTCTTCGTTTTACCTCATTCGTGAAATTTACAGGTTACAAGCCAAAATGATTTGTTTTACTCAAAATGGCATCAAATTGCTCTTCTGAAATGTCACTGATACGTAAACTAACATAAAAAGCTAAAGGTTTCACCTCCTTATTTAAATAGCCCAAATATTGATATCTGCTTTTGTTAGTATTCAGCTTAAACTCGGTTAAAACAAAATATTGGTGATCTCATCGTGTGGGCACTGTCCATGAGCTATGACTAAAGACAGCAAGTATTAAAGCACCAACCTGGACGCTCTGTTTTGAAAAAGAAGCGGTCTTACAGATCTATCCATGAGCAAATTCCTAAGTAACGTGCCAAATTTTAAACTGCAATATAAGAAAAAAATTGTGAATAAAAACATTTCAATCTGTAAAGGACAAACTATTATCTCACAACAAACACTACCTTGTGGCAGATGTGGAGGCAGTCGAGGCAGCCATTTTGAACACAGTTTATTCCGCTGACTTGTACAGGATAGTAGACTAAGCAACTACCGCTGACTACTTCTTACCTCCCGACCGAAACAGCTCGTGACTATCGTGTGACTGCTTTTTGGACATTACATTGCAAAATTTCAAACAGCTGTTCGTTGTCTTTTTAAAAGTATTGATCAATGAAAATTTTGAAACACACTGAATCGTCCTTAAAGGTGTTCCTTGCATCACCATCGACATCATGGCGAGATGGCTTCTGTTGACATCTGTGGTCCTAGTAGCGCGGCTTTTTTGTCGAATTGCAGGTAAACAAACATATTTTTACCCAACAGTTATCTTTTGTGTTCGCAATAAGGGATAAAATTGTCTTATGACTCTGTGACATGTATTACGTATTCTACAGCCTACGCTCAATGACTCACTTAAGATAGCTTGTTTTGCTTATGCTGGTTTACAAATGCCACCAAATCGTAGTCAACAGTGTACTGGCAATATAATGTATAAACTACTTTTTTAAGATTCAAGCAAAACTAACTACGGCAGAATGACTGGACAACCTATAATTTGACTAGCAATAAATGACTGTTTAATTGTGACAGTAGACAGATTACATCACGGTTTAACTGACAGACAACTAATAATATATGTCGCAACTTAACTGACCAATCAGGTCAATGACCAGAGTTTAATACCATCAATTCAAATGTCGGGATAACTACCGCACAGGTTGTCAAAACATCAGTCACTCTCAACAACAGTCCCATTGAGGACTACATTCACCTGGAAGATCATATTCAACCTACTTAAAAAAAGTATACTATATATTATAATACAAAACCTTTATGATTTACTATTAAACTCATCAACAATAGATGAGCTTGGTGAAGGTGCCTGTAAAGATGGCGGAACCCCAATCACAAAAACCCAGCATGTAGGGGAACCATGAGAACCCTGTGAGAGACAACCACCAGGCATGGTCGCACTGAAAAACAGAGGAACAATGATACTTACCTTATACTTACCACAGAGAGGAAGGGAGGGCAAGAGTTAAATCACCTAGCATAATCAAAACAGGCAAAGCTCACATGGGAATGAGTTGACCTCAACAGCAGACCTGTAAAACCACACAACTTCCTGCAGACCCCTGAGCACTCCACATGTCTGTGACAGGGGAGGTTGCTGACCAGCATTTTTTCGCGTTTAATGTAGCGTAAATTACATTTAACCACATTCTTTTTAAAATAACCTTGACAACATTTTTGACTGAAATGAACAGTTTCATTCTGCATCTTTCTTTCAAGGATTATTTTTTGGTTCAGTCATATACATCCTACGATCAGGTCCTCCTTTCTTGCTTTGCAAAGTTATGTGCATACTAAGTACTGTTTAAGTTACAATAAATAAGGTATTGCACTCCATAGTTTTTACCGACAAATTGCCAACACTTTACCAACATGCTGCCAATAATAATTATTGCTGGCTGACAGTCAGCCAATAGTTGGTGATAAATTTCATGTTTGAGTCAGTTAGTGACTGTTGGTTGGTCATGCAAGGTGTCACCTAATAGGACTCCTGCTAGGATAGGGAAGGTGTCAGTGTGTATTCCTCCTGTGATAGGACTTCGGCTTGCTGATAAAGGAGGATCTTACCATCTTCCTGTCATGCATTGTGGTCAAACTATATTATCAGCGGCCGAATCCCAGCACATCACTCATTTCAAAGTATCGCCACGCGGGAAACACAAGGGCACAAGAGAGAAACATGAAACATCCAGTATACTCCGCGTAAATTGTATCAGTCGTACGATAGAATTTCACGAAGTAGCTATAGATGCTTTTGTCAGGTCTAAGATTTTGTTTACCGTTTAACTTCTTCATTGAAATTGTTTGACTGCATGTAAATAAAATCTGATAAGCCTGGGCCTCGTTATGGGGGTCCGCAATGAAATAAATGTTCAAGAATACGTCTCAAACGCTGGCCACGTAATTTTTAGTAAAATGTGCATTGAGTATAGAAGGTATCAAAGAATCTGGCTGTGAGTAACTCGGTACGCGATATATAATTACCTGGATGATTAACATGACCAGTAGATATCTTACTGAGCTGGTGTAAATACTGACATGTACGCGTCTTTCGCAGCTTCAAATGCTGTTGACCTCCAACACTACTGCTGTGAAACAGTAACTGCAGTTACAGTAATCTCCTGTCTGAATATATGAAAAAGTAAATGAATGCTGTTCCATTGGAAACTTGTTGAAAATATTACCAAATGCACTCCGCATGCAACAGGAGCTTTACTCTCATCATAATAGATAGTGCTAAAAATACTCCTCGTTTAAGATGAAAAGTTTCTGGGAAAATGTGGAGACCAGAGGAGTCCATTGGGTTCTTTAGAATTTTTAAAGTATAATAGAGTGGACTTTTGTCTCAATTCTCAATCGACTCCTCATTTGGTTACTGAAATGAATAATAAAAAACACCATGCATACAACAGATAAGCAGCGATGCATAATGAGAGAAAGGTCACACGGTTAAATCTTAGAGAAATCCTTCTGTCCTCCTAAGGATAGCCTGCATTTCAGCTGGCCCATGCACTCGTCTAAACCATTAATATAGTCCATCTGCGAATTATTGCACAAAAGCTCCTTCTACTATCCTGCAGAGTTGCAAGAAGTTATGTGAGCATTTCTGATAGGCGGGTTCTTACGGGTTTCTTATATGCCTCATGAACAATGAAAGAGCAGTTCTAGCATCAAAACAAATTAGGAAATCATGATATTCATGGCCAAAAAAAACACTACACACATGTAGGTATTAAGGTCCAGGCATTTAGGAGAAATCCAAGAAACTAAGGTTATTTAGCTGCAATAAAAAAGCTAAAAGCTTAAAAAGGGGTAAAAGAAACTGCACCCGTGATCAAATCCAGTCAGAAAACATTTGCCGAAACATAAACCACAGTAACTAATTACTCAATGTGCATGGAACAGACCAGCTTCATAACCTCTAAATGTGAGACTCAAAGCGGCCAAAAAAAAAATCTGCTCAGTCAAACTGAAGAATACTCCATGCACTGCATAAACTACGCAAAAAGAGAGCAAGAAAAACCGCTATTGTTCAAGCTGACTCTAAGCTCACTTTTCACACTATCACAAGCTCAATCCATCTCTTGTCAGGAGCTATTAGTCGTGTTTGGCCTGTCAGGACTTAATTCAAATGGGACTAATCACAAACCGTGTAAGAAACTAGCCAATAAAAAATGCCAACATATTTCCGAATGACTCTGGGGGATTCGAACGTGATATTGTGCACTAATTCTCTGACGCTCTATACAGAAGGTTTAGATTGTCTGTGATGCAGGCAACCTAATGAAAGATGAGAAATTATGCTAAGACATACTTTACCTCCATAACTCATCCTTAAAGCAGCAAAGCTGTTTTCCCAAACTTTATGTTAAATTCATGTTTTCATCACACAGACTGGTAACAATCACACCGAAAAAGGCGCAAAGTGTGCTTGGAAGATAGTAATATCCTCCTTTGTTGCTGATAGTCCCTCCTAGAATATAATAATTATTGTATATTGTTCAAATATTTATGGTCATTTATTTATTTTTTGTGGTTAAAGCGGTGTATGTTCTTAAGTTCAGATGCCTGTCTGTGAAGTTTTGTTGCTTAATATTGTGCAGTGCAGTAGTTTTTGTTGATTGTTTTTTGTTGATTTGTTTCAGCTGAGGATATTAAACTCCATTTAGTGTCTAAGGAAAGCAAAGTCCAGATTGGCAAGTCTGCATATTTTGAACTAACTATAAGGTGTAGTATTTTTACTGTTATTAATGCCTGCGTCGCAAGTGGAGGTTGGGTGCCCATGGGCCAGGGGGCTGCAACCGCAATACACCCCAAGGCGGAAGAACACCCACAGGCCTACCAACCCGCAACCCAGCCACGAGCCCCCCCCGCGCCCAGCCCCCCACTATAGCACCCGTCACACTGAGGCCAGAAGCCCTGTGGAAGTAAAATGAACCAACCCCTGAAAAATAAAAAACTAAATAAATAAGAAAGACAGCGGAGGGAGGGAGGGGAACCAAGAGAAACGCTACGCTACTGGAATGCCACGCCACGCCACGCCACGCTAACAAAACTTTGAGTACAACGCAAACACAACGTAGGCACGTGGCCTCCGCGACATACCGCTGGACAGGAATCTGCCCTCCAGCTCATGAACAATGGTAAATGCTACAAACGCAAACATAGTCACGCACAACGCTACAGATGACCAACGCACTACCAAAGAATGCCAAAACACCCGAGACCATAGCTCCTGGTCGTTAACTACATTAAATATGATTTAATAGTATTTAACGCCTGTGTCGCAAGTGGAGGTTGGGTGCCCATGGGCCAGGGGGCTGCAACCGCAATACACCCCAAGGCGGAAGAACACCCACAGGCCTACCAACCTGCAACCCAGCCACGAGCCCCCCCGCGCCAAGCCGAAGGGACCTCCGGGTAGGAAACCCGGAGCAAGGGGGCTCGGGGCTGCAGAGCCCCAGGCCCCGAGGGTCCAAACCTGAGGCACCCACCCCCACAGCAGCCCCAAAGGTAGTACAGATACCTGCTATGCAGCCAGCTGTCTGGATACTTGGACGATGGAGCTAACTGGAGTGCGAATATAAATCTGGTAGGCATCACTAGACCACCGGCCTAGGGTCTTGATCAGATGATCCGGAACTCCCCGAGCAGCAGCTGTAGTTGCCGCCCAACACGGAAGCTATGGCCTGAATAAGAGCCAGTATAGCCAGCTGAGTGCAAGATAGACTGAACTGTGGATGACAATTGTTGCCGAGTAAGAGGGCGACCGTCACTAAAAGTAAAGAGAGGACCCTCAGAAGAGCCACGCAGAGCCAAGAAGTTGCCCAAAGCACGGATGGGACACACCAGGCCCTCACCACGCCCCACATATATATCACAGCCCATGCGAAACGGATCAGTCTTAGAGCACTTGATATGAACTTTAAAACAGGTAGGATTCACCAGGGAATCAGCCTGCAGGTCAGCAACAGTCATATGGATACTAGGCTGAAATGCAGAATTCACCGTGAACTCCCCAGCTCGTAAGAAACCGAAGAAACCCAAACAGCATGCCGCCCACAGCATCACATGGTCTCTCCTGGAGAAGTCCAGACGATGTTGAATCGCCCGCAGATGATCCAGGGTGATAGGCAGGCGCCGGGGTGATACTGGACCTTGAACCCGCTTAATTCCCCTGAGTAAACGCTGCAAACGAAGGCAGTTGACGAAAAGGGTCTGACAAGCCATGGTCAATGTGAAGGGAACGTACTGCTGACAGGTATACCTTTATAGATGCGTGTGTCAAGTTGTCGGCCAAGAGTGAAGCAAAGCGCATGAGAGTCTCCTCATCGGCAGGAGGGAAGGAGCCATCGCTGTTAAAGGCGACCATCCCGGCGGCAAAAAATCAATATAGCGACGCTGAGCAGAGAGATAAACACGCCGAGTGGAGGGCGCAAGTCCCTGGGAGAGCAGAAACTGACACTTCTGGGTCAACACGCCTGGAGTGCGGCCAGCAGCGACTGGAATCACACAGGAGTCAGGTCGGCTTGAGGTGCCAGACTATTTAAAAACGCTGAAATTGAAAGCGTGAGAGGGAGTCAGCTACTGGATTGGCCAAGCCGTGAACTGAAGACGCCAGAACATAAATGAGTGGCGATAGCCAGCAAGGATAAATGACGAGCAAGAGGTGGTCCCGTGAAGTGCCAGACTTAAGTACAGCCACCACTGACTCATTGTCGCACAGGAACTCGACCCGCCGAGAGCCCCACTGAGAACCCCATAAGGCGGCGGCTACAACGATGGGGAAGAGCTCCTTGCACGCAATCGATAACGACCGTTGCTCCATAGACCAAGCGCCGCAAAACCACTTGGTGTTAAAAATAGCCCCATAGCCCAGTGACCCTGCAGCATCCGGACGAGACTTGGAAACCGGGACGGGCGCCCACGTGGGCATGCAAAAGAAACTGAGGCCATCCCAGGTTTGAAAAAAGCTCCCGCCACCAGGTAAGGTCCCGACGGAATTCTTGGTTTAGCCTGATGGGGTGATCGTCCAGGCGGAAGGCACAAAGCAAGTCAATCATCCGGCGAAGAAAAGTCCTCCCTTGTGGGGGCGACCTTGCAGGCTTGATGGAGGTGGCCAATCAAGGATTCCAACTCCGCCTCTTACAGAAACGCTTTGTGGACCACTCTTCAAGTAAGGCAACAATCCGGTCTCTTTTATCCGTGGGCAGGCGAGCCTCAAGCCTATCGGAGTCGAGTTCAATCCGAGGATAGTTAAGCAAGTCGTCGGTCCCTCTACCTTGTCAGGATGAAGGGGAGACCAAGCCTTTCGCAAAAGGCGAACACAGGTAAGTAAATAGAAGTGGCAGAGCGGGGATGACGGTGGACCAAGGGTAAAAAAAGTCATCCAGGTAGTGGCGTGGGAAGTCCACGCCATAATTATGAACCAAGATCCATTCAACCAGGTCCGCAATAGAAGAGAAAATAAATGGCGCTGAATGCAACCCAAACGGGAGAACCAGATCGACAAAGTACTTCCCACGCCACTGCATCCCCAGCAAGGGGCGATCGTCGGGATGGATAGCCACATTCCGGTATGCACTGGCCACATCAAACTTAGCCATTAGTGTTCCGCGACCCCACGCCATGATGCCCTCAATAACTGCATCGACTGAAACATACTGCACTGTGAAGGGAGGCTTGGGAATGCCATCGTTCACGCTGTGCCCAACAGGAGAGGAGAGGTCAAGGATGAGACGCCATTTGCCCGGTTGATTGTTCTTGGGAATGACCCCAAAGCGGCTGATGTGTAGAGAAGGAAAAGGAGGGGCTGAAAAGGGGCCAGCCACCCTGCCGGAGGAAACTTCGGTCTGCAAGTAGGAGTCTATCACAAATGGGTGCTCGAAGGAGGAACGCATGTTCGAAGAAGCGGACTTCAGATTGACCATGGACGACTCAAAGCCAATACGAAAACCCTCACGTAATCCGGACAACACATAGGCCACTGCTGCCTGGTCAGGATGATGCTGCAGCTCTGTCTGAAATTGAGCCAACCGTAATGGAGAGACCTGGGAGGCTGGGGCTAATGGCGAGAAAGAATGAACCGAAACTGCAACGCTGGGTATACTAACTGGAACTGTAACAGAACAAGACGGCTTCACAGAGGAACGCAGATCACGCTGCCCCCTTGACGACGCAACAGAACTATTTACACTATGTACACAAGCCTCACCGGGCAAAACTGCCCATTCAGTACCGTCCCCCTCTTCCCCCGGGTTGGGGAGATCAGGATCGTGCGCTAGAGGAGTTGGGAAATGGACAATTGATCTGGGTGTGTTCACCCTCACAGTTACTGCAGCGGTGTCGATATTTGCACCTACCAAAGGGCCAGCGGCACTGCCCGTCATTCCATGAATGGCAAAAAGGAGGGACCACGCTGGTGTCACGGAGGGCGGCAGGAAGTGGAGATGATGCCGTGGAAGAAGACGACCAAGGTGGCGGGGGTGAGGCCATGGCTGGAGACCTTAAGTGAAAGTTGTATAGGTCTAAGTTCATCCTTGACCAGTCACTGAGGCCAGAGGCAGCTGCATCCTTTCTGAACGCCAGGTCATACTCTAACCAAGCTGAACTAGAAAAATGACGAGCCGTTTGAATGATAAGCAGCTTATACTTGGAGAGATCGGGCCAATGATGAGGGTGAGCTGCACACAGCACCATCTGAAAAATAGTAAAGGCTTCCGTCCAAGTCAAAATGTCTTTTATTTCCACTTGCCTGCGTTTTTGACGAGGACACCACGAGCTTACCATCGAGGAACGTTTGCGGCTCCTGCTCCACGGCGCCGAAGGTTCACGGACAACAAATCTGCCAATTCGACAAACTGGCCGCCTACAATTTTTGACACTAGTTTTGAGGGAATAGGGGCATGCCCGGACCAACGATAAAAGCCTTCTCAGACTTGGGAGATGCCAACGAAGACTCAAGGCTTGGAAGACCGCTAGTAACGCCGGGCGATATGAAAGTGGAGGGAGTAGGAGCCACGGGCGGGCCGAGCTCGAGACGGTAATGGCCGGCACTGGCGTAAACGTAGGAACAAACGCGGGAAGCGTAAACGTACCTGAAGCCACTGAAGAAACACCGTCACCTGTACCGCTTTTCGAAGCGGACGCTGAAGAAAATAAAGGTTGTGGAGCCCCGCTAGCAGAAACGCTTGGAACCGAAGAAGAAGCCTGCGAGGAGGCGTTTCTCTGGATCGATGAAATAATGGCGGGAATGGAGTTTCCGATTGCCGAACCACAGCCTCGGTGAGGAGTCAGCCAACTGAGGCGACCAAGAGCTAGAAGCCGACTCGACACAGGACTTTCAGGCGTTGCCGTAGATGGAAGGGGTCTTCGGTAGGAAGGCCGCCCGATAAGCTGTTGTTGGTCGAACGAGATGGGCGCGGCATTACAGAGGACAACCAAAAACTCCCCAGCAGAGGACGAACCACAACAGGAAAAACGACGAACCACGGCAACGAAAACCACTTCGACCGGAAAAAACTTTGAAAGAACCAAGAGAAAAAGCTATGCTACTCGAACTGAGAAACCAAGCTAACCAAAACTAGGGCAGAACCAAGAGAAACGCTACGCTACTGGAACGCCACGCCACGCCACGCTAACAAAACTTTGAGTACAATGCAAACACAACGTAGGCACGTGGCCTCCGCATGCGCCAAAGCGACATACCGCTGGACAGGAATCTGCCCTCCAGCTCATGAACAATGGTAAATGCTACAAACGCAAACATAGTCACGCACAACGCTACAGATGACCAACGCACTACCAAAGAATGCCAAAACACCCGAGACCATAGCTCCTGGTCGTTAACTACATTAAATATGATTTAATAGTATATAATAATAATAATAATAATTTTGAAATTGTGCAGTACAAATTCCATAGAATGTTCAAATGTGCTTCACAGTAAAATCACACAGTGGGAAACTGGATACAACAACTAATACTACTACAAAAAAATAATAAAAATCATAATAATAATAAAACTATTAATACCAATACTGCCTACTAATACTAATACTACGATGATATTGAGCTCCAGGTTATGACAAAAATGCTTAAAGAGAAAGGTGTGTTTTTAACTTTGATTTAAAAATGTCTAAAGAGTTTGGAGTCTCTGACCTCAAATGGCAGTGTACTCCAGAGTTTTGGTGTTGCGCAAGTAAACAACCTGTCACCGAGTGTCACTTAAGGTTTGAAGCCGGGTTGCTTAAGCAAGAGGGTGTCACTAGAACGTCTCAATACTTTATTGTTAGCTTGGATTGATTTGCTGGGCCATTAGCTTCATGCAGTAAAAGCTTGTTATGTAGGCTGTAAGTCAAATGTTTTGGACACCAGGGTTCTCAATAGAAGCCGGCAGCTGGCTACTGATCGCCACCTACTTGGAGTTTGTAGCTGCCTAACTTTGCATTCTATTTGCTGCTTTTCTCCTTTTTGTTTGTGCTTAAGTCTTCCAGCTATTCCTATTATCTTGATTTGGGTTTTTGTTGTCTTATAATGTACAAAATGATGGAAACAATAGAGACCAAACAAGTAAACTTCCTTGTGCTTCTGTATTTGACAACTGCCATGTTTTCAACCTCATAAATGTTGCAGTTAATTGTTCCAAAGTGGCCGAAGTTTGAGTTCATGAAAGCTGTATATCCCTATCATGCTCCTTAATCTGTTCATGAATGCACCTTCCCATTTTGCCAATGTACAATTTGCTGCATTTCACAAGAACGAATCTTATACACTACACCATCTTATTTTCATGGATCAACAGGATCCGTAGGTTGTACTAAGTGCAATCTTCTTGACAAGTTTGTTCCTCTGATAAAAGTTTCTAAACATGTTGACAGAATGTGGTGTGTAGAAATTCTGTGGTAGTTGAAGTTGATGCCCAAATTGGCCTCAAAATTGCATTTTTAAAAGTGCTTCTGTATTAAAAAAATTTCTTCAAGAACATGCCTGAGACCCCCCCCTGAATTTTTGGGCATTTCCATTTGTTACAGCCACCTATGTAAGGCTGGGCAGGTGCCTACTTCAATTCCTTTTGAGAACCCTTTATCAATATTGACTATACAGCCCCCGAAATGATCCCCAAATCGACCCCAAAATGATACCGACCCTGAAATGATCCCCATTTCTCTTCACACCGTCGCCGAAATGATCCCCTATTAATTTTAGGAATGGAATGATATCGTAGAACTATTGATCGAGCAAAATGCACAACATTAATGTTGTGCATTTTCACTAATAATCTTTCCTTGCCCGCATTCTTTAATGACATTAATTTGGGATTACAATTTGAACTGGAGTAAAGGAAAATATTATTTAGTATATAATTTTAGTAACACCATGAACCGCAACTGATAACATCAATGAACATAACATTTTCTATTATTCATAATTTTATTACTTAGGTGATCATAGCCTGGGTTATGTCAAACTGCATGCCTTGGATAGTGAATTTTACAAATGTTGTGTTAACACTTTTTAAAATTTTAAAATGATGTTTAAGATAAAAAAAAGTAGACATAAAGGTGCATAAATTAATGACAAAAGTGCTGAGAAATAACATAAACCATCGTGAAATGTTAAATGTGACTCAGGAACGTAAACACTGCAATAGACTTGCAATAATTTCATCGCTGAATACCATTCCATTCCAATAATTAATTGGGGGTCATTTTGGGGTTGACGTGAAGAGAAATGGGGATCGTTTCGGGGTCGGTATCATTTCGGGGTCCATTTGGGGATCATTTCCGGGTCAGGGTCATTTCAGGGGCTGCACAATGTCAATACCTGGAAAATACCTTTTTTGATACCAAGTCACCGGATAGATTGTATAATACTGGTACTAACTTGAGTGTTATATTTCTTGTGCAGTGGCAAGACATCATCCAATACTTCTGTAGATATTTTTATCAAAAACAACAAGCCTTCAGTAGTTGATGTTACAAAACAGGTAAAAAACTTTGTTTGCTGTTGAACTCTTGTTTAGTTTTGTAGTCAGGTACTGATGTAATTTTACTTTTGTCTGTCTTATTATTTGAATTATTGCAGTTTTATTGCAAAACTAAATTTAATCTATTAAAAAAAATCTAATGAGATAATGAATAAGAAGTGATTTTGATAGACATTTGGAAAAAAAATGTTTCTCATATTAAAAAAAGTTTAAAAAGTTAAAAAAACAATGTTTTGACATTCAACTAACATCATTATCAAGTCAAAAAATAAGTGTCTGTTGCAGAGTATTAATACTAAGTAAACAAAGCTTCATTAAAAACCTAATATAAAGTGTCAAGAACGTTAGCTCAAATGAATAGTTTTGCACGAATTGGATCAGCCTGGGTGTTCAAGCTTGGCTTCATCTCTTTTATAAACAGCATTTCATGAATTTGGCATTCAAACTTTGTTTGACACTTTTGCACTTTGGTCCTGTATGGGGTTATCTAATTGCCCATGAGCTTCTGCAAAGAGTTTCCTGATAGCCAAGTTCTTATGTTCAACAATGCATTGGTAGAGATGTCGGGCTGTATACCCAACATTATCTGCATTAAAGTGTATAGATCACATGAGAAAGTATAAACAATGCATTGTTGTTTTATGATTGGCAGCTTTATTTCTTTTGGCTTGAGATCTTGTTCCAAATGGTCCAATGATGGTGCCATCTTATGACAGAGATCTTTCATTAAAAAAGGGCTTTCACAGAGCAGATACCCTACATGTATAATCCGGACAAGAACAGACTTTTGACTTGCACTTTTACAAATTTCTGTAAGCTCAGTGAACACACAAGATGACATGATGGTGTGGGGTGATGACTGTTCCACTGTTTTGTCATCATTTACATATGCTTAAAATATAATGTTTTGCTTCTTTTTCAGATTCAGTTGCATCTAAATCAAAAGAAATCAGTCAAAATCCACGGGCAAAAAATTGGAAAAGCAAAAATTACCTGTTATATACAAAGAAATGAATCCAAGGATCACACTTATATCAGGTATTTGAATAACTAAATGTGTTCTAACAATATTTTTTAGTATCTGTTAAAGTTTACAATACTAATGTATAATATGTCACATATGCTAGAGATTTTCTTATTTTTCTCTTTTTCTTGTCATAGTGTAAAGCGCATTGGGGACAGAAGTGCACTTAATAAGCACCTATATCATTATTATTATTATTATTATTATTAATGTTTCCCTCACAATTTGCAGATTTCCAGGAGGTTTATTAATTAATCAATGCTGTTATTTTAGTTTCCAGATCAATGTTGTGCATAACCGGCCATTAAGTATAATCAATGCTGTGATTGGCTGGATCTATTTTGTTGCATGGTCTGTTTCATTTTACCCTCAGGTAGGAAGTTGGAATTTGCTTGATACTTAGATATGGCTAAAGAAAATCAAAGCTGTTTTTTTTTGTTAGTGAAGCCAGCTTTTTATTCAACTGCTTGTTCAAAATTCCCTGTGTCTTTGTCTTCCAGAGCAATTTGAGCCAGTAGTAAGTGCTCTTTCAGCCTGTGAAATTAGCCGGCAGCAAGCTATTTCTTACATCCCTACATGGGAGTTTTATTGGCATATTGTTTCCATGCCATTATCATAACACCATTTAGTTTCTGGGGAATTGATTGTCATGTTACTTTTTTTTCTAGGTTTATCTTAACTGGAGAAGACAGAGGTAATAATTTTACTTTTACATGTAGATAATCATTTTTGTAACAAAACAGAGAGCCAGTACAAATGTATATGATTTCTCATAAAAATCCCAATTAGTCAACTATTTGTTGAGATTATTATGGAAAAGGGTTTTCATGCATGGTAGATCTTTGCCAAACGTGGATAATGTAAAATGGAGAAATAAATTGAACTTAAATTGCTAGCAGCTCTCACATTTTGCTTGCTTAGTGCTATTCCTTACTTTTCTTAATTAAATGATCTAATCAGTATAACAAGATGATTCGTCTTCTATGTCAGGCCAGTGCAGAGCTTAAAGATTTACTTGCTCAGCAAGAAAATCTATTTAGGTGATGACCAGGTGACTTTTTAAGCAAATATAGTAAAGAGTGGCAGAGTAGAATTATTTGAACTTGGGAGAACAAATCATCAAAAATATGTCTAGTAAAAAATAATTATCATACCCAAGTGAAAATAATGAAAATAACTTGTGTATGTTTTCTTTTTCAGTGTAATTGGCCTCAACTTTGATTTTCTTGCTTACAACATCACAGGATTTATAGCTTATGGTTTGTTTAATATTGGAATGTTCTGGATACCATCAATACAGGTATACTGTTTCATTTAAAATTATTTTTTAAGATAATTCCTGTTAATTATAGGAATTTCTTCATATACCAGACACCATCATATGAAACGAAAAACAAAAAAAACAAAAACAAAAAAACAAACAAAAAAACCTACAACAATTCTAAAACTGTAAAGACTGCTGAGTTGATTGTTATAGTCATGCACCTTTAATTTTAAGGTTCCTTTTCATACAGCTGCTTTGAAAATTAATACATATACATATTAATACATATTTTGCATTAAAATTATGTTCATGTAAGAAATGTTCGATTGTTTTCTCCAAGGTACTGATGACATTACTGCTTTTCTTTGTAGCATGAATATTTTGCCAAACACCCAGATGCAGTTGTAAACCCAGTCCAAGACAATGATGTATTTTTTACTATCCATGCTATCCTCCTTACATTTATTACTATTCTTCAGTGTTTATTTTATGAGGTAAATTTCAGTTCATTATTGATAATTGAAGTTGAACTGTTTTGCTTGTAATTAAGAAAAGATTAGGCCATTACATTATGTACAAGCTATCAATAAGGAAGATGGCGTAAAATAACAAAAACAACAGAATTAGAAAATGTGTTATCTCTGCTCCTCCTCTAAAGTATCAAGGAAAGCATTTACTTAAAATGTCTCTATTCCTTTTTGTTTCATCGTCAATGTCATTATTATTGTCATTATTATCATGGTCATTGTTACTTTACTGAGCACAAACTTGATGATGAATATTTTTTCCATTTCTTATAGCGTGGAGATCAAAAAGTATCACTTGTTTCTAAAGTAATATTGTCTTGCACATGGATGTTTGCAGCAGTGGCGTTAATTGTGACATTATGTCACACAATCACATGGTTGACATATCTGTATTACTTCTCATACATCAAAATTGGCGTCACACTCATCAAGTACATACCACAGGTTGGTTCAACCACATGCAGTTTGTGTCAATGTTAATATCATAAATTGTCATACCCAAAAGTAAAGGAAAGTAAAATTGAAGCAAGGATGAAATTTTGGCCACAGATTTTGTAACATTTGTTGCCATTAAATCTACCTTGTGTCCCTGTTTCAAGCTCGACATGTGTCTTGATGCAAGTTAGATAAATAGCCCTCATACAAATAAAATGAACTGGTAAATACCTGTTATCAGGGAATTGTCAAGAGTTTATCTTGTCTACATGTACTGTTTTTAATTCTGAAAAGGCATACATGAACTACCGGCGTAAAAGTACAGTTGGATGGAGCATTGGTAACATTCTTCTTGATTTCACTGGAGGATCTTTGAGTATTTTACAAATGTTTCTTTTGGCATATAATAATGGTGAGTAGTAACCAAGATTCCATGTAATTTAAAGTCGTGAAGTCCCTAAGCAAAGATTGTGAAACCTGCTCCCTCCCCCAGAGTTCGACTGCAGAAGCTCAGGGTAGTTGTCAACAGGAGTGCTGATTACTCACAGAAAGTATTTTTTGAAGTGAATTTTAGATCAAATATTGTTATTGTATTATTTTGTTTCTTAACACTTTCCTTTGATGATTGAGAGACATTTAAAGGTATGTTATTACCATCCCTATTTTGGTCTAGGTGTGTTCCATGGTGTGTGACAACATGTACTGAATTGCTTTGAACCATAACCACTGAATTAGCAACCCCCAGATGTGATTTTTTATTGTACTGTATCAAAGGCAGTCTATGATTCTCAATTTACTCTGCCACCAACTTAAGCTTGAGGTATCTGCACCGGCAAATTTTCAACATTTTATTTTGCCCTCAAAACCTTTCTACAGTAAGTTCAGATGATGTAATATGCATATCTAGTTTTCTTTTTCGAATATTCCTTCACATTTTAGGGGAAATCTACTCAAAAGTTGACCTATTTACCAGAGGTTAGAGAAAAATTTGCATTTCTGTTACTAAGAAAAAAGACTGTAGGAGACAGCAGGAGCGCAATTTGACGCTTCTTTTCAGCATCAAGTTCTGTTGATGTGCTCAACAAATTAAAATTTATTCACTGCTTGGATTCATTGACAAACTACAGCCGCTGTATGTCTAACTTGATTTTTCTTTCTTCTGTTTAAGCTGTGATGACTAATATTACTTGCTTCTTGTCAAAATTCATTATGTTCTTGAAATATACTCCGTTTTCCAGGACGTTATTGTAAAAAATATATATTCCATCGGCGTGTCTTCTCACTTGATATATTCTGACAGTTTTGCAGGGAGAGTAAACTGCTTTCTTGGCCCTAATCCTCTGGTCTGTTTTTCTGCTGATCAATCTCTTTACAGAAGCAATTATTCTTCCGATTTTCAATAAAACTCTTCTTCATTGCCTCATTGCAATGAGTAATGCATCTTCCTGAAGTGCGTCACACCTAGCAACTGGTCACATATCAAAATCCAAGGGGGGTATAGAGAGGTTATTTGGCATTTGTTTAGGCTTCCACGAGCATTTTGGTGGTTCAAAATGGCAGGCAAGAAGGTCTCTAATGGTAGTATCGCAGAAAAACATTTGATTTTGAGAGGAAAATAAGCTTCTTTACTCTGGAAAAGTGTTAATTATCGCATGACTGATGTACCTTGACTTACGGAAACCACTTTTATGGAGGAATGGATCATTATTTCTTCATGAAATTTGGCAAATACACAAACAGCATGTTAATGAAGAGAACTGTGTTCAACCAAAGGTTACAATTGCCGTACAGCTGAGTTATTGACGTCAAAATGTGGTTCAAATTACAAAAAATAGCAAATGGTGTCCTGGAAGGTGGATTAATCGGAGCTGTGTCGTGGTCAAACAATGGATTATTAATTCTGTCCTATGTCCTTATTTGTGTAAAATTTCTTTTTTTAACAATAACTCTAAGGATTCTTGTGAAATTTTGATGTTTCTTTTTCCGTGCCACTCTGGGGGGTAATTAAATTAAAACCTTTTGGGTGAAATAGCATACTTTATTTTGATATATTTTAGTTCCTCAAGGACTAAGAAATACTGTCAATGTAGTGATATGTAGACATCATCAATAATATAACTATTAAAATGATACAAAAATGTGCAAAATTTGCTGGGGCAGATACCTTACGTTTTTCTTGTGGTGTCTTTAGTCTGTAGGTATTTCCTATTACTATATTTTTCTAGTAGCTTGTGAATTTATAGAAGTTGCATAAATATAGAGGACAAATATTTACACTTTTATATTTAAATAAGATAGGAAAAATGCAAATGAAGTTGTTTGCTTTGTTGTTGTTCTCCTTTTAGTTTAATTAAATATTCTGAAAAGCTTTGTTTCCCATGCTGTTTTTCCTTCTTTGGGGGATAGGGTGTGGCTACAAGAAGGCTACAAAATGGAATATAAATACCCTATCCCATGACAATACCTATTCTGCTTATTGGAGTACCCTTTAAGCTGTCTCTGCACCTCTGTTCTTGGATATCAGTTATTCATGAAGACCCACTGCAGGGAGTCTTCATGCAGCCATCAACTCTTCATTTTAAGGTCTTTATGTACCTTTTTTATTTGCAGATGACTGGAGTTCTATCTTTGGAGACTTTACAAAGTTTGGTTTGGGTGCAATTTCAATCCTATTTGATTTTCTCTTTATGGTTCAACACTACTGCTTATATCCATCAAAAGGAAATGATCGTTATGAAGTTATTGCTGGAAGTGATCAGGTGTCAAGGGAGGCAAATGACAAATCATTGAAGTCCTTATATAGCAGTCTTGCATAACACTGCAATTAAGTTACAAGATACTGGGCATTAACAAGTGTCACGGAGTAAATTATTTTACAGCATATTAGAAATTGTTAGTATACAGATAAGAATAGAAAAACATTCTTGTCTTCTTTAAAATGGAAACTTGGTCATACAGATAATTATTTTTTAAAAAACAGCAATTTCAAGCCGAAAAAGATAAGAATAAAAATAAATATAATTATTGTTACATGCTGAGTATCTGGTCCTAAAGGAAAGCAGAACTAATTAATAATAATATTGTTTTATGCAGGGCCAGACGTTTGCATTGCCTTTCCAATCAAATAAAAAATGGGAGGTTTTTGGAGTGGCATAGCCGCACCCACAAACGAGCCTCTAGGGGGTCCAGGGGCATGCTTCCCTAAGATGCCATTTCCTACACAAAGTCGAGGCAATCCAGTGCATCACTGCACCCGAAATTATCGCAGGCTCATGCTCAGATGCCATAAGGGAAAAAATGGCTGAGAAACCACAGGAAAACAGCAAAAAATCTTGCTAACTGGAGTGGTTAAACAGAGAAAACATAATCTTTCTTTGGCTAGGAAGAGTTTCAAAGACCAGGAGAATATTAAGCAAAAACGGAAGGCTGGGAATATTTGCCGAAAATGGGAGGTTTCTGGCCAAAATGGGAGGGTTGGATTCTCTGCCTTTTTTCTATACAGCCACAGAAAAGAAAAGGGATTAGAGACACAAGGAAACAAAGTGAAAATTTCCATGGTATTTTTAGTCATCTTTTCTCAATGCATTGGGTATTGATCAGTTTCATCTGGAAACTACAGTTGTGCAGCCTCCTCCTCAGGCGCTTCGTAATTACTTTTACTATATATTATATGAAAGTGGTAAATTCAGTCAAAGCTCCCATATGTGAGTCATCATCCAAAGTGCTAATATCTGGTGATTTCTTACAAGAAGTTCCAACTGCAGTTTTTTGACATTAAAAACTAATTTTCAGGGTATTTTGGATGCTGTTGGTCACACACAAGAGGTAATTACACATGGAGGATTGACTGTATTTTTATATCAAAGTTTAGGAATAGTTTATTTTTAAACTCAGATTGTCATTGAGTTAATTGCATTTTATTTAACCGTTTTTAAAAGTTTATAGTGATGATTCGTGGCAAATTTTGCATTTTGCTGTCTTTAAGGGGAGATAGGTAATTTTATGACTGAGAATTAAGAAAAAAAAAAGTTGTTATTTTTATGCATTACATAAAAACCAGCTTTATCAAATCTGGGAAGTTATGTTAATATTGTGTACAGCTTTAAGTGAAAATGTTCAGCAAGGACCCACAGAGGATAATGAAAATGTATGTAAAAATGCGTGATAAGGATGCCAGATACCTAAAACGTGTGTCCCTTTTCCTGAAACACAGTTATCTTTTATCAGTGACATGTTTCCAGTTTTTACAGGATTTTGCACAAAAGGCATGATAATATATTAATAAAATTTTAATAACATAAAAATATTATGTATTTACTGGCATTAGTGCTGCCAGGTTGTCCTTTTCCGTTGCTATTAATAGCATGTGTGGCAGGCACAAAAAGAGGAGGGGGGAGGGGGGAGGGAGAAAAGTGCAAAATCCCCCCTTTTTTCCCTTCCTTCCTATCCCCTACCCCTTTCAATGCCTGCTACACAGGCTAGCTAATAAAGATGACATCCTGTTGTGACAGCAATGGTTTGATTTAGTCTCATAGTGGGGCAGGAGTAGATTGTGAGCAGTTTTTTGAAGTTTTGCATGAGAAGTCACCACCTGAAGGGGTTTTACTAAGAGATGGAATCCATTCCACTCATCACCAACATATTGTGCAACCAACAAACTAGCCAATAAAATAATACAAATACAAGTTAATGATACAGATATCAGGTTACCAGTAATTTCTAAGCAACTGTGTCTCTGAAATTAATAGTTTTTATTTCACGGGTTACTAGTCAGTGGGATCAAACATGGACTGAAGCCGCTGCATAGTGCACCTTTACGTGCTGACATGTGATCTAACCTCTCTAGTTTCTTTGCAATTCAGCCATTGGCTGCAAGTGAGGAAAGTTGGCACTTTTAATTCCTATTCCTTTATCCGTTCGATTTTGATGGTATTAATCTGTCTGTACTTTGCTCAGGAGGTCTGAGTTGTTTACTTCTGTTTACAAATAACAGACATAAGACAAAAACTCTCAAAAATCAGGTATATTGATGCACTGAATCTGCTTTGAAACACCTATTTCCTATGAATACATTTGCTTGACAAGAAGAATTTGAGCTTCATTGGTGCCAAATTGGAAAAACTCAAAATGTTATGGTTACTGAGAGGGAGAAACGGAAACTTGATCAAATTTGCATCCAGAACCCCATGGCTACCAGATTTATCATGTAAACATTGATTTTGGTCATTAGTATGGAATTTTTTGGGCCATAATGCAGATGTATTGCATGAAAAATACCCAAGTAGTGAGGAGCTGGCAATGAGAGACTGTTGAGAGTATTTGCAGGTTGTAAACACAAAAAAGCAATATGGAAAACATCAGTATGTTGGCTGTCTTATGTTCTTGCCTCTTCTGCAAATGATTGTCCCCCTAATACCCCTAGCTTGCATCACAGATGCAATTTAACATTGGTTAATAACATCTGTGAAGCAGTGCTGATATCATTGCTCTGGGCCCACAACAGGCTCGTCAAATCACCGGAAGTGTGTTTCAAATTTCCTTTCATCTTGATTGGCAAATTGATAATGGCTTCTTCAACAGGCCAATAGTGGTGCATAACCGAATCCTGGAACCAGAGTTTAGTTTTGTCTCTGACACAGCAGGCCCGTAGGTACGATTTTTTATAGAGAGGTGCGATCCAACGAGGAGATGGACCAAATGATGCCAGAGGCGCAAGTCTCTGGGTTGGGGGGAAATAAGGTTGTCTGAGACTGCATTTCTAGCATTTTGAAAACCTGGGTATTTCTCAAACTTTTAACCTTCAAAAGTATAGAGTACTTTATTTTACAATTTTTTTTAGAATGACAATGCGGGATGTAACTATTTTAAAAAAAAAAAAAGTGGAAAGAAAGATGTAAATCAGTGTTATTTGCTAGGTTTGATGCATGATGTTTGCATCATGATCTTTCAATAGTGTACCAGTCTCAAGCTTCCTTGGGTATTTCTTAGAAACAGATCAAACAAAGACTTCTTTCAGATAAATATATGTTAGACAGTGGATGTTTTTATTAGCCAGTGAAGAGAGCCTCTCTTGTGCCGCAAATAAGTGGCTCCTGTAAGTAGCCTGCGTAACAAGCGTTTCCATGCGGTTGTGAGGAACGAGAGTCAAAGACAAAAAAGTGGACCTCTGGGGCCTGTGGAGGAGTGCAAACACACATGTTGCACCCCTCCTCCCCACAGGCCTGCGCAGGCTATATATAATACCCCTTGATCCCTCCTGATGCCTAGTGACAAATACTACTACATGTTTTGTTTCTCTGTCAAATGATTGCACTGCCTCTTTTTGGCACACGATCTCAGCTCACTGTGTTGGATCAGTTCATCTATTTCACACCATAAAGCACAGAGCATTTTTCTTGCAACCACTTTAAAATCTCGTGCAATCCTGTTCCTTGTCGGAAACTACACTCTAAAACAGTTATGTCCTGTCTAGCATTCGCTATTATATCTGGTAGTCTTATTAAGGCACTTATTTCACTCATATTCATACAGTCTGGTGAATCAAGCTTGTTAAAAATCAACAGAATTGGCATATCTTGTGTTTCCTTTGATGACAGCATTTCCAAAAGCTGAATGCAGGAAGAGGCAATTTGGGTCCTTTTTGCTGTGTCGATAAGGTAAACTACACAGTTCGCATCTTTAAAATAGTTATTCCAAACTGGTCCCATAGCTCCTCCAAGTTCTCTGAAAGTGTACTTCTTTCTGTTATGTGTCAAAGTAACTAGATTTACACCAATTGTAGGTATGGTTGAAGGTGCTTCTCCCAAATCTTCTTTCTGTTGTGCTTGGGCTAAATTCTCCTGAGCGGTTATTGTTTGGAGCCTTTTCAACATAACGGTTTTCCCAACTCCTTCTGAGCCTAGAACCAACAGTTGTACCTCCGCCATCGCTTAAAAACCTTTGAAAACAACAGTAGTTTCAACAACAGCTGGCACGTCTTGTCGAGCAGGCTTCGGTATCATTCGTTCTTCTACGAATAACGGCGAGGACATTCCGACTATGCTAATCACGATTACAATATGGCGGACGACATGGACACTTTCAATCCATTTGAGAAAGAAGATGACGGCGAGGAAGGTGAAGCTGTGTTGCCAGATGTAAGTTCATATCCAAAAGAAAACAGTGATTTTTATTTTAATTCGATGTTAGATTTCATCTCGTGAGCTAGTTGCTCCACAAACAAACATGAATCTGAAATTTTATAACCCGTTACTGATCGTTAAATATGCTTAAGTTAAAAGTACCTAAGCAAATCTTTGAGAAGGTTTGAGGAAACACTCATGTTAGAGTATAATGTTTTCTCTTACTGGATTAGCTGTAACTGACCGCTGTTCACACAGTTTTTCCGGTGTGGGCCAGACAGGTTACACAAGGTCTTTTTAAACAGGTTTAGGCTTCATCTTTGGAGCAAAAGTAATAATTGTAATTTTAATTTGTTTATCCACGGAGCACATAGAAATTCTTAAGAACTCGTTGAAATGCGTCCGTGCATTCCAGATCGAATTTGAATTTGGAAGTGTCAAGGTTTTTAAGGCGAGGGGAAAATTGGAGTACCTGAAGAAAAACGTCTCATAGCAAAGGAGAGAACCAACAACTAACTCAACCCAGGGTTCTCAATAGATTTTTAAGTAGGAGGTGATCACTGATAAAGTAGGAGGCTCTTCAGCAAAGCCAGAGGTGTCAAAACAAAGCAAAGAAAAGCGACTTAAACACAAAACTAAATCCCCCACATCAATGGCGTTGATGCCAGGATTTGAGAACCCTGTCAACCCACATATGGCGTTGATGCCAGGATTTGAACCCTGGCCACATTGTTGGAAGGTGAGTGTTCTCACCACTGTGTCACCCCCCGGGCTCCCCAAAGAATAAGGTGGATATAAATGATGTACGTCAGTTATAACCCGCTGCCTAAGAAACAGAGTTAACTGTGCTCTGTGAAGAGTTGGCCATTGGTGGAGACGTATAAAACGAGCGTGAAAAAAGTGGCAGCAGTTGTAGAGAGGGGGACATTCTGCATATTTAATAATTCTTTGCAAAGCAAGATTTATAAATTTCTTGGAGTTTATGTCACATTAGGATTGTCCAGTCCAATAAAAATAATGCTGGATTTGGCCACTGGTAGCTGGACCAAAGGACCAAAATTCTCATGTGACCTAAAAACTTAATTCGCCAGAACACTATAAGCTTATCACTTATGGCACAGCGTCATCATAATTAGTTGGAGCAAACATTTTTATAGCAATTGCTGCTGATACCACTGGCAAGTGCTAGAATATAAATGGATTAAGATTGGGAAATAAGAGGAAACAAAATAGGGCAATTAAAAAAGGGCAATCAAAAAGCTTAGGGACGCTACTGCAAGTAAGACTTGACCGATTGCAAGATGTAAGAGATGATGCCAGTATTCAGAATGGAGGGAGGGAGGCAAAATACAAAAATGATTTACAGATCTTCTTTACAATAAGTAAGGCAGCTAAACAAATAAAATAACCTTTTCATATACATGTAGTTAGACACATGTTAAGCCAATGCTAAGACATTGGTTGATGCCGTACACTTGTACGATAGTATTACAGAAACACACTCTCCAAACAACAAGATGTAAATAAAGGTATTTATTACCTTTAGCCATACAGACTGTTTGTTACAAGATACTGTTGCAATATGGGTTGCGAAATTGACCTTGACACTTGTTTGTATCAACTGCTCTTTTGAGATGACAAGACATGATTGTATTAATGGCTCATTATGTCTAGTTGGTGCATGGTTTGCACAACACTAGCAATCCTGAGATAGCTCTGGTGTGTTATGCTCCTTTAATCTACCATGAAAAGTCATGGACTCTTCAGAACAAGAAGAAATAGTAATCAAACGTACTAAATTATGTGTTTGCTAATAAATGTTGTCAGATGGAACAATATTACAATGTGTTATGCATGTACATTATACATGTTCTGGCTACTGAAACATTAACAAACTTTGATTCTTACGCTCATCTTTTAAAAATATAATATGATCACCAAAAAAATGTTGTGATTTATTTTTTCAATTCCTTGAGCAGAGTCCAGCAGGAGCAGACAAGACAGTACACTCTGTTGATTTGGACTCCTCAACCTTAGATCAAAGTGCAGCATTCCTGGAGTCTTTTAAGATGGGAGGATATGATGAAATGACTCAAGTGAAAGATTTGCATGTGACTGTTGATGATCCTGAGAAGCATGTTGGAGGATATGTCAGTTACAATGTCACTACCAAGGTATAAAGGTTTTGCAAGAATTAGAATCATTAAAATTTTCAAGAATTTGATTTGTGGTCTACAGCTGTGCAAAGAAATATATATTTATAGTCTGTAGATTTTTGAAGTAAACTGACTCTTTTAGTCAATGACCCAGGTTGTTGATGTGAATGTGTGGTTAATGAGAACTAAAGTTAACATGAAGATGTTCATGTTCCTTGTATTACAGACCACAAGAGGACAATTTGATCACCCAGAATATAGTGTAAGAAGAAGATATCAAGATTTCCTTTGGCTGAGGCAAAGACTTGAAGAGAGCTACCCCACTCACATTGTTCCTGTAAGCAGCTTTTCATAGTCAGCCTCCTGCATTGTTTGAATGTAAAAAAAAAGGTTCCTAATAGACGAGAATGGTAAAGCCATATGCAGGCTAGTAATCTATTGTTGTTATTGGAGGGAAGCTGTCCAGAAAATGTTCTCAGTGACTCTGACATGGACATTTGGACAACAAGAGCAGATGGTATTTGTCTTTGACACAAAATTCCAACTAACTTGACTTTTGTTACTAATGTTATTGGGCAACACTATTGAGCAATTTCAAAACCATATAATATAATAAGATGCAACTGATGTGACAATGTAAAACTCATTATTTTTATCACAAATGTAGAGCCAAAGTTTTCAGGTGTCGGGAGACTGTGCTCTGTTATGATTAATAATATTATAAACCATAACAGAGCACAGTCTCCTGACACCTGAAAACTTTGGCTCTAGATTTGTGATAAAAATAATGAGTTTTACATTGTCACATCAATTGCATCCAGGAGAAGGTCTGAAAAAAAAAAAAGGTTTTCGTAAGGATGATCACATGACCTACATCAGGGAAGCAAAAGATACAAGCTTGAGAGGTACTTGTTAGTCCTGAGATTTATTGGCTTGGCACATACATTGTTGATCTTTAAAAATTTTGACCATGGTAGTCATCTGATGCTAATAGAAATAAGCAGGTAATGGCATTATACTTGAAGATTTTTTTGGTTTGTGTTTTTTTACAGCCACTTCCAGAGAAGAAATCATTCTCAAAGCACTTTGATAGATTTAGTACAGAATTTTTGAGGTCAAGACAAATTGCTCTCAACAAGTTTGTCAGCAGGATTGCAGATCATCCTGTGATGTCTTTTAATGATAATTTTCATGTGTTTCTCACTGCAAAAACATGGGTAAGTGCATCTTGTTTAGTAATAAATTTGGCATAAGTGCAGTGACATGTTGAGATACAGCGAGCTAGGACTAAACAGACTTTTAACAAAGCTGATGCTTAAAGTCTCAATTTTTGTCCTCTTTTGTGTTAAATATGTTGTGCATGTAAACTGTACCTAGAAATATGTGAATCGAAGGACCTCACACTGTGGATGATGTCAAGGCAGACACCAACCAAACTCAATAGACTTATAGCAAAGAGATGATCACAACTGATGATCCTAATGGTAGTCCCAAGCGTTGCAAATTCCAACAAAATTATGAACTCGCTTTTGCAAGGAACCAGCACATTCTATGTCATCAAGTTGGTGTATAAATAGCCAAGCTTGTAAACAATGCTGAGGCCGGGTACCTTACAGTGAAGGACTCTCAGTTGCTCAGAAAGCAGCTGTTCCACGGCTGTTACCATGTACGGTATCATTATCTTACTTTATTTTGTTTTCTTTTTCAAACTTCAGGAACTTACATCAGTTAAGAAGCAGAGCCCTGGCCTGATGAGCAGAATGAGTGATTCAATGAGGAACATGGCATCTTCATGGATGCTCAAAAACAGAGAACCAGAGTTTCAAGAAATGGCTGAGTACATCAAGACCTTCAGGGAAAAGATGCTGGTTTTAGAAACTATTTCTGATAAGATAGCAAAGGATAGATTTGGTAAAAAAAAGTGTGGTTATTTGCTTTTACACTGAAATGCTTCATTTTTTGACATTATTTTAGAGTTGTTTTGCACCACAGAATCAATTTGTTGCTTAATTTCAAACCTTTAACTTTCTATGTAGTTTGTGACGAAGAAAATCACTACAGACCATACTTTGAGCCTTCTAGTGGAAGGTTAAGACTTTTGATCTGTTTTTAAACTTGGAGTCAAGTCTTTGTTTTTGTATTTGGAATTTTGAAAAAGTAAATATAGTAAGTTACCACTCATAACATTTATTTACTTCCCTGAAAGTAGAGGAAATCCCTTTGCTACGCACCATCTCCAGTCTATAACAGCTGCAGTGTGTGTATACGAAATACTAAGGTTTCTATTGATGGGTAGAGGTAATATTGAAGTTAAAATAAGCATCGTCTTCACACCTTTAATTTAGTCCTGTCTTATTTTCTTGACACAGATCTCCTTGAAGTGTATACGGAGTACATTCCAATCTTCAACTTATGGGCTGATGCTGAATCAAAACTGGTTGATCCATTGCATGCCATGGCAAATGCTTTCGACAAGAACAGCTCATCTCTCAAAACGCTGGTAAGAATAATAATTGCATAAATTAATTTTAGTTGTAAGTGCTGTTGAACCATTGCTTCTGTCGCCAAGTCACTCATCAAAGGTCAATCAAACTTTACAAGGGTAAGGGAGGGGCGCCAGCCTTTGGGGCTGATTACTTCCTATCCTCTTTCACCTCTGCAGAGACTGGGAATAATAGAGGGGAATCCTGCCCATACCTTTAACCTTTACATAATTTGACCTCTGTTAGTTATTTCGCTTTTTAATAACAATTCATTTTCCTTTAGCTCAAGGCTCAAGATCCAAGATTTATGGAACCATTGCATGAATATGTTCTCTACACAGATGCTATAAAGGTATGAACTTGTAAAGATATGACATCAGATGTCAAGCTTTTGTACTGCACTGCCAGAAAGTTACCCTAATCAACAATCTCTTTTGTTATGTTAATAGAGCACTCTTAAACATCGAGACACAATTCAGATGGAATATGAAGTAACATTAGAAGAACTGTCAAGAAAAAAGGCTGAAAAAGAAGAGGTCAGGAATAACTATCTTATTATAAAACCCCTTAATGCAATGAAATGGCTGATGTGCCTTTGTTTCTTGTTTTATATCACATTTTCTTTCTTCAGCTTTAGCTCTTGCCACAAAATAAAAGTAGACTTGAGCAAAATTACCTTATGATTTCACACAAATAGGACATCTGGATTTCAAACCTCTCAAAGCTGCTCTTCAATTATTATTAGAGTTGAAGCTGCTAAGCTGTGACCTTTGGACACAGTACTTTTAACACTTGTTGTCGGTTCTTATAAACCATTAAATAATGTTAGAAATGCTCATTGTCATCATTATCATCATCTTCGTCCACATAGTCATCATCATCATCATCATCATCATCATCATCACGTAAGTAAGCTTACACAGTTTTAGCCCATCCTTAAATCCCAGTTGACTAATCAGCTTTTACCTCATTTTGTAGTTGGACAAAGGGACTGGTGGTGGACGTTGGTTTGGTAAAGACACTGAACAGTCCAGGCAAGACAGACGAGAAAGAGTGGATTCCAATATTGAAGAGGTAAGTGTTAGTTATATATAACTGCATTATCAACTGGCAAAATACATTTTATTTAGTTAGTGCATAAACGTTAGCTGTGTACGTCTTTTTTTGTTCATAGAAGTTGTAAAAAATTTTTCACTGAAGTATGTTTCTGGGGAAGCCAGGGTTGTCACTAAGATTTCAAGTTGCTGAGTAAATACATCAAGTAGGCGGGGAATCAAATGGCTAGGGATTTCTTTTGGTCCTGTTTTTCTTCTATTTTCCAATAAAAGTAGCCGGGGGCCACTCTCTTAGTAGCCGGGGAAAATCCACAGCCCCCGGCTCTTAATGACAACCCTGAGAAGCTCTGGAAGTTTACATCCTGTAAAACAATGTTGACTTATTTATGATAATAATACTAGTGGGTGTCGGTAAAACGCTGACTCGAAGTATAGATCAGGATTGTGGGCCATTATTTCTTTGTTCCAATTCCTGTTCTACATTTTTGTTAAGGGGAAAAACAGAAACAAAAACAAAAAAGAGGTTAGAGACATTGTTGAGTTGTATAGTCACATGGTGTTAAAAATGTTAAAATGGTGTGGTGTTAAAATGTGGTTTTTACTCTTGTTTTAGCTTTCAAAACTAGCTGAGTCTGGCAGTGATCGTTTGGAGTGTGCTAATGTTGATCTCAAGGCAGACATTGAACGATGGCATAAGAACAAAATAACAGACTTCAGAGAACTGTTAACTGAGTACTCTGAGAGACACGCTAACTATTACAAGGAGGTAAGGGTTTAATAAAGCTTAAGTATGTGTCTTTTTTTAAAGTAAAACTCTCATTTTTTACCTCCTGGATGAAAAGGTGCTATAGTAACGGCTGTTCTCAGTAGGCTAGAAGTTTGTTATTAGTTATTGGTGCTACAGGTCGGCTTCAAGGCTGCTTCTTACTAACGCTTACATTTTTTAAACTTTTTGTTTAGTGTTTGGCCGCCTGGCAGGAGGCTTTGAAAATTGTATCAGGTGGGAAACAAGACCAAGAACAAGATGTTGAAGATGTGTAGAAAATATGTTTAGATAAACTGATTTTATAGTTAAACTAGGTAAATAGAGGGTATGGAGTATGGAGGGCTGTAAGATTTAAGGCATGTCGTCTCTAGTCTGAATTTCAAAAGTTGTCGTTTTCTGTATTGAGGGGAAAGCCATGCCCTTGTCGGAATTTTTTTTACTATTGTATTCTACTCTTGTATTCGTTGCTGTCGTAGTTTCAACCCTTTTAATCTGTGGCGGTATGTCTGTCCGGCGCTGTTTCAAGGCCATCTCGCTTGTCAGTCGGGATCTTACCTGGATAACAGAGCCTCAAAAGAAACTGAGCCGGGTGCTATACTATTCGATGAGAAAAGGAAACATAAATGATTTAGTTTTAACAACTGAGCAGGTTTATCAGAAGTTCAGTTTACTAACGTAAAAAGATTTAACAGCTTATTTTGGTCACATTAGATTGCGCATGCTTATCACGCAAATTCAGAAGGTTAATGATAAGGTCATTTTTCGGAAATTCCAACCAAAAATTAAGGACTACGTTTTGAAATAGTTGTGTGCCATTTACTCTTTTCTCGGTCGGTTCCAGTCTAGTTCTATACACGTAGCAGTCAGACGGTAGATCGCTTATCATTATGCCGACAGGTTACCCACCCGGGTTTATCATTCAAATAGTTGGTATCCTGTGCTGATTGAAGCGCGTAATGTGAAATGAAATTCTAATTGTTTGAAAAGCAGGGAGTACATTTGATTAAAAACGTTAATTTGTAACCATTTGGTTGCGACCCAAAGAAACGATCATGTCTTTCATAGAAGAGTAGAAAGGCAAAATTCATGTTGTGGAATGCATTATTACCAAACAAGCTTATTACTCTCAGTTATATTCATATGAAGCAAGTTTCAAGTTTATTTTCTTACGTATATAAATTCAGTTTCAAGGTTATTAGTATTTCATTTGCTAGCATTGACATGAATAGAATTTTAACAAGTAAAGTAGGTAAATTTATTAATAAGTCGTCGGAAATTTAACTGAAAATAAGCTACCGTGCAAATGATCGGTAATAAAGGTGTCATTATTTAAAATAAGTCAAGATCATCATCCTCTTGTTATTCTGCCCCAGTCCTCTATAGAGCTCTCGGTCGGGGGTTGCCATTCCTTATTCTTGCTTCTATTCATAGTGTTCAGTCATTTATTAGTTGACCCACACAGAGTAAAGCGGGGCCCTGAGCGCGTAATTGTATGTTTGTTTAAACGACAAAAACAGTCCATTAGCTGGGCCGTTTCTTCTCTCCCTCCGAAAAGGAGAGAAGCGACGACTGGAAATGCGTCTGCTGTTCGCAGGCCAGGCCGTTTCTAAGCAATGACATGAACTCAGGTTGAGGGTTGCTACCCATGCTCCTGCATGACGGATACTTGTGACGCTTGTATAATAAAGGATAAAATATGTTTGTTCAAAAAGTTTATAATAATTAAGCGCAAACATAAACATGATTAGTGAATTTGTCAGAAGGCACATCATGATTATTGGGCTCGAGTATTGAAATGCAGTAGATTTTTTTCAATCCGAAAGGATGTAATCCTCTATTATGATCTTGCCTTCTCTGTCTAATAGTTTAGCCTGTTGTGACGTGCGTTTCTTATAATTGTATTCGACTCACATCGAAGATTATTGTTGTTGAAGAGAACAATATCACCTACAAATTAGGATGCCATTAACTATTTATCATCGTGCAGTTATGCTGGAACATATTTCATTATCTTAAAAATAAGAGAAACCAAACTACTAAAAAAGAGAGTGCAAAAATATATTTTGTTACAGACAGCATCGTTTAAATAGAAGGAACTAATAATGGGAATTCTTTTTGTAGAAAGTGAATGAAATATTCATGTTTTGACTGGAATGTTCTTCGTTTATTTGTAAAGAAAAGATTACATTGAATGTGAACGCTGTTGCCCAACAGACTGGAAAGAAACGTGATTACAGAACTGTAATTACAGGAGGTTGTGTCCTCTTAAACTAGTACAAGACAACCTAACGCGGTTACAAGCTGTCAAAACCGCGCGCGCGTGTTGTAAGTCACAGTCTTGAGAAAATTCGCAAGTGAAAATCTTGTTTGAAGTCAATTACTTAAGCAATCAATTAGTAATTATTATTCCACTTCTCACCTTCTGACGCGGTCTATTCTTAAAAGTATTCCCCGACTTGGCTCTTAAAGGGAACCGCTTCTTAATTGGAATCGATGCGTTTTTCTACGAGCGAAAGGCCGCAGCAACGTCTTTGAAATAAACCGCGGCGTTCAAGTATCTTAAAGACAGTAAGATGTTTGCTTTTGGAGAAAAGTTGGAAAGAATACATACAGATGTTGCCACGGAGAGAGCGCGGATCAAGAAAGGAAAAGTGCTGGGAAGGAGGCAATCAGTTTCAGGACTTGCTACTTCGGAAACTCTTACTCTTCCTAATATAACAACTACACAGCTTACACAAAATAGCCTCGAAACGGCGGCCTGTAGAAGTTGCAAAGAGGGAATAGAAGGAATGCCGAATGGTATAGAGAGAAAACCCCTGAATCAAATTGCAAAACAGGGTCGGTTGAGAGATAGCACTTTTATGTTGGAAGATAATGGAAAAAGTGGCGTAGATCAGTTAGAGGGTTTATTTATTTCCAAACTGAATTTCAACAGGGAAAGAACTGAGGAGTCTGCAGAAAACATCTTGTCCAGCAGTGATAAAACTAAACCAAGAAAGCAACAGCTCAGCCGTCTTTCTAAAAGCGACAGTGGATTCTGTGAACTTGATTCAGGGGATGATTTAGTCCCTGCCGTCGGCCTTTCAGGGTCTACAGCCTCACAGCCTCATCTGCAGGACTCTGACAAAGCGTCTAATATTAGTTCTAACAACTCGGTGACTGCGCCGGAAAAAAGACGTAAAATTACACTCGATTTCAAAGACATCTTAAATCAGGACAAAGCTGTAATAAGGAATACAGAGAAGCTGAACTTTCGCCCTATAAACATGTGTCTGCAGTCGCATCAATCTCTTCATGCTGACCTTGTCGCGTTTAAAAGTTTGTCTACTCATCATAAAGAAGCAATTTCAAACAGTTCTTTACAAACAAATGAGCACTGCATCAAACTACGAGAAGTTGTTCTGAAAACGAAAACAAATATCTATGATGATGCTGTCAAACAGTCGGATACCTCTCTTGCCGTTCTTAAAACGCGACGCCGTCTTTTAAGCAAACGTAACTCTTCTTGTCCACCTTTCCCTTTTGTAAATCGAAGAAACAAAGAACGCTCGATGGACTTGGGCAGAGCCACCTATAATTCCAAACGCCGTTTAAACTTTTCAGATGCGCGGGAGCGATCAAACTCATATAGACAATGTGTAAGTTGTCCTGTTGAGTTACGTTCTTCACAGACCATAGAACTTTGTCAAAGTAGAGGTGAACTTGAACTGACTGCCGATATTAGCCCGGCTGCTGAAATGAGTTGCTCTGTATCAACATCAGGATTGACAGAAAAAGCATTGTTAGATGCCTCGCGATCACAAGAAACTGCCAATGTTAACGCTAAATGCCAAGAATGGCTTAATAGATTAATTGGCTGTAATAGCATTCCAAAGCAAGGTACCATATAGGCGGTTCAATTGTCCTTTGGAAAGCCCCATGGAGGAAGTGGCTACTGCATTTAATTTAATTAGAGGTCTAGTTTCAGTGCAGAGTAAAACGTCTTTTGAACTCAGTATTAAACGGTACTACCAGACATGCACTTACTTTGAATTAACTGTATTAATTTATTTCATTGGTTGAAAACAACAACAATTTTTCTTAGTTTGGAAATGCTGATGAAATAAGAAAGTTTCGACTCTCACAAAAAATTAAAACATTTCGAAATGCCTGCGAACTGGTTCCTATTTCTGATCGGCCGACGGCTGCGGGCAAGGGGTTAATGGTGGGAAACTCTCCATAATGGCCTACACGCGCTTTTCCACCCGAAAGAAGGTATCTTTTTCAGGCTAAGATTATACTACGAGTAGTCCCCAAAGGTTAGGGAGAATACACGTGAAAAACAAAAGACTTCATGTTAGTAGCTAGGTATGTGAAAGACGGAGATACCATTTTCAATGGACATAAGGGTTACCTTGTCTGTCAAAAATAGTGCATGAAAGGTAGCCCCCTCCTTTCCCCTTCCTCCTGATGCCCTACCTCTTTCGACGCCTACGACGAAGGATAAGGGGTGAGGCCTCGGGGTGAATAAGGGGTGGGGCCTCGGTGTGAAATAGGGGGTGGGGCCTCGGTATGAATAAGGATGAGGCCTCGGTATGAACAAGGGGTGAGGCCTCGGGGAGAATAAGGGATGAAGCCTTGGGTTGAATAAGGGGTGAGGCGTCGGGGTGAATAAGGGGTGAGATCTCGGGGAGGATAAGGGGTGGGGCCTCGGGGTGAAGCCTCCATATGCAATACTTTTCTGAGTAATACTCTTTTAAGCTTCGGGATGGGGTAAAACAGTTACTGCCTGATTAAAAAACCGTGGACGGAGATCCTGCTGGTTGTCAACGTTAGATCTCTAGAAAAAGATATCTAATCAGCCAGAATATTAGGTACAAAAAAAGAAGAGAAGTCTTAAGACTACTGCAAAGCCCCGGGTGCAAAGTTGATAATAACAACGTGCATTGTTTTTTATAACAATATTTCCGCTGGCCATACCAGCCTTCTTCGGGTTTACAGATGTTGTGGAGCGACTGTCATGAATAGGGAAAAGTAATTTTAAACCCCTAGGGAGGCCAGGCGAACACTGTCATTTTTCGGGTGGGTATGTGACCCGGGATCCAAATTGGGGTTCTAAAAAAAAAATTTCTCCTAAAATTGAAAGAAATGGGCCAATTTTTAAACCCGTTCTAGGGTGCAACAAAGTACGACAGTTTGCTTGTTAACCATTGAACCGTATTTTTCAAAACAATCTGTCCCTGAATAATTTCAAATAAACAAAACTGGAGTTCGACATATTATACCCCGTTCTAGAAAACGCCTCTTTTGGATCTTTCACGACCCCGTTCTACCCGTATAGGTAATGTATGGGAGTACCCCCCCTCCCGGGGAACAGGCTTTCTTTTTTCTTTGACCTCTAAGGAAGAACATACCCGAACCAGGAGCTGATTCTTAATAACCCCAATCAGCTCCTGACTCCAACTAGTATGACGGCATTGATTTCTTTTGGCATAACTCCTGCACTTGTTTCATTCATGATTTCTGGAATAACAGAATATGCATAACATAGTATAGCAGACTATACGCAGATAAGTTCTATTACCTTTCGTTTATTGTTTCACAATTCCCTTTTTATTTGGTTTATTCCTGTAACCATCTTTTCTGGCACCATTCCCAAACTTCCAGGCAAAGTTTTTATCTTGCTTCCAGATCTCACTCTGTCTGTTTTATGAAAAAGCAGTTAACCAGCGGTACTTCGCACGTGGTAAATTCAACATGGCGGCTGGAGTTGGAAGTCAGTTGTTTAGTCCATTTCGAGCTATAGGTTTTGTGGCAAATCATGTTCCACTGACTGTACAGACACAAGGAACGGAAAATCTTGTAACTACTGCTGTGGGATCGGCCTTTCACGTGTATAATGTAGGCATAATCTTCTCACGATTTATTGACTCCATGTAGCTGCTTCTTAAGTTTGTAAGTTTTAAGAACCATTTTTGTTTTATAGTGTGCCAAGCTAAACCTTCTTTTCGTTGGTAAGTTGAAAATATAATCTTTGTTATTGTTATATTCCTTTTAATTAAACCCTAACCAACAGGTGAAAAGGAAATTAATAAGTTCTGTTTGCGTTTTTCTAGACTTGAGAAAAGCGTTTCATGTCATCAGGCATGATATACTGCCTGCCAAACTTGAATCTTAGGGTATTAAAAGGAACGCTCTTCAGTGGTTTAATAGCTACCTATTAGGCAGATCTCAATTTGTTGTATGTAGAGACTGCTCTTCCCGTTTGGAGTCCCTCAAGGATCGGTCCTGGGTCCTTAATATCCATATAAACAACATATCTAAAGCATGTCACAAGTCTGGTGTTGCGCTATTTGCAGACGATACCGAGATTCATTTTAGTTCCAAAGACGTTGGCAAGGCCGAGTACATAATTAACAAGGGTCTCAAAAGCATTAACCAGTGGTTCTCTAACAATGGTCTTATTTGTAACACAAAAAAGATGGTGACAATGGTTATTTCATCACACAGGGCAGTCAAAACTGCCAGAGATGTTCATATATCTTACGGTGATTCTCTTCTAGAGCAGAAGAGATCCTTTAAGTACCTCAGTGTGATAGTAGATGAATCGTTCTCTTGGAACAGTCACTTTTTATGTCGCCTCCAGAGTCTACCCCAAACTAAGTTGCTGAATAGGATTTCGTCCTTTCTGGATCCAACTACCCTTTTGACAATTTATAAAGCGACAATTTTACCTATTTTAGATTACGGTTGTATTTTATGGGGATCTTGCTCCAAGAAGAACTCTGATTTTTTAGAACGATTACAAAACAAAGCTATGAGGACTATCTTACGGGCAAACCACCTGACTTGTTCACAAATGACAAGAGACAAACTAGGACTTTTAATACTATCTAGTAGGCAAAGATTGGAACGAGTTACCTAATGAATTATGGGTTGTTGGCCTAACATTAGGATCTGTTAAAAGAAAGACATTTAAGTATTTGCAAGAACAAGAGAAAACACATAAATGTACATTGTAGATTAGATTATTCATTTTAATTTTTTTAACACCTCTTTTTATTGTAAATATTAGTCTTTCTGCTTGTTTACTATGTACTATTGTTTTTTCTTTTTAATCTTGAAATATTTATTACTGTGCATAAGTTTATACTGGTTGTTTTTTCATACTCTGCTGATCTATTTTTTGCTGTATAACTCAAGTATTTGTTATTATTATTATTATTATTATTATCATTATTATTATAAGTATATCAGCTCAGTGTATGCACTTTGTAGTGCCATTTTAATATTTAAGCTTATATATGATAAACTTAAGCCCAGGATGTAACTTTTTCTCTTTAATTTATAGGCTTACTACAATCTGGGGAGATATCATGTTTATTATCACACGGAGACTTGGTAATCACAGCCTCTGGGAAAGAAATGACTTCCTGGAGAAGGGGAAAACAGGTTTGCTGCTGCTTTACAACAAGTTCTAGATGATCTAGAGGTGCTTGTTGATTAAATTGGGTGCCTTGTCTTGCCCTGTGTAAGAGTTTTGTTCTGTAGAGCAATGTTTGTAGTCTTTGTCTTTGGAGTCACTTTTTTTCATTTTAATGACAGTAAATATAATATTATAATTGAAAATAATAAATTTTTCATATATGTAGTTTCCTTTATTGTTATATTTTTCCAACGTAAATGACCCTTTTACATTATAGTGTCATTTCACTTCCTTCTCCTCTCTCTCTCTCTGATGAACCTCAGTCTTTATGAGGGCAGGCTCAATAACAAACAAACAAAAAACAAACAAAAATAGATAGACCAAAATAGCTGCTTATATAATTTTCTGGGATAAAAAAATGCGGTTGGTGAGATGTTTTGTTCCACTTCCTTTCAATAATGCACAATAGTTTTTCTAAGGAGCTATGAGCCTTTTTGCTATAAAGGTTATAAAAAAAGGTTATAAAGGTTTGTTTATAGTGTAAGGTGCACTTAGCTTATCTGGCTAGTTTACAGGAATGCCTCTCAAATTATTAGAAACAAATAATCCAAATTGAGCGTAACAGGATTGAAAACCCCAGCTGACAGGAGGCAACCACTTTATCCCATATTTTTCCCCCTTACCGACGGCAGTAATATTGTTTTTTGTTTATATTAGGTTGCAGAATTTAAGGGACACAGAAGTACCATTCACTTTATTCTTTCATTTGGCTCTCATTTGATTTCTGTTGATGAAGAAAGTACAGTCAGGATATGGCTTGTAGAAACAACAGGTGAAAATAATTATTACAGTTTTGTTTTTTAAAAAATATCCTGGCAGAAGGGAGGCTGAAATTTATTTTCCAATAGAAAATAATTTAACTTGCCTACCAAGTTTAAGAATTATTGTCAAACTTAATGGGCGAGTTTGCTGATACTACTGAGTGATGGAACCATCCCATCTCTAGTTTCTTGTCAACCATGGCATGATAGAGTTAGTTATTTTACTAATACTAGTGTCTAATCTCATTGTAGAATTATATCTGGAGATGGAATTTAATGCAAAGAATTTTTATGTGACATGTTTGACACATCCCAGTACATATCTGAATAAGATTTTACTGTGCAGTCGACAGGGTCAGATGCAACTATGGAACATCAAAACAAAGTATGGATTAACTTTTTCTCTCTAGTCTTCAGCTGCTAATATTCTTTAGTGCTTTATTTTGTTGCCAAAAGATATTTGCTCTAGCACGCCATGTACAGGAATGTTGTAGATCAGTAAATTGATAGCAAGTGGCAGGTTGCAGATTTGTTTATTGATTAATTTTACTTCATAATTAACTACATGTATTGTTGTAGTTTGGTAACTTATTGCATAAGTAGCATACAGGTACCATTACATGTATTCTAGCTGATGCTGAAATTTTTTGGCCAGTTTACATTTTCAGGTTATATTGTCAAATACATTGTGAATGTACTTTGCAAATTTTACCAGTGGTCTTTTTCTTATAGCAAATTGATTTATACATTTTCTGGATGGTCAGAACCCATATTAGCTGTAGAACAAGTGAGTTCTAACTATTTTTAATGCTCAACCATGCCTTACCAGTTTTTTTACTATTAAAATAAATCAGCATTGCATCAGCATAGTGGTGACCTTTAATAGAATGAATTCTTATTGAAACACTATAGCATTATGATCATGTGGATCAGAACATTGGATCGAACATTTCTTGATAAAATACCCTTTTTTATGTTCAATGTCACAGCTCCCTGAATAGCCCTTAATATACATTGTGCCTTGTCCCCTCTTCCTACTTCATAACATACCCTTTATTCACATTACTATCCCTTACAGTGTAGAAGGGAGATTTGCACAGAAATTGACTGTTTGACAGGGGACAGCTACCTTGTTGTAAAGAAACTGGGTTCAGAAAGAAATTTGGAAATCTTAAGGCAAAGGCTATGCTTCAATAACCATCACTGATTCTGTTGATTCCACTTTCAGTTAAATACAATGTTTATTGACTATTTTGTTGTTTTGTAGGCTCCTGCTGTTGATGTAGTTGGCGTTGGGCTGCAGAGCGGCAAAATGATCCTTCACAACCTTAAGTTTGATGAACCTGTTATGAGTTTCCAGCAGGAGTGGGGTCCAGTCACAGCTCTTGCATTCAGAACAGGTACAATGAATACTTTATAACAATATACAAATTTTTAAAAAAATGGAATCACTGAGAGAAGTGAATAATAAGGTAAAGTGGAGTATGCATGGCATTGGTGGAGATGTTTTTTATGAAATAATATTATAAGTTAAGGTTAAAAACACTAACTTAGTTAACTATTTTAAATGTGCTAAATTACACAATAGGTCTCTGCTTCTTTTCTTAATTCAAGTGTTGAATTTTTTTCACAGATGGTAACCCCATCATGGCTTCAGCCAGCACAGAAGGTCACATTGCTTTTTGGGATTTGGAGAAACGTCAGCTTGGTACTGTGTTGCGTGATGCTCATAAGGGCGTGGTTTGTGGAATGAAATTTCTTCCCTCTCAGCCTCTACTGGTTACCAATGGTCCAGATAACTCTTTAAAGGTGAGTTACAAGTATTTTAAACAGAAGTATTTGGTCAAGTATTTTGGTATCTGGTTTTATATAAAAAGTTCAGTACAGTAGTGTACTGAAACAGTGTTCTTTGTTCCTGTTAGATTTGGATATTTGACCAACCAGATGGGAGTGGCCGTTTGTTAAGGTCACGCTCATGCCATAGTGCCCCTCCTACAAAAGTTCGTTTCTATGGCAGCAAGGGAGTTGACATATTGAGTGCTGGTGAGAATGATTTCATGGTAATTTTTCATGTTGACCAAGCCTACATGACTCATATATATGCGATTTTTTTGTGGTTCGCTATAAGTACTTTTTCATTAGTCTGTGGATTGAATGCTTGGTTTATAAAAAAGCACAACCTTTAATATAAGTGTTAGATTGTATTAAAGCATCCTCCCCTCAATAGCTGCATCATAAGACTCAATATTTAGACCATTTAGTCCAAATTACTAAATTATTGTTTTGTTGATTAAAGGAAGCAAAGTTCTTGACTTGGAAAAATATGTAGAATAAACTCTTCCCAACAGCACACCATAATATTTGCACTCTTTGGTTTTAAATACACGTCTGTGTGTGTTTTAGGACTGGACAGGAGTTTGAGGTTTATTTCCAAAGTGCGAGATGCACGCAGTTGTGAATTATCTCAAGGTAACATATGCTTTTTGTCCTCTTCACAATGTTTTTATAAGTTACCCCTTTGAAACACTATTTCTGTATGGAAAACAAGGGGGTCTTGCAGAGCCCTGCAAACTGGCACAGTTCAGTGTTGAATCTTTAATCCTCCATTTAATGGTCATTTGCTTCAAATGTTTAATATTTTGTCATACTATCTGGACATAGTATATTCATTTGTAAGAACAGCTGTCGCAACTTTTGGGTCACTTAATTGAAGCCATCAAGGAACTACTTTTACAGTTTTTATCTGTTTGAGCCCAAAGTTTGTAGGATGGTACATTTTTGTATTACAAAGCATTGTATGTTTTTTATTTTTCAATTTTAATGGTTTTTGGAAAGAAAATGATGACACATGAGTGGCAGCAAAATTGAAATTTCAACTGACGATGTAACAAATAAGTAGTTTTCAAAGAGCACGAAGTGATAAAATCACCAATGAAATTTTTTTTTGAAAAGCTCAATTGGTTAAGAAGTTATTAAGCTTTGATTTTTGAATTTCCCCCCATTTTCAAAAATTTTTTCCACATTTGTTTCTATAATGTCATGCTCTATAATAAATATCTATCTGTCCGGTTACTAGTTGAAGTTTCAATTTTGCTGTCAATCATGTGACATCATTGTCTTGCCAAAAACTGTTGAAATTGAAAAACAAAAAAAAACATTCGATTGTTTGGAGTACGAAGTTCTACCATTCTGTAAACTTTGGGCTCAAACAGATAAAAACTGTAAAAATAGTTCCTTGGCTTCAATAAGAGACCCAAAAGTCACGTCAGCTGACCTGGCATGAGTTTATTTACAATGGTTTTGATATTGTTTAAAACAGGTTCTTTGGCAAAGAAATCCAAGAGTCGTGGTGTCAATTTAGAAGAGCTGAAGTTGCCACCAATAATAGATTTTGCTTCTGGTATGGAACGTTATTTTATAAAGCTGACCAGTGAATTCAACAGTGTGGTAAAACTATTACTTGGCTCTTTTCTGTAACCATTCTATAAGAATATTAAATATTCTTATAGAATGGTTACAGAAAAATTTAGGTGGCTTTATTGTGTTACAAAATATACGGTCATGTATATTTTAAACAACACATATTTCGCTCCATTTCATGTAAGAATTACAAATACTAAATGGAGAGAGAAATAGTTACTATAGTTCTGGGCCCAGTTGTTCAAACACTGGACAGCGCTATCCACTGGATATATCACTATCCAGCAGGTAAGTATTATGGGAAACAATTGCATTATCCGCTGGATAGAAATTTATCCTGTGAATAGCGCTATCCAATGTTTGAACAACTAGGACCTGGTTGATAAATATTTACCTTGGTAACTATGGCAATTGCTTTATGGCAGAGGATGTGCGTCAGAGTGCATGGGACAATATAGTGACTTGCCATCAGGGTGCTATGGAAGCCAGGACGTGGAGCTTCCAAAGAAAGAGCATTGGTAAACATCATTTGAAATCACGAGCTGATGATAATCCTGGCCCTGTCCTGGTGTGTAGATAGTATTGGTGTGTGTACATGAATTAGTATGATATCCTATGTCTAATGAATGCCAGATATGAGTACAATATACTCCTTGATTGAATAGCTGTTATGGGGATTGCTACTAGTGAGAAGGTTATGACATATTTTCCCAGAGTGTGGAAACTCTCAGGATTATCCACATTGCTTGTCTCCTCTGGTATTGTGAACGAAAACAATGGATCTTTAAGATTCACTTTAAGTTGAAGGTTTTTGTGCAAGACTGTTTTAAAATTGAGAACATAACATTTTTTCAGATCCAAAATTAGTACTATTCTTTTCTTAAATCACGAAAGTAAACTGTATTTTTCTGTGATCCACAGGTGACAACTATGAGTTCCTGTGGAAATTTTGCCATCACTGGTGATGGTCATGGACATGTTGATATGTTTAACATTCAATCTGGAATTCACAGAGGGCATTTAGGGACACCAAAAGGTAAATAAGTTATATGATAAGCGGGAAGGCCTGTGAGTACTCCATGAGTACACTTAGCTTTGATCTTTAAGGAGTGTCAATTGTAACAACAAGGCCACGTGAGATATAAAAGAGATTTTGAGACTGTACTGTGAGAACTGAAGACCATTTACAAGATAAGAGAGTTTATATTCTGTGGATCATATTTGAAGCTTAGGCTACATGCATGTTAGCCAACATTGGAAGGAAAAAGAGTGCATAACAGTTAGCCAGGAGTGGGAATTGGAGGACAGACTTTTCATTTGCCTCTAACCCTTCCCTTTCAGTTTTGTTCACAGGCTGTGTTTGTGGCCAAAATAAGCAACTTAATTCTCCATCATATACAGTTTACACACACAAATTCACCCTTACTGAAAACATAGATGAGTTAGTATAATGAGTGGGTAAGATTTGTAGACTTTTACAGCTGCATTGTGGCCCATGGATTATCTGTATTTGTTACATGTAATAATTATGCATTTTAATTTCAGCACACAGTGGTCGCATAAGAGGTCTAGCTATTGACAGTGTAAACCAGCAAGTTATAACTGCTGGAGCCGATTGTAAAGTGAAGGTACAAACTGAATTATTTTTTATATGATTATGTCCATAATGCCTCATAATGTAATGCCCTGTGAAATATTTTTTCGGCTCTTGCAGTTTTGGAATTTTAAAGCTCGTAAACTTCTCCACTCCATGACGTTTGAGGCTCCCATTGCACAGATTTTGTTACACAGAGAGAGGTAGGTATTATTATTAGGAATAGTGGGATTCCTGTGCACATTCAAATATTGGAGTTGACATTTCCCACTTCATTTAGTAATATTGATAACCAGTCTTGCAGTAGAATGGAGTAACTGAACGTGCAACATTTTGATCTAAAGACAATTGGTTTGTAGAAAGTCTGACTTTTTTCTTTATAACTATTACATTATTCCTTTACATTCTTTTTTTCTTTCTTTATATAGCTCCTTACTGGCAGTTTCTTTAGATGACTTTGAAATCCAGGTTGTAGATATAGATATGAGAAGAGTTGTAAGGATATTCAGAGGGCATACAAATAGGATTACAGACATGGTGAGCAGCTCTTCAGTAACCATTCCTCTTTCATTGCATCACTTCATCACATGTTTTTGGGTCTTTCCATGCCAGTCAACTGTCTTTTCTTGTTTTCCTTTTCATTTTATTTACTTTACTTTACTTTACTTTATTGAATTCGTTGCATGTTATCAGTTAATATGTACATAACAATATAAAATACGTCAGTTAGATAAAGAAAAACAAAGTAAAGTATAATAAAATAAAATGAATGAATATCGCAACTGGAGCAGGAGACAAGACAATGTCCCAGTTGATATCTTGCCCCATTACGTTCATGATATCTTATGTTCAGGCCTTTAGCCCAGATTCCCGGTGGTTGATCACATCATCAATGGATTCAAGTGTGAGGACCTGGGATCTTCCAGCTGCCAGGTAATAATTTCTGCTCTACTTTTGCTATACTTTGATAAAAGCGCTGTCAACATCTTTCGTTTCTTCATCATTGTGTGTCTAGTCCATCCCCACATTGCCTCTTGTGGAAATATTGCAGCTTGAATTGGACTTATCCTGGACAATGCGTGTTATTGTGGATGACAGAGTTACAGCCAGTATTTAAAAAGGGCTGGAGAAGATTTTAACTGTAATCTTTTAGTTCTTTCTTTGGAATCTTTATTATCCTTGTAAAACATGTTCCATTTGGCGCTCTGTTGATAATAAAGTCTGTCTGCCGGTCTGTAGGTCATGTGTCATAAAAGACGTCAAGCGAAAAACGTACATTACAAAGTAATATTGATGGTGTTTGTTTTTGCAGACTGATAGATTGCTTTTTAGTAGAATCTCCAGTAACCAGTTTAGCAATGTCTCCTGTAGAGGATTTCCTTGTAACTACCCACGTTGATGATCTTGGCGTATATTTATGGTGAGTATAAGTAAAGTCCGTGCTGTTTTGTTTGGAACTCTTTATCATTGGTTCGTAGCCTCTGAACGACAGTTAACAAGGCCATATCCTTCTTTCGGTCAATCACCTGCAGCCCCCACACCAACCCCCGCCACCCACCTCTCCTATTACCCTAACCAAACCGAAAGAGTAACTTAACTGAACTAGACTTACTTCGAAGCTTTTTTTGAACTTTTGAAGTCGGATCCAACCTAACAAGTCTAACTAATTAGGCTGGAAATTTCCTTTGATTCGTGACAACCATGAAAGTCAAGCGCTCCTGTACTAAATACTGACAAGCCTAATGAGCGTGTTATCTAGAATTCCGCTCACCAACGTCTTATTACAAACAGGTCCAACAAAACTCTGTACGATGATATATCGTTAATTCCTCTCCCCGCGGACTATCAACCGACAGTAGAGCAACTTCCGGTAACAGGAACAGAGCGAGATATTGATGGTAAGGTCACCATGCACAGTCAACTTCACTTGTAGTTAATGTTTGTGTGTTAACTGTGTTTGTAATGGACTCCCAACAGGAGTTAAACCTTGTCGGGCGTTCCATCACTGAGGTGTAGGAAAGTGGTGGACTCCATACACTACTTTTATAGCTCAGTTATAAGAACCGTGTGCTTTATCCCGTAGAATTTGAAGCCGGTGAAAACGAGACGACGGCAAGAACGGAAGTGGAGAATAACGTCGTAGCTGTGACTAAAAACAAAGCAGCTTTTAAGAGTCCTGATCAGCTGTCGGATGAACTTGTAACACTGTCTCTTTTACCGCAATCAAGATGGAGACATCTGACAAGTTTAGAGCTAATTAAGGTAAAGTTATCCTATCACAGCTTACAAGTTCATCTTTGTTCTGTTGGAAAATTGGATAGTGCGAGTTAACTTACTTGTCATACATGTAGGACAGCCTTGACTCTCGTTGAAACAGTTTAAAAGTTTAAACAGAAGGTTTGCCGGCAGAGTTTGTAGTTTAGACCGGCCTCTTTAGACGTGATTTGCATCCTCGGTGCGGTAGAATTATGGTCGATTGTGCCACGTGCATGTCACAGCAGAATACAGTTTTATACTCGAAAAGTTTTTATACTCTTGTAGTCTTGTAATCTTGTACTATGATTACTTAGCTCTAACATATACATACTGAGGTATGTGATCTTTTTTTCAATCGGCAGAAAAGAAACAAGCCCAAGGAGCCACCTAAAGCCCCCAAATCTGCGCCATTTTTCCTGCCCACAACTCAAGAACTGGTGCCCAAGTTTCTTCCAACCGAAGACGATCAAGCAGACAATACGGTGAGTGTACTGATTGGTATCCCTGTACCCCTGCTACCGTGTATAACAAGCCACTAGGTATTGTCTACCTTTGTAGCACTTGCTCCTGTTACGATGAGTGCACTGGTTGGTACCCCTATACCCATTACTGTAAATACGGTAGCTAGGTATTGCTGGAGTGTACCTTTGCAGTACTCACTCCTGTTACGGTGTTTTTGTTCACAGGAGAGGAAGTCAAAGATTCTAAACATGCAACAACTCCAACCTGACTCGGAATTTCAAAAATGTTTGAAAGACTGTAACAGAAAAGAAAACTGTAAGTAATTGGTGTATTAATTAAGGCAATTTTGTAGCACTTGAAAGTTGACGCCTTGGTTTCTTTTAAGAGAATTTAATGAAGAATAAAGGCAAACAATCTTGTAGGTATTTAAGAGGGCCGCCCAAATAGGTACATATCCTTTTGAGATTGCGAACTGATTGCGGGGGACTGGGCAAGAGGTGGGGACGGCATTATGTGCTCTTCCTGTGAAAGCTAAAGTGACTATTCTTGCGCGCATAACATATGTATGTATGTATGGAGTTGCACCTATTTTAGGCATTCCTCTGATGAAAGGTAACAACACTAAGATTTTACAGTAGCAACAATCTGTCCCTTGTTTAAGTTACAAGAGTGACACTGCGTGCAAATCAAGTACTGTCCGATAGTCTGGGGTAGAGGATTTTGCTATCGGGCTAGTGACTTTTGTTCTTCGGAAAAACTATTTGAATGTAGAGGTCCACGCAACGCGTAAATATAACTGACTGGTTCCTCTTCCGGATCTCTAATCAAAGAGATGCTGTAGCCAGACGTCACTTAAAGTGTAAAATAAAACAAAACTCAGTGCAGGGCTGGCTCTAGGGTAAAGGGCTGATTAATTATAGGCCAATAATAAATCAGCCCCTTTGCTGTAGTGCCAGCCCTGCATTGAGTTTTGTTCTTAGCTTGCCCGATGGGCAAGTGGAGTTTGTTGAGAATTCAAATTACAGAAGGGCTGTCAGTATTCAAACCTGCTCATCAAAAAACTTTTAGGGCTAGTTAAAGTGATGTTTGGGCTAGTACATGCTAGCTACAACTAGCCCGAATGGCAAGCTGTAAAACTGACTTTCTTTGCACCCTGGTGATAGAAGCCAGTGTAGTCCGTATTATCTTATATTTCGTTACTTTACAGATGAATCTGTGCTGGAGCTGCTCAAATCAATGGGTCCTTCGTCAATTGATGCTGAAATTCGTTGTCTTGGTCCTTCTGCTGGGGGAGATATCAAGCTGCTTGAAATTTTCATGCTGTTTATTGAGCATCAACTTCGACTACGAACAGACTTTGAGTTCACCGAGGCCATACTGGGGCTCTTTCTCAAGGTGACCTGTCACTTTCGTGATTATTTCTTGATCAGTATTGAATTTCTCTATACGAAGACGAGCTTTGCAGTTGTTTTGTGTAGTACAGAACCTTTTGTCGCTTGTTGTTTAGGATCGTTATCAATCGCAGTTAGCACCTCATTTACTCTATTTAGTTATAAAGACATATACCCGCCCACCTTATCAGCACTTCAGCACAGTATCGTTACAAAGTAACCCTTCATTCCATCACATGGTTTCCTTGTATTACGTATACGTTTCAACCCTATGAACTGATTTTACTGTGGCCTGTTTTTTACTGCAGCTTCATGGTCCCACAGTAGCGCATTTTCCTGAACTGACCGCCATTGCGCGGCATATACAAACAGAGCATTCAGCAGCCTGGTCAAGCATTCAAGATTTACTTAACCAGTGTGTATGCTTGGTGAGTTACCTTAAGAGTGCTGTGATATAATGACCACCTCCGGCAACAAGACTGATCCATGATGGAACATGTGAGTTTCTCCAAGTTTCTACGTCCGTATTTCCTTGGTCTCTTACTTTGAAGCTTTTAAGAACAGTTGTTCATGGTTGAACATTAAATATAACGAAACACACAGTGAACAAGGATTTTCAACACTTTTAATGGAATCCCAAAGCTTCAGAGGAAATTGGATAAAACGTATAAACGCATGAATGTGGGTGTTTTGAAGTCATCACGTTGAAGAAAATGGAAAATGATGTTCGAAGCAGTTAAATAGCTAAATAATAATATGTAAAGCCAAGATGAAGCATTCCAACATTGCTAACTTAAGTTTTGGGATGTTTTTAGATTGACACTGTTTGGCAGGCTAAGTTGGAGCAGAACTATGTCCTGCTTCAACGTTGCGTGTCATGTTGTAACAATTAAGTCCTTGTGACCAACAGATTTTCTTTATTATGGCCTATTTCTCCTATCGTCCTCGCGTAACAAACTCGATGGTCAACAATGTTGGAGCTTAAGCCTGGTTTAACCACACACATGCCTCGTAAGAACTCGCTGCCACTCGTACACAAACAGCGGTGAAATCTGTTAAGTGTTAACGAATTAATGTAAAAAGCTTCTTGCTTTTTCAAGGATGGGAAATTGAAGTAAATGAAAAGCGCAGCACTAAATAAGTGATAATTATAAATAGCTGCAACTAAATAATTCTAGAATCAGCAATCAGGCTCTACTTTACTTTTTCTCCTAAACTACGTAAATTATTCGCGCGATAATGACCAAGTAGGACTAACATAACACTAAATAAGCGCTGCTTACATAGCAGAAAGTGTCAGGAAACAAACATTGCCTAGATTCAACACCTTTTTACTTTTCACGAGGCTGAATATGCCATCGAACTTATGCATGTATGGTTTTTGATGTGGAGCCCGTGGAAGAATTTGAGCAAATTATTCTTGTAATTATAACTGTACAAATCATGTTTTACTTAATAAATATAAATTGTCATTTAAAGCAATTTGTAGAAAACCTTTTTGTACACTTAACCACATAACCGGGTTTTATTTAACTGATACCAAACGCCATTTTGTGCAGCAGGTCAGTTCATTTGATATCCAGACACTAAGAAGTGGGTTGTAAAAAAGAACGAGCAACTTGGTTGTTAAACCGAGTACAAGGTATCTGAATGCCAGATGAAACGCTGGTTCTTTAGTTGCTTAGTGTTGGCTATGGGCGATAAAAAAGAATTTATACTCCAGTCAGAAAATTAAATCTCACGAGACGAGCCTACTGTATGTTGTCTTTATCTATGAAGAAACCCTGAGATGGACGCTTTCATCGCGTCTCTAAGTTTGAAAAAAAAAAAATAATAATCAAGAACGCCGTCACGATGTCAACTATGGGCCAGCCCATTATGATCTAGTTGTAAACCAAATACTTTTTGTGGTGGCTGCATTTTCCCTTAACTTACAGCGGAATAGCGTCTTACTCAGCTGCTACTTTATGAGAAGAATTGAAAAGCCGGCCGTGTGTGATAGTTAGTCTCGCTTGATGGTCACGCCAATGCCAAGGCGAGGGTGAAGTAAACACTATCAAGGTAACGTAAGCATGGCATGTTAAATTCTAAGTTCAAAGTATGCATGCAGGCTTGTCTGGTAGCTTAAACTCTAAACTGTAAAGGCAGTAAGCAATATCTTCACTTCATACGGAAGGAAGATCGTGTAAAATTTACATCATGGAGGAGAAATATGTTTACCCTACGGTTGAAGGTAGCGTGACCAGTGATGTAATTCTGTTAACAAAATAGCTTGTAGCAGGTAAGGGAAAAGAACGCCTGCGTAAGGGACTAGCCCCCAAAATAAATTAAATATAGTACAACTCTTTACTCCAAAAATCGCGGATTTTGTTTTCGTGGTCGCTTGGCGTTGTGTTCAGGAATGTCGTCCCAGTAAGACAGATTTGCTCTTTCCGTGGCGGAAGACTGAAAAAAAAGGAAACAAAATGGAGAGAAGTCACTCGAGTAGTTCTTCTTTACGTAGCACACTGTAATGTAATGAAGTGTATTATGTTGGCAAAGGAACATATAGTACTGGGTAAGATAACTACACTGTAATGTTATGGTACTACAGCCTGCTACTCACTAGTCGTTGTTGTACTTTTAGCGGAAGCTCTTCGTTTGCTTTGTAGACATCCTCCCGACGCACATTCAGCCAAGAGTCGTCCTCAAATTCAACCTGACGAAACAATGTTTAAGACGTTTAGTGGGAACGTATCGTTGTTATACACCGACGGGAGATGTTCGGTCTGAAATGATGTTCATTCATTCCTGAAAGCAGCCCTCGGACCTTGAGGAGTCAACAACTGAATGTACTGTTACACACTCTACGCTGATTGGTCAGTGGGTGGCGCCGGTTTCAAAACTCCTTGGCCTTAAAAGCTTCTTTTAAGACAAACAGCCAACTGGGAGCCATCACTTGAGAGGTTTGTATTACTTTACTCTGTATACTGAAGGCCAAACCCTAGTCACGTGGTAATCGCAGGTGCCTGACTTATTCATCCTCATAGTAACATAGTAGACTGAGTTTCGTTCGCTCTTATTGGCTAACCAGTAAAGGTAATATAAGTAGAATAGTTCGGTCACAACTTCTAGTGTTTCTGGCCGCACTTGCCTGAATTTCAACCCTTTTCCTACATAAAGTAACAAATGGAAACTAGTGCTTACCTGATAGGTAACGCTAATCCTTCGACCAGTGACTCTTGCCATGAACAAATCTTGATCGTCTCCCCATTTGACTTGTACTTTGCTTCCTACAGGAATATCCCCTCTTGTACTATCGTGACTCTACAAGAACCAAACAAGCTATGACCCATCTCAGTCAACATGGCGGTTAGGGTTTGCCAGCATGTCACAGAATGACAGATTTGATATATTCAAACTGAGCGGTAACTTACGGCAATGTCACTTGGAGGAAGATTGTCACAGTAAGTTCCATCATCGAATGATACCACGTAGTATTCCTCAGAAGTTGTATCTCGTACTACTCCATGGTAAAATCTGAAACACATACAAGTGACGGTCAGGAGTCAGCAAGAGGCGGTGTGACCATCAAAAACTGATCTTTATCAAGTTCCAGTTACCTTCCATTTTTGTGTTTGGCGACAACGGATTCACCAGAATGGATAACGGAAAAGTCACGTTGTTTTCCCTGAAAAGAAGATGATAATAAAGGAAGATCCAGGGGAAAAACAACAACAACTTCACTATGTTATCGGTAAGTTTAAATGACTCACTTTAGTTCTTGACTTCTGATGTCTATCACAATAAGTTTCAGTGGGTTGCGGCCAGTCACTTGCTTCCAGTCCGAACCCCGCCATAACAAAGCATGTGACATGGTAGGAAACCGCACACTTTCCCGCACAGCACTGCACGCATGCACCTTGATCTTTTCCGCTGGACTGCAAACGTGATCGACAGTAGTAGCACTTCTGTGTATCCACAGAACAGAGAACATAATAAGAACAGAAGTGAGGCCACCTTAGTACAAATCTAGCATTTTTAACAACTGGCGTATGTTAAGTCAAAGGCTACTTACAAGCTTTTTTCTTGCTGAACTGACTTGATTTGTATTAATTGTTTCTCTAAGATTAACATCTACAAAAATTACTTCAGGCACTGCCACAGCACACCCAACATGGGCCCATCTAAAAAGAGGAATACAAGACATCAAGCACAGGCTGGCATCAACTAAAGCAGTGAAAATAAAGCAGAGGCAACAAATCCCTGAAGAGAATAAGGAGACAGTGCCCTTGCACCTGAAAATATATTTTTTGGTTAAGCTGTGGAAAAAGAAAGGAGAAAAGCTGTTTGGGGCTCCTGGGACAAGTTGTGAGCAATAGCAGCTGACAGAGAGTTGGAATAGCTTACATGTCACAGGGCATGAGGAAAGAAGGTGTGTCGTGTGTATAAAGATTAGTGATGTAGTAAGATTCATAACTGGGTTTTCTTTGTCTTTATAATACATTTTGAACACAGCCTAGTCCCAGGGACAAAATTGATTGAATTATTATACCTGTTGTCTGTTGTTCTCTTGAGAGCTCCTCCCCCTAGGGTACAAAGGGAACAGTACTGCAAAACAATCAAATATAATGGTGCAAATTTTCTTGTTATGAACCATCACACCACAAACCTCTGCTATAGGCCCAGTACCTTACACGGCAAAAGTAAGCCTTGTTTGGACTCCTTCGTCAGGTAATTTTTTGCTGGACAGAGAGTGGGAAAAGAATCTCCATAGTGGCGGTCTAGTTAGGTTGTTCAAGGGTCTGATGAAGATGTCACTACTACATGATTTTCTGCACTATTATCATTTACAAATTTTCCAAAGTTTTCTACAGATTCTAAGCTGGAGCATTTTCATTGCCAGAAGCCAGTGCATTTACCAAATGTAAGATTATGATGTTTGGAAATGCAGCCAAAAGGACTAGAGAACCAAAGGAAAGCTGATGATTAGACAAGCTATTAATATAGGCAGAGCGATACTTACACTTGTTTGAACAGCAGTGTGATCTTGTTGTGAACATCTCTGACATCTCCACCCACCATCACTTGGTATATTGCTTACTCCATAACAACCTGACAGACAAGGACACCATCAATGACATAAATTAACCCCTTATTATTAGAAATCCTCAGGAGTTGGTTGGGCTGAAGGAAGTGTAAAGGCTATAGCATTTCCAGTCCCCCCAAACACCAGTTGTTATAAAAAGCATGCCCTTGTTTTGTTTTAAAGAAAAAGCAAAGAAAGCAACTTACTGGCATGAACTAGCACTTGACATGCTTCACATCGCAGTAGAGGACTAGCTGTGTCTGTAGTAAACATGATGTCAAGCCATGAACTCATACTCTCAGGGGAGGAGTCATCAGACATGAAACATATCTCTGGTACTCTTGGAACAGAATGCGTTGCATAAGTGACGTCAGCTAAGCCTGCGATTAAGCTGGACAGTGGTTGATGAAGTTTTTCCCGAAGATGGGTCAAAATATCCCTCTGAAATGGTCCCTGAAAACAATTTTTAATTATGTAATTTAGAGAGGACCTTGAAAAAATTCACCAACTACACTGGTCAGGGATGCATAATGAAAAGTGGACATGACTTTTTTTACTTCCACCTCAAATGCAAATCACCCCAGAAGATGCATAAAGGGGCTTTGCTAATGGCAGTTAAGAGGTCACAAAAAACATCAAGCAGTTCAAACACTTTTCTCACTTAATTTAGCTGACATTGCTCACCTCCAATTCTGAGAAGTAGTTACACACAGAACAGTGAGCCCCAAGCTGTGAAAAGACAATATTGAAGGCCTGCTCCATCTCAAAATTGGGCAGCTGCTTATGCCAAAGTCCACTGAGGATGCTGACTAAGCTTTTATTTGATCTGCTGCTATGTAATTCAGTACGTTTATGCCCTGAAAATTAAACCATGGCCTGGTCATTACCGACTGAAGAAAAATAATCTTTTTGAAAAACAGCACCAAGGCTACGTGTATCATATACACAATTACTATGTTCCCCTACCCCCCCCCCCCCCCAAAAAAAAAAAAAAAAAAAAAAAAAAAAAAAAAAACAGGGATAATTGGGTCTACAACTCATTTGTTTTAATATTGATGAAATTACAAACATCACTAAATTAAACAATGCAGAACCTTTTTCTGGTTTAGTTTCCTCCATTTTCTTCCGTCTTCCTGCACTGCTTGGCAGGGTGAAGGATTTTGTTACTATGGGTTGTCTCTTGCTTGCTGCTGACTTTCCTGGCAGTAAAAACTTTCTGCTATCACAAAACAAACAACATTACATTTTTTATAACATCCAAGGAGTAAGACTTTTCTTTTTCAGGGGAATAGTATTTTTGTGATCACTTTGAGCTGACAGGATTAAATCAAAAAGAATTTTGTCTTTCTTTTAAAATTATCAAAAGTATCAGTACAAACTTCACAACAACTTGTGCATCATTGACATCAATCAATACATTTACATGGCTTCTTACTTTTTAGCAAGAAGTGCTTCTTTCAATTTTGAGAGTGGCATATCATCATCAAGATGTATGATCTTGGATTTTGTTTTCCTCCTGCTTTTATCTGTCATTTCCTTCCTTTTCTCACTGGCTTCAATCTGCTGTTCCTCCTCATCATCATCATCACTATCAGTGTTGTCTTTTTGCTTGCTTTTCATGTACTCTTCCCACTGATCTGGCTGCAAAAAAGCCTTCATACTCAATACCAATATTTGAGTGTACTCCAACATAACCAAGCAAATATTCCTTGATTCTTTTAGTTTGCAAGGGAGAATTCAACTTTGGATCATTGTACATTTCTGGGAAACTGCTGGGGAGGGGTAAGTGGGCAGTTTCCCAGAAAGGCATAATGATCCCAAACTTTTATAAGTTGCTTCACAAGTGCAATAATACATTACTAATCTAACCTGTTAAGGACATACCAGAGTACACAACTAACCTGCACATATATGGACCACACATTTGTAACACCAAAAGTGAAAATCAGGTGAAAGATGGTTGGCTTATTGGCAGTAAATAAAATAATGCAAAGATTAACTATTTAATCACTTCTAAAGTTACCTGATAAGTCTTCACAAATACATCCATACAGATCTTGACAGTATCTTTTTTACACATACACTGTCCAAAAAAGAAAGAATAAATCATGGATAAATAACACACTAAGGCTGGCAGTGCTATGTGTAATCTTGTGATCTCAAAACCATGCTATTTACAAGCTGATTTGTCAACATTATTTTTGGCTTTGTTTTGAAGTTCCCTCCAAACCATGTGGTTTCCCATTAAACTGCCCCCACTGTTGACTGGGTTTTAAAATTCTTAACAGTACATGCTGTAAAACTGACAACTTTTAATAGATCTGTGTTAGCACCTGATTTTGCATTAAACTGAAACAATCAATATGGTTTATTGTTACAGAGTCCACACATACCACTTGTGCTCTCTTCCCATAATCAATCCATCTTTCCGATGCAAAATTTGTTGACTCAGCACAATTAAAGCCATTGTTGAAACCACAGTGATACCCATATGGAAATGTTATGATGAACTGACCTGCTTCTTGAGTGATCTGTAAATGAAAACAGCCATATCAAAAATAAGCAATGGTGTGAATTTAGGCTTACAGTTTAGAAAAGTGGATTATTTACCACAAAACCCTTGCCAGAGCTTTTTGATGTGTTTACTTAACTAGAACTAAATTATGACACAATGAAAACTCATAAAGAGAATTTGCCTTTAATGTCATTGGTTGCCTGGTTCTTGTTCTCTGGCAGCTGTCTAAAGGTGGTAAATTCCTTACAGTCGTTATAGACAATGACTGTATAATACCTTGTCATAAGGAATTGAAAACTTCCGCAGTACTTGTGGAGAGATAATGGTCATTTTGTGACGAAGAAATTGAGAACAACTTTGGAAACTTCCTGGAAAAAAGCCTGCAAGAAATATACTCAAAGGTCACTAAAAAGGTTTTTTCATGATAATAAATACATGTAGAAACTAGATGTTGGGTGAGAAAATTAAATAAGAAATACAATAGGGCAGGTACCAAACTCGGTCTGTAACAACTCACAGTTGGGTGTATTAACATGCAGGGAAAACAATAGCCATAATTGTCTGGTAAGTTTGTTTTAAATGAGGTGAACCAGGTTTGAGTTCTGGGGTCTGTTTAAAATGTTGTAACTTGTCTCCTTTTAACTTAGTTCTGGTTTGTTATATACCATTTTTAATTCTACCTTTTGCTTAAGGAGGAAGGTGCATGGATACATTAATCAGCAAATGATCACTCATTGGAATTGCAATCTGAGCATTTCAATGCTGATGAGTTAATGAACACCTACCAGCAGCTAGTCTTTCCAGGCGCTGTCCATGTTCAGGAGGTATGGCATACCTTAAGTCAGATAACAATAATTTACATGTAATTATCAGTTGGATTTGAATGTATTATTCATTACTTTTCACTTGTAACCCTCAGTCTTCATGTGAAGGCTCTAAGGATATTGGACTTAAAAGTGCAATAATTCTAATTCCATTGGATCATCCAGATAACCTCTAATCTAGCAAAAGTTGGCTAATGGCTAGTTGGTAATGCATTCGTCTAAACAGAGGTTCCAGTGTGTATACAGTCCAACCCTGCTTTGTGAACACCTCATAACATTACTATGGACAGTTTGCTTTTTCCCTGGGGAAAAAAGCCTTTACACTCTCTCTAGAAAACCTGTTAACACGGACACTTTCTAGGACCCCTCAGTGTCTTTGTTAATGATGTTTGACCGTACTGCTGTCAGATCTTTCAGTTGATTTCAGCCACTGTTCTTTGGAGTCAGATACTTAAAACGTTCAAGTCTGAACAATACATGTCTGATAGACTTGCCTTGTAAGAACTGTACTGCTTAAAGTTTACATGACAAGAAGTGTTTTGGTCGATGCGTGGCTCATTTTTGCACGCCAGTAATAGTGTTTCAATGAAAAGCCACTTAGTGCAATTTCTATCCTAGGCAGTTCCAAAGTTGTTAACAGTCAAACCACACACTCATAGTTTTCTTTGTTGTTATTCAAGTTTTGCCACCAAGAAATGCTGAAGTATTCTCAGGCTGATACACCTCCTAATTTGCAAGCAGTTCAATCTAATTAAGTTAATATAACTTCTTACCATGTTTTAGGGGCTCCAAAGTGTAAATAGTTAATACTGTAGAGATCCATATCTTCAGTGTGCCAGGCAAATGATGCTTTCCACATACCAAAGTACAGATAAGGAGTATTCACGCCTTCTATATGTACACCATATTCTTGTTTTATCAAGTCAAGAATTGTTCCTAAGTTTCCTATGTTCCACTCTTGAACATTCTTGTCAAAAATGGTTCCTGGTATATCCGCAGCATAAATGGGATTGTTAAATGTTACATTTTTCCAATACTTCCGTTCAATCTCATCAGGATCATTAGTAGGTGGTTTGTGACTAAAACAGGAATAAAACAACATAAGAGTTAACTACAAGTTCAATTAGGGGTCTTAAGGATCAGGCCTAAATTTGATTTCAACTTGGCTCATGTGAAGTAATTTGGTGATTATCCGTTCTCATTATAGTACAAATAGCAGCCACAGCAATACAAAGCAACATTTACCATATTATTTTTTAAAATCAATTTAGTTTGTACCTCTCACTGTTGGCAAGTTCCTTGAAATCACTTAAGGACATTTCTTTCTTTTGGACGTTAAACAACTGGTAAAGTCCTACAACACAACACACACACACACAAAAATGAGAATAGTCATGAAATAAGCTAAGCTTAGTTGTGAGGCAGTCCTGGAAGAGGGTGAAAAAGGTAGTCAATAAGTTTCTTGTGGGTTCAGGCTCGTTTCCTTGTTGCTTTCCACCATTTTACAGAAATCGGTCAGATTTTTCATAATGAATATATATATTTTAAATAAAAAAAAACTTTCCACATTAAAATCCTGCTCCATAACCTATACAACATGGAAACTAACCATGATGAAATAATGTACTGATTTGCAAGGATTCATTCGAGGAGAATGGAAGGGGTAAATATCCTGTCTGAATGACTCAGAAACCCAGGAAAGGGGACTTTGGGGAGTTAAAATCCAAATAATTTCTTGGTGGAGCATACCCCCGGATCGCCTAGAAGCTTGCACCTTTGGCGCTTGTTTAGGAAATCAGTCAGTATTTATCCTAGATCTGGGTCTGGGGTTGGTTCTTATACTAACTCTTCAAACAACAAAAAGGATGGACAAGTGTAACATTTACGGTCCAGGCTAATTTTAGAAGGATAGTTTATATGGAGTCACTGGAGAATAACATTGCTTATATCTCCCCACCAATTTACACCAACAGGCTGATTTTTAGAAAGTGAACATTTTTCATCTTGTTCTTTCAGAAAATGCCAACCATTCCCATAATTTGACAGATTTAGCTTTTGTGATACCACCACTTCTTTTCTCTGTTATGCATAGTTTATCAATAAGAGCTTATGTCATTCCTATGCCCTAAATAGACAAAAAATGTTTCATTAAATCAGATCTTAGAAAGTGAAGAGAAGTCGCCGACTGGCTTTAACTTTGCTTCTTGACCAGAGTTTCAAATACACTTAAGCTAGCAATTCTCATCACTCAAGGATGTTGTATTTAAAGGATTTTATTATTTCAATGGACAAAAAACTAGCTGTTCTATAAACTGAACAGTGACACCTTTGACTACTAAAACCCGGAAAAGGTGTGGGTAACCCACCTGCCCAAATTTCCCTCACTAGTGATTAAAATGAACAATAATTTACTAGTGACTTTGAAAATCCCACTGAAATCGGTTGTCGAACACCAATTATGATGCGTGGCCAAAGAATTGGCAGAAATGGTTATTACTTTCCCAATTAGAAGGATGATTTTTCATGGGAAAGGGACTTAAGGTTTTATCATTTCCGATGACTTGGTAATTAAATGAGTTACAAGGTGAGATTAAACGGAAATACACCCACGAGATGGTAGTACGATGAATAGAGCTTGTGTTTTAAAAAACAATTTTTTTGTTTTAAGGCGAGCTCGTACGTGTCTGGACTTGAAAACTTGCATCAAATAATTGCAAACAATAACAACGAAGCTACAAAGCTCTTTACCTTAATTTAATGCATAGGCTTATGTTTAGCTTATAACGTGATGAAAACTGCTTTTGAATTTGTTATTGTTTTCAACACGCTCCAATGAGCATTTTGTATACTCTTAGTTTAACAGCTGCCACCTAAGTGCCTTTAAATCTAACTTATAAAGTCACCCTCATTACAACGTTTGATCTCAGAATAGTCCTTCGCGTTTCTAGCTCTAAATGCAAGCAGTGTACACTTGTAGCTTGGTCTCATAGCAAATTAGGAAATGTTCTAATATATATGCGTGTCAAAAAATATAGTTCAGCTTAATTTTCACTTAATATCAGCTAATGAAAGGTCACGAAACATTCCTACTTTTTCCCACTTTGAACCAAGCACTTTCCCGTATATAAGCTTAGTTATGCTGTTGCTGCTGAAGGTTGATTTTCACAACTTGTAGCTTTCGAGGTCTTTTTAAACGTTTTCTTTTGCCATTTAATCTTAACTCTGTCCGCTTACCTTGAGTTCCAGTAACAACTTGAAGTATAGGCGCAGGAATTGTGATATCTACGTCTTCATAGCTCCTTCGTGGAATCCATTCTTTTGGAGGTATGACCTGGAAAGGAAAGTATTCTTAAATACCGATAAACTGTCCCTGATGTGAAATTTACACCACGTGCGGTGCGAAAACACTGCATATAAACACAAAACAAAACAAATCTGACCAATTTTTTCCGAACTAACCTTAGCTACACCGGCCCGATGAGCTCCCATTTCTTCCATTTTTCGAATATAAATAGAAAAGTTTGCAAACTCTTCGAGAGTCGGACGAAATACCATGATTTTACTGCCCTCTTGTGAAGCCATGTTTGTTGCTCCAACGTTTCGGTTTAACACAAAGACTGGATCGTTTTTAGACTCAGAACATATTAATCCTCAAACACACTTCAACAACGTTGAGAGTAATATTTCCTGCTTTTCATTTCGATACATCACTTTAGAGGACACAGCGAATTTACTTCTAAATAAACCGCAAAAACCTTTCTCACTTTTGTCTCTTTGTGAGCGGCTCTCTGTTGTGACACAGATGACATGACGTCTGCTGACCGCTCCGCGCTCCTCCAACCAAAGTTTCCACCAGTAGGGAGGGGTAAGTAAGTCTCACGGTAAAGAACTGGAGCGCGATAGCCGCCTTGTAAACAAGAGGCTTTCGTCGACAGGTGTGAGGTGGATTTCCGCTTTGTTTTGAGCTGTTTCTATCGACATTTTCCACTCCATGACACACTTTCTGTAGTTAAGGAGAGGATATTTAACAGTAAAAATGGCAGGAAGTAATGCGAGCGTTGGTAGTAAACACAGGTTGGTTGGATTTAATGTCTGTCTGTTACAATCGAAGGAGGTGTTAGTTGATCGAATTTGTGAAGGAGCGCAGTTTCAGTTTTAGGAAATTGCTGTAGGCTACATACCTTGCTACATATTTTTATATTGGGTGGTTAAAACTGAAACACTCATGCGGCCGAGGAAAGTATGTAAAGAGTTATATTTACTCCCCTGGTGCAAGTCCACTCTTCTAACCTTCTATCCACAAAATGGACGGGCAAATATATGGATGAGTACAACTGTCATGGTTAATAATTTCTGTTGCTGGTTGATGTATGTTTGCTACTCTCAAGCTGCGCAATTATTCAAGCAGTAGACCACACTTTCTATGGGTTTACCGGCGTGATAGGGATGTTGGGAGAACACGAGAAAAGCTTGTAAATCACGAGCCGAAGGCGAGTGATTTACAAGCATTTCACGCCAGTAAACCCATAGAAAGTGTGGTCTATTGCTTTTATAAAATAACTTTAAAGTGTGTTTCAGTTTTCTATGAGTTTACCGGCACAATAAACCATAGGTTTTTAACCAATCAGGACGCACGTACTACCTTAGTTATTGTATAAAGATCAATAATAAATAGAACATTATGGATTTGAGCTAATGGGAGCAGATCACTTCCCCAAAACAAGGAAGTGTGCTGAAATATTCCAATTATTTCAGTATTTTTTCTTTATAAATCCCTTTAACTGTTAATCTTTATATGTCACAGAGTGAACAGCATCATTTTTGTGGTTTTCTATTACCCTTGCCATAAAAACTATTTGAAAAGGGAGCTGTCATTATTTTATGCGTGGAATCAGGTACCATAGTATTTACCCTGTCGCAGATGAATTGCACTGTATATAATATTACACTTCGATAGTACCTAGTACACAGGGTCCCATTCTCTTATTAAGTGTGGCTTAGTTTGATTATTTTCTTGCTTCTAAAATTTCTTGCAGTTCTGGGGCGGTGGATGAAAAGGTCCTAGCGGATGCTATCAGGATGACGAATATTGCTGTCAATCTCTGCCTGTCAAACAAGTTCCTTCAAGCACAAGCAAAACTTGAGCCTTGGTAATGCAGTCATTCTTTTTAAACTTGCCTTGTGTTTTCATTTTCTTCTCCAAATATCTTAAAATAATTTTGAGTGTACATTATAGCCTGATAATTTGGCAGTTTTTGTGGGTAAACAAATTAAAATCCTTCTTGCATTGGCTTTTTAATTTCAGGGCCAATGAAAGCATGTACCATGCTCTCGGATACAGTACAATCATGTACCTACAAGCCATGATGACATTTGAACCGGTGTGTAAAGATTAGGCTTATTGTGTGCCACATGTAAATATTTACATTATTATCACCAAGTCTAAGAAAGAGAATAGTCATTCAGGAAGAGAAGTGTGTAACGATACTTGCTAAAATAATGCCCAAATACATGATTATATTAAGGTGGCTGAACACAGTTTTGCGCGCGGTCAGCGGTAACTCGCATGGCGGCGCGTGTTTTAAATTAGCCGAGCAAACATGGCGGCGAAAAAAGCAGTGGTACAGAGAAGACGATTTCTCAAAATGTACTCATTAAAATGTTGTGATTTTTGGCAGAATTTTTCCTTTTATCGTATTTTAAATAATGAGAACTTTAAAATGGAATTTGAACAGATGAATTTTGTGACACGTTTAATAATTACAGTACAATTGTATTATTGATTATCTAAAAACTTCTCTGTTAAATTTGGTCAAATAAGTTTCAAATGGTAATGATTAATAATAGTATTAAGCTGTGTGTAAGTTTATAGGAAAATTTAATGAGCGAACTTTATGTAAACTGAGCAAAAGTGAAATTTTAAGGCTGTATTCAATCGTTCATGTTGCCATGGAAATTATGAAAACGTCACATTTTACCTGTCAATCAAAACCTTTCATCAATGTACTTTTCACTTGCCAAGTTTCAGCTTGTGAGCTGCAACCTTTCTCTTGCCATGATTTGGCAAATAATATATACTCACAAACTGGCAAAACTGTGTTCAGCCACCTTAATTTGAGTTGAATTGTGTCTACGTACCACAGTGCTCATAACCTTTCTAAATTTAAATCATTGCAGTTAATATTATTGCTTAAAATTTTGATCATGTATATGTAGCAAGCAATTCAGCAAGCAAGTGAAAGCAACAAGATTGCTCTGGATATTTGTGAAAGGTATGAACTTCTAACTGATTTGAGTTAATTAGGTATATTTTAAAATTAACATTGGCCTTAGTTTTAGCACATACTGAATGCCCTATACAAAGTTATCATCTTTCATTATGAAAAATTATCAAAATACAAGGTAATTTTTTATGCACTGAGTGTGGGCTGCCTGTGGTTTTAGCTGGAACCAATCACTTGTGGAAAAGGAAGTATTCAGTCCCATGTATTTAATCATTATATAGCAAAATGAATTTTCTAAAAGAGTGTTTCTAGTCGATCATTATACATGTAACCATTATACTCATATTTCTTTAAAAATAAATCTTTTTAGGCATAAAAGAAGACAAACATGGTCAGAGTCACTAACAAGCTGGATTTGGAATCCCTCTTATGACAACTTGACAGAAGGTACATGTATTTTATTTCTTTATTTCATTTAATTTTAATGTTTTATAATTTTTAAATTTTATACTCGTATCCCATTAGCCTTGTCCATTGTCATAAACTTAAGGAACATATGTCTTAATATTTTCCGCTGAATTCTTGCAATTTCAGTGGAACGTCATGCAGAGCTTTGTTATGCAGAGTGTTTGTTCATGAGGGCAATGCTTACTTTTATTCAGGTACAGTTAAAGTGTTTTTCTTCACTAATACTAACAGACATTACTAACAGACATTATTATTGATTGTAGAATTCAATATTTTGTTGTATGTGATGCTAAATTATGGAATACTGTTTCTTAGGATGAAAATCTGGTCAGTTTCATCAGAGGAGCTCTCAAAATCAGAAGTGCATATCAGTCCTATAAGTAAGTCACAAGCTCAGGTCAGATACCCTTACTCTGTTTTAAATACAATTATATTTTTGTGCATATTGCAGACTTAAATGTTTTTGTTGGTAATTATATAGAGGATATTACATGGCCATGCGGAGCCACAAAATTTCTCTTCGAATATTGACTTATTTTTCCAATTTGAGAAGAGAAATTTTGTATCTCCAAGCGGCCATGTAATGTTCTATTTATTATGTAAACATCAATGAAATACCACACCATTTCACTTTAATAGTTTTTTCCTGTGAAAGGCACAATTTATCATGCAGCGATAGCAATGGGGATCTTTTCACGTGTGAAGATGACATGTTATTTTCACATGTGAGGATATCATGTTTTTGCACAAAAGCTCACCTGGCATTTCATTGGTGTTTATATAGTAAAATATCATATTCACTACCCTGGAAGAATGCGATGTTACTGCCAGTTAACACACATTGAGTACATCTGTGGTGGAAAGTTAGCATATTTAAAAAATTTCCTTGCTCCACAAACTGACACTTCACTCTATGTCAAAACTTGATCTATGTAGGACCTGCCTTGATATGGTAAAACATCAGCCATCCTCCTTAATACAGTCACCTCAGAGAAAGGATTTTGAGGGAGGAGTTCACCTGGGTATAGGAGGGTTCAATTTGGTGAGGCTTGAATCCATTAATCAATCAATCAGTGCCATTTGATATCCATGTGCCATGATATTAGAACTCTTGGAAACTATTAAGTAACTCTTGATCTTACTTTCTATCTTTTGAGATGTTGTCATTACTTCCAGCCAAGATTATCAAACTGCTGGAGTGGGTTGGTTTCTCTGGAGACAAGGTATTGTAAACAGTGTAAACTAATAAAATATAGTAGTTACATAATGTCTGATCTCAGTTACATTACTTCTGAGATGTTTCAGGTGTTAAAGGGAGGAGTTTCTTAGGTAAAAGAGGCAAGAGGTTATTAGTTCTGTGAAGGCATCTGCAACAATTCAATTCACAGGTGGTCAGGTATAACAGCCACTCTAACAGAGAGGGTGACCACTGCCCAACTTTGCTGTGCTTTACTGCTATTATTTATTAGCTCCTTTCATTATTTGACCAGTTTGTGGGTCTGGATCATTTGGACCAGGGTTGCCGTGATCAGAATCTCAGATCACCCATGTGTGCCATGGTTCTGTTGGCGTACCACAGTGTGATCACTTATTACCTTGGTAAGCATGCAATTATTAGTAACAGTTAACAGCTGGCCTGTGTGCACGCTCTCCCTTTCAATTGGCAAGTGAAGTAGGCCCCCGATTTGCTCGTAGTTATTTAACTGTTGCCTAAGTATATGATGGATTTCATTGATGAAGATAATGTTGTAAACTCTTGATTATTTTGAAAAAATTGTCCTGAGCAGCAGACTCAAAGGATCTTTTCATACATATCCCTTGGAGCCTGGGCTAGACCGGAGATAATGACAATGAGGAACTGAACATGCTGCTATCTCATTGGAGTAACGATTTGAAGTAAAAATGGTTTGAATTAAATCATGGATGGGGCTTTGATGGGATTTTACGGTGTAGAATTTAATAGACTAAACTTAGTGACCCTTAACATTGCCATTCAGATTCTTGATCATTTGCTCACCAACTCATCTTACACCTCCATTTGATTTTGTATTTTTCAGGAAATGGGGAAGGAGATGTGACATATGCTGAGCAAATTCTTCAACCTCAGTTGAAAGCATTTCCAAAGGTATTTTATAGCAGGAACTTATCTTATCTATAATGACGTTGTATCAGCCAACATTATTTCGTTTTTGATGCCGTTTGCCTTTTTTCCTCACCTCTTTTGTACTATTGATTTTTTGCCAGTTCTATATCATAAACAGTAGTACGGGATAGTTTATTTTTGGGGCGCCTTAGCGATGCCAGTTGAAGTCTTTGTGGCTGTTTATTTTGTTTTGCTTGTGTTAGGGAGCGATATTTTTGTACTACTCTGGGAGAATAAAGCAAGTTCAAGGCAAGTTAGATGAAGTAAGTTGGAACACACGACTCTCTTCTTATGTATGTACCGGTAGTTCCAATATGAGACCTGAGAATACGCAGTTTTGAAGTACTATAATTGCTGACGAAAATTCCCATCTAAGCCCTCACCACTACAGATCCACACATTGCCTTCCCCAGGGTGTGGTCTTAATTGTGAAGTTCTGGCAGTGTATTTACTCTCCTTCTGTGGTTTTTTCGGTCAAATCACTTTACTGCTGTGTACACCAAACTGACTGTACTATTTTTGGTACCAGGCCATCACAAGTTATAACGCCTCAATTGCAGTTCAATCAGAGTGGAAGCAGTTCCATCATATTTGCTACTGGGAGATGATCTGGTGCTATGCGTAAGTTTATAGCTGTCACACGTTTCCGAGCATTAAAGAGGTAAAAAAAGCCACCTTTACGGCAAATGTCAAATCGTACCACTTGACCAAGTTGTCCCTTTGGTTGTTGTGTACTGTTGTTTATATCTCTACAAAAATCAATTCATCATGTCAGGTTGACGCATGAAAGTTGTTTCCGACAGTTAGAACTTATCTGCCCATTTTCCTGTTTTGAGAAATTGTCAACACTAACCTGGCGATTATCGTTTGCCGTAAACTTGATTATAAATCTCTATTTTGTTTGTACACGTTTTAAAGAGGGATCTTGAGACTGAATCTCGGAAGGTTGGAGTGGAATGGCACCATGTGGGATGATGTCATTGTTCAGCTATTGGCGGACAACGGAAGAAGGGAAGTGGAGGTAGAAACACAGCGAATGAGAATCTCCCCGATCTTTCACTTCCATCCTCTTCTCGTGGGCAGTCACATTATCTTCGCTTTTCTGGTCAAGTTAAGCAGGCTGATTGGAAAATCACTTACCGTCCCTTTAGCTATGTAATGCAGTTTTAATTCACTGCCTTTTTTGGTGATGTTAAGCTTCACTTTTTGCGTTGTCAGATACAAGGGGGACTGGACCAAAGCTTACCATTACGCAGCTGTCCTTTTAGCAGAAAGCCGCTGGTCAAAGGTGAAAACATTCGACATATACCATGCGCGTGCACATAGCTTTTTACTGCTTGATCCAGTGTCTCGAGAGACCTTAACATCAGTTCCTTTTTCACTCTACAGACGACTTACATGTATCTGAAGGCATCATTCAGAGTTACGGCGCGACTGACAAACCAACAGATAGCAAAGGAGGATGATCAAGGAGAGAAAGACACAGAGGAATACATGTTCAGGTTCAGTACTACCTCAGACCGACCAACACTTGGCTGTTGAGTCTTTTCAGACACAACTCAGTTGTAACGTTTGTACCTTTCTAGCCTAGGAGATGTAGTTTAAGGATTTGCTCTCTCTCAACACTCGTTTATTAAGAGGTTGTGTAATAAACAAGTCATATAGAAAAGCTGCCCCCTTTAAAACGTTTACGTAGAGTTGCCGTCCCTTTGCCGAAAAAGTAATTTTTACAGTTCTAGTCCATAAGGCGAGTGGAAGTCAAACGACTTCCCACGTCGCCTCCTCCCAAAACGTTTTTCAGCCGTTTCTTTGGAATTCATACAAGAACAAAATCTGTTCAACATACGTGTTACATGTTGAACTTATTCCAGTGTAGTACGGTATCTTTGTATCTGAGTGAATGTTGATGTCGCTGATCCCACTTTTGTAACACAGATACAGACATCCGTACCTTGTCTGACTTACCAATGGTAAGGTAAAGCCGATCACGCCCCGGTTGTTCAAACGTTGGATAACGCAGTATCCACCGGATAAATCACTATCCAGCGGATAAGTATTAGGGAGACTAATTGCACTGGATAGAGATTTGTCCGGCGGAAAGCTCTATCTAGCCTTTGAACAACCGAGACCAGCAATAAAGAAAACTGCTGTATGCGGGGTGTAATAACTTGTGCGCAACTTTATGCTTTTGTTTAATTTCTTTTAAGGCGTCTTCCTGTATACAAACAACGCATCGCTGGGAAATCCATTCCTTTTGAAAAGTTCTCTATACATAAAGCCAACAAGTATCTTGAACAAAGTAACCGACTTTTTCTTCCGGGCCTGGTAAATATTCGTTACATTGTTTGTGCTATAATTTAACAGTTGCTGCAAAAATGACTCCTACAAGGTATTCTCGCTAATTTTGTGTCGTCTCGTACTCTCAGTTTCAGATTTTATTTTCCTTTTGTTATAGGAGCTCATTTTACTCTGGAATGGATTTAATGTCCTTCATCGCAGGCCAGATTTAGTTGAACCAATGTTGGACCTGGTACAGAAGTCTTTAGCAGAACTGGAACGAACTAAAGGTAAAAAGATAATTAGCCAGCGTGACAGCCAGTGTGACCGGCGTGTGAAGGAGAATGGAAGGAAGGAAGTGAACTGTTAATTGGAGGAAACAGTGAAAGTATTTATGTTTGGTAGTGTTATCAACACTTGTTTCAGTTTTATGATCAAACTAAGGTTTGTTGCTGGCTGGAGGGAGATAGTGACTGTTCTCAGTTTATATTCGTCATATGTCGTGTTGACCTCGGGACAATTTCACTGCTAGGGTCGGTTGGTTTTTATTGCGTTATTATTGTTGTTGTTGTTATCGTCGTCCTCATCACTACTATTATTGTTTTAATTGATTTCCATGTGTCAACACTTCAACGAATTTTGAGTAGGAGAAAACTAAGTTAAAACTTAGTTTTGTCAATCTCTGTTTTTCCCGTTTCAGAAAAGAACGCAAATTACGTGGACGACTGGTGTTTAGGACACTTGCTTGAGGGAATGTGTTATCGCTGCATGAACAAACCAGCTGAATCACTTGAAAGCCTGCTAAAAGCTGTTAATCGGTCAGTTGTTATTTACAATATTCTTTTTTCACCTTTTAAGTTAAATTTCATGAATTAATTAATGAATCTCGTAAGGGACAAAAGCCTTGGTAATTTGCCTTTTCAACTAGTTCACTGCACAGCTGTAGTGAAATGCAAACTAATAAGGCTGAGTCTTGGTGTGATGATTTTTCTCTACATGTGATATTTTAAGCTTGAAGTGTGACTGTATTCGGACAAACTTACTTTCCAATTTTATGCTGTGGTGGCGGTGTTTTGGGTGCGGTTGTTTAATGAAATTTCAGGCGTTCTTAAATGACGTACTTGCTTGTCTTTCAGATCAAAGGACATAGTTCAGGATCTCTATTTAGCCCCTTATGCGTGCGCAGAAGTTGGTTTTCTTCAGTTAGAGGAGGGAGATCTGGACCAAGCTAAAGAATACCTGCACAGAGCAAGGTATAACTGAGAAAACCACGTCTTAAAAGACGCCAGCGCGTGACAAATGAGTTGAGAATGTATATGAGTAGCAGGGTTTTTTTTGTATGGAATGAAACCAGTGATAACAGGTTGTATAATTCAGAGAACTAAGGCGCAATCGCCATGTTACCCGGCTTCGTAGGAGTGTGCGACTTACATGCATAAATCATAAATCGTAAATGTATTCCTTGGTAAAGCTGCAAGAGAATAGTACTGAGCAACCCCCTCCTAATGGCTGTTTCTTTTGTTTGTCGCACAGGAAAGATTACGACAATCACATGCTTCAAAGCAGACTTCATTTTAGGATCCACTCCGCACTTCAGGAAATCAAACACACACGGAAGCTAGTTAAAGAAGCCTCTAAAAGGGACAAGCAACTTCTTAAACGCTCTAAAAAGAATTCAAATAACAATACGTCATCTTCGTTTGAAGACTCGTCCACTCTCTCTCGCCAGGACTCCAGCTCGTCATTTGAAACCGCCCCTGAATACTCTTCTTCTGACGATGAAAGGGATTTGAGAGACTCAACCACAGAGAACGAGTGCGCCCTGGAAAAGAAATTAACAGAATTGACATTGCCAAATAAGGCGTTAAGTCCAACAAATGTGTTAAGGGAAACAGCTGTTTAAAAACAAGTGTCCAAGTTAGATGCGGTAATTTTAAATTATTTTATTCATATTTTATTGACTTGCGTGTACATACATCCCCATGAACTAAATTTATTTGTAACAGGGAAAATCCTCAGTTGAATGTTTATTATTTAAAACTGCGGTCGGTTTATCGTCTTCTCAGACATGGATTTTTTGACTGACAAATACAAAACTTCTTTGTGGGCGTTGAGGCCCATGAAGAAGGCCAGGGGGCAAAGTCCCAACAATGATCTGTTGCTGACTTTACCGACTCACTTTTTTATTTAACTTTGTAACATCTGCAGATTTGTGAATTACCCACTTTCTCCCTGATGGACATTTTTGTTTCTCTGATTTTCTGAGATGCCAAATAAGAAGAAGGGGAGGGCAAAGCAGCTTTTATTTCGCTTAAAATGAAATTATTTTAATGTGATGACAAAAAACAGCCTGTTAAAATTTTGTAATAACTCGTATTAAAGTTACGTTATGAACAAATAAAATACAACTTTGGTGTTTTCTAGTGATATAGTTTATATTACTTGTACGTTAGAAAGATAAAACTGAAGATTTTTGAACTAATGTACCTTTGCTGTTGTGTATTTGTACACTTAAGGTTTGAAGGGAGTATGAAGTCAGTAAATAACAGATAAAGACCAAACAGTCGGCTAAGGTGCACTAACCCCATCAGCGTTCGAATAACTGTTTTGTTCAGTATACCCTGTTTTGCCGTCAGCTTTTTACTACCACTCAAAAATGTATGAACAATTCTTAAAGAAAAAACGCAAGAAATTAATGTTTAATGAGTGTCTTTATATCTGATAAAGACAGGGCTCAACATAACGTCCAATTTTTTAGACCAAAATAACCCCAAATCTAAATATCAGTGCAGGAATTAGTTGATATATATCAGAGATTTTGAAGCATTTAAAAAAAAAACACGCAGTCGTGTATTATCAGGTTTTCTCGGCTTCGCCTCGAGTTTTAAAACCTGATAATACACCCCTACTCGTTTTTTAAACAGTACATTTATCGGCCTTTTCAATCAGAAAGATTGGTGACTTCTAGCCCATAGGAAGGCCTGATACTCAGGCTAGGTGACTTCTTTTCGTTACCAGTCCGAACCTTCACGTTGTTATCGTGATCATCAATGTTTCGCAAATGTATTTCTAGGTCTCTTCTTTTTCGTTCTACTGTTGACGATTTCTTTTTCAACTGCTGCAAGCGTTGCTTAGAAGCCTTTATTTCTTTCCTGCTTGGCCTTCTTTTGGCGATGGTTTCGCCCAAATTTTCGGGCAAGCCATCTCCAAATGTGGTACCTTTTTGGAACATTCAGACCCCTCTAGGGGATGGATGGGGAGTTGCTTTGTTTCAAGAAGTACTGGGACGAGTAAACAACGATGGCCACTTTGGCGAGCAGAAAACATGGACGGCAAGATGTAGGTCTTCAAGAGAAGAATAAGAAGGTGGAATATCAGCTGAACTTGGACGTAAATGCGTACTAAAATGGACGGAAATGCAGTGGAACAACAGAGGTGATCAAAAACGTTGTTTTTTTTCGCAATTAACCGTGAGTTGTATGTTTTTCTGGACGCAGATCATCCGGCACTCGTATAATTTGTGGCGCTCTTTGGCAATTTTAGAATTTACTTGCAAACCAAAGCTTTAGAATGTAGAATTTGCTTTTAGAAACTTATAACAGTAATTTCAATAGTTCAATGTTATATGACAGTTTGCTATGATTTTCACACAGAGCTGAGTGCGTCTCACGATTGAGCAATAAGTAATTCGGTCTCTAACAGTTGAACTTTGCGCAAGTATGGCAAAATTTCGAATTCCTGCCAGAGAGGTTTTTGTGTTACAGTGACCTGCATAATGATAGATATGTAGTTGGTCATCCCTTCTCGATCTCCTGCGCTATAATAACAAATCTAAAGAATTTATATAAATATCCATACGTGGGTTTGTTGTAATGGCGCAATAACTAAACCATATAAAGGGTTTACAATCAAGATCGTGAATTTTCAGGAACTTACCAGTAAAATCTTGAATTTTCAAGGTCCTTTTGGTCTCCGTCATGGCTGCTTTTAGTTTGTGGGGAGGAGGGTTGCATGACGACACTAAAAACGGCTGCAAGGGAGACTTAAGGTCCTGTTGCAAAATCTGGACATTTTTAAGCTTATCACCATAGTAATACTCCTCTCTACATTTGTTTATGAATGCCAGTTTCCAGTTCTTGGTATATGTGAAACAAGAACAGTTCAAAATGCTTTGGCAGGACTTTACAAAGAAACTTAGTAGTTACTTATGGTGTTTTCCTCTGGTTGCATGATCTAAGATCACTTGGATCATGGTATGTCAAAGGTATTGATGAATCCTTGTCCGGAGATAGGATTTTGCAGTTTCCTTTGATACAATATAAATATATGGTCCAGGAGATCTTAGATCATTAAAATCCTGATCCAGATCAATCTGAAGAAATGCAGTCATTTCCATGAAAAAATTTGCATTCTACAGCGATCAGGGTGAAAATTCTCTGAACATATCAGAAGCTATGGAGATGATATACAGAGCTGCAGAGCTCTGCTTCTCAAATAAGTTCATTGAAGCAAGGGATCAACTGGAGCCATGGTGAGAAGCAGTAGTTAATGTGGTACAGTTGAACCTTGCATGTCCACAACAGCCACCCTGGGGATCATAGGAAAAAGTGGCGGTTGTATTTAGGTGGCTGCTGTCTGTAAAGAAGTTTAAACAAGAGTCAATGTATGGACTGTAGTCCACCAAAAAACTGGCCATTGTAGAGAGGTGGACTTGGTGGAGAAGTGGCAGTTAGTTGAGGTTTGACTGTACTATAATCATATGATCTATAGTCCTATACAGCTAACACATTTTTTATGCAGGCATTAACCCTGGGGATGCTCATTTCAAATTTAATGGGGAAAAAGTTTCTCACTCAGAGTTATAATAATTATATTGTATATAAATGGGCGCCTACATTTTACCCGTAGTTAATACTATTTAAGGGAACCCTAATTTAAAGAATCACAGTGATACTATAAGGCAATACCTTTGTTATTGGACTAAGTACCTTAATGATCATACATAGGCTATAATTATTATCCAGACTTTTCCCCTCAGAGCAACAATCTTCATCATCATCATCATCATCATCATCGTCGTCATTAACTATTTTTACCATGGATGGTCATGCAGTCCCCTTGTTGTTAGTCTGGAGCAACAATGAACTAATCAAATATTACAGTAAGGGAAAGTTCATTTAATATGACAAGGGGGGGGGGGATGAAGATATTGAGGGGGGGCTCCAAAAATTTTTAGACACCCGAAGGGGGGGCTCTGAAAAAATTGTTTTAGCTAGGAGGGGGCTCCGAAAATTTGTATACTTCAAAACCAACACATGACATCATCATACAGATCGGATGGTTTTCAACTCAACAATTTAATGACCTGTGCAACTCAGCTATATCACGTGGTTTACAGATATAACAAATGTAGTCTCAGTAATTATTACACTCTTGTTCATCCCAAAAATGCTTTGGAAAATTGTATCACAACTGTATCTCAAGTTTGTCATAGTATAAACCATTGAAGACAATAACGTTAAATATATTTAATACAGTCTAGCGATCTTTTTTCAGGGGAGCAAAGGAATTGAAGGAGGAGGGGGGGGGGCTCTGAAATTTTTTCGACTACCAAGGAGGGGGCTCCTAAAAAATTGACCCGCTAGCGAGGGGGGCTGCTAAAATTTCAAGCTTCGAGTTTCAATATCTTCATCTCCCCCCCCTTGTCATATTAAATGAACTTTCCCTAAAAGAAAAAAAGTTGTGATAATTGTGGTTGCTTAATCAGGGACTGAGGAGAATAGTCTTGCCTGCAATTTATAGGGACAGTTCCTTGAAAGGGGAGCTAGCTCATAGCCATTAACCTCTCATTTAGTTTGTTAAGTGTCAGGTACCCATATTTACAAAGCCTGATGTTATTATTTAATTTTTCAGGGTTAATCAAAGCATTTACCATTCAGTTGCATACAGCTGCATCATGTGCGTTCAAGCTCTGCTGAAATTTGAACAAGTATGGCACCTCTTTTTGAGTCTTTTAAGTGTACTGATTTGATTTATTTGCAGTTAATTTTTTAATTGGTTTTAAAGGTTATTCTTTTTGTTCCTTTCAGGAAGCCATTAATAAGGCGCATCTTAGCATAAAGCTTGCCATGAACGTTTGTGAAAGGTATGTAGAAATGAAGATATTAGATCTCCATCCTAAAATTGACTGCACTAACCATTCATTTTATGATCTGTTATTTTTAATAGTTACCCCTCTGACTGTCCTTTGCTTGATGAATTGTTATGGTAATTAAATAACTGGTAGGCTCCAAGCTTGAATACATCTGTAACTTTGTTACATTACTTCTTTAGACACCGGAAAAGGCCAAGTTGGTCTGAAACATTTTCAAGTTGGATTTGGACTTCATCATCAGATGATTTCACGGAAGGTTGCTATAGTGATTCTTTCATGATTTTTCTACACTTACTGATATATAATAACGTTAGCAACTTTGCAAGGAAACACGAAGTAACTACTTAATAATATTAGTTGTTTTCTTATTGGACTTTCAGAAGAAAAACATGCAGAGTTGTGTTATACAGAATGTTTGTTACTTGATGCTCTACTAACTTTTATTCAGGTTAGTCATGACTACAACAGCTTTTATTGTTATTCTGCTATTTTTAAAAGCTTGATATTATTAATTTATTAGTGGCTGTACTGATTCTTAGTTTGATTAATGTTTTATGAATATTTTCATAGGATGACAATATTATCAGTTTTGTTTGGGGAGCTTTCAAAATCAGGAACTGCTATCAGAATTACAAGTAATGGTTGAGCATTTATAATTTACTCCCGGCATATTCTATCATATTTTGTTAGTAAGTCATCAGTTGATGCTGTTATATTTTAATATTAACTGGCATTGAAATAATTAAGAAGTTTGTTTTTTCACTGTTTGTTGCACAGGACTTGCCTTGAAATGGTAACAAATACAGGTTGTTCAACATTTCAGTCGTCACTTGTTAAAGATTTTGAGAATGGAATTCACTTGGGAATCGGGGGATTTAATTTGGTGAGTAGTGCTTCATGGCAGATTTTGTGTTATTTCTTAAATTCAATTTGCACAAAACTCTGTTCTTCCTGTCACTGGTGGCTATAACTATAATGTTAATGGGACATTAACAACTTGCATCTTTCAATGTGAAACATGATGCACAGAGGGCTCCCTCAGGGAGTTCTGTATTAATTAGTTTTCCTTTTGGTGTTCAAGGTCTCTCAGTCATCATGCAAAGTTTAATTTTAAGGTTAACATTTTGGAAACCATTTGACTAGAGATAAATGGCAAAAAACAATTGGTCCAATGAATCCCCTGATTTATTTCAATACATGTTGTATCACTAACTGTTTTTTAGAAGTAAGTTTGTTTATCCTCTCTTTTTCATTTCAGGTTTTATCTCTCCTTCCTCCAATCATCATTAAATTGTTAGAGTGGGTTGGATTTTCAGGAGACAGGGTACATTTTTTAAATTTTGTTATGCTCCCCGCGAAACGATGATTCGTGTTCCTTGAACATGTCATCACTAACCACACCAAAAGATATTTGTAACTCAAATTTTGCCTGGCTTGTCCAGTTCTGCTTGGTTCTTTTGATTTTCTCCTTTGGTAATAATTTATTTAAAACTGTGCTCAAAGAATTCTGTTTTGTTTTCATGTAACCAGTTTCTAGGGTTAAAGCATTTACACAAGGGCAGCAAAGGTCAAAGTTTAAGATCACCATTGTGTTCTTTGCTTCTTCTTGCCTATCACACATGGATCTCTCAGTATCTCGGTGAGTAGCAATAATCTTACAAAACAAGACTTCATAGTTTATAATCTTTGAAGTGGAGTCTTGTTAATTCCACCACCCCCACGGATATTTACGTCCCGAGGAAGAGAAACAACTGAAAGCAAGTTAGTGTGGCTGGCAGTAGGCATTAATAATGTTGTGTTCTTGTCTGTTCTTCTAGGTAATGGTGATGGGGATATGGAATATTCAGAACAAGCCCTTCTTCCCCTACTAACAGCATATCCAAAAGTACGTATGGAAGATTGTAAAAAAAATGTGTGTGAATTCATTGCAATTGCTTCAGTTCTTTGTGGTACATTTTTAACTAAAGGTACTTTGTCTTTATAACTCCTAGCATATAGTTTAAACTGTTTTAGGAGTATATTGATTAAAAGATTCAAGGATTCCATACATGTAAGAACGCTGCTTGCCAACTTCTTTCTTTACCACTGTTATGAGTGTTGTGCATTATCGTCATATCATTGTTATGTCATCATCATATCATTGTTACATCATTGTTATCATATCCTTGGTATTTGAATCAGAAGCACCGTAGTTATCGTTACCAAGGTTATCATCACCTGCATGTGGAAACCTGAACAGCCCTGTCAACAACTGGCCTTGCCGACAAAGCTCAATCGTTCCTTTTGCTTTCACGTTCAGCATATGAGATAAATTCAGTGCATGATAATTGTGTAATATTATCAACAACAATATTATCAACAAATAATCAGTATCCACGACTGCTTCACATTCTCATTTTGAGAACGCATCGAAAGTCATGACTACCTCAATAATTGTGGTTATTCTGTCTCAAATATTGGGCCATCTCTCTTTTGTTTTAGATTGGTCATTAAGTAACTAACTATGGATTAATTGGTTGATGTGGAAATTATTTACAAGACAAGCCTATTTATTTACCTGATGCAGATTGTTGTTTGTGGAATCCATGCTTAGTAATCAAAACGTGTTATCACCAAATTAATTTTCTTCTTTTACTTCCCCCAACAAATCTTTCCTACCACTGTCTGCTTCACAGTATCTTTTGGTCCGCAGAGCAATTTAAATAATTTCCACTGATGCATTTATTTCAACAGGGATCTATATTTATATTTTTCGATGGACGCATTAAACAAGTTCGGGGAAGGCTAGATGAGGTAAGTTCTGGTAGTACATATTCTTTTCAACCATATGTGTACGATAAAATTATAACGTTAAGTGTGAATGATGTTTTTCAGTCAGTGACTCAGACGACCGGTAAAAGGAAAAACGAAATCTGAACATTCTGGTTTCTAGTCAGCTGTCAGCATTGTTCGAGGCTAAGTCAGTTGTCAGTGACTAACACTCTGCATGCTGCTAGGTCGATGCTGGACTAAAATGTCTTTATGGTATCTTGATTCACATTGGTGTAAAGCGATGGTAAATTTTTAAAAGCCCAGTGAATATATTTACAGAGAACATTTTTCAGTCGGTGACAAAGGGTTTGCCATTACCATGCTGTTATTGTGCTACAATAATTATTACTTTCTAATGTTTTGAATGGGTGACCTTAGCCTGTTTCAGGATCTCAGATAGTGGGGAAGAGAGGAAAGAAAAAGGCACGCGAAAAGTTGGAGCCCTAACCCTAACCCCTCCTCTTCCCTAAAAAGTTCCAATTTTTTCCTTTTTCTAGAAAGTTTGTAAATTGAAATTTTTTAAAAAGATATTTCTTTATTTGTTCAACTTATACATCAAATAAATGCTTCTTCATAATCAGCAACAATTTTAAGCAGAAGACGTGATCCCAATTTTTATGCCCCATTCTAGAAAAAACGCCCGAAATGCATACCCGTTCTAAATCAGGAGCTTCAAGCCTGGAACAGGCTATGGGGTACGCCCCGGCCCTATCCTCCTCTCCCCAAGTTCCTTCCTTTTATTTTGTGTTTCAGCGGGTAACTCGGAGCCTGGAACACTCTTGGGTATAGTAGTAAGAAAATTGAAAATTTGCACATGTTTTGTGACTTTCCTCACAGGCCATCAGTAGATACAAGCATTCAATTACTCTTCAGTCAGAGATTAAACAGTTTCATCACATTTTCTACTGGGAGCTCATGTGGTGTCTTGCGTAAGTAACTTACGACCAGTGCCATCAATCTGTGTCTGTTGGCGGCATTGTCCAAACTAGGGCCAGGAATCACCCTTGCACATGAAAACTTGCACATAAAAACTTAACTTTAGATGTAACTACTAACGTGACGCTCGTTAGAGGAAGTCCATCAGTAGATACAAGCATTCTTTCACTTGTCCGTCAGAAGTTTCATCAAATTTTCTATTGGGAGTTTGTGTGTTGTCTTGCGTAAGATACTACTCTTAAAATAACAGGACCCTAAATACTGGTAGCAATGATTTAAGGTTATTAGTCACTGGTGAATAAATAGTGTTAGGGGATGGGATGCAACAAAATCTTGCAGGTAGAACTCGCTATGAGTCCACCTTTACAGTAAGGCCTCTTCGTATTTCAAAGAAACGAAAAAATAAACAGCAGCTTGGGTTTTTCCCACCTAATAAAATCATTCTCTACTTTGAAATGTCATTTAGTATGTACATCATGTATGATGTGTTTTGTTGTCAGATATAAAGGAGACTGGATCCAAGCAAGTCATGACGCTGGTGTTTTGTTAGATGAAAGCCTCTGGTCAAAGGTAAATCACAGTATTGTGAATATCGCCTTCCAGCAACTAGGTTTTGATAATCATTATAACAAAACATAGCGGTTTTACAGAGGTGGTCATTTTAGTAAAGATTTGAGTGTTTTTTTTTTTGTCCTCTCTGGATTTAGACTGTTTACATGCACCTGAATGCATCGTTTATATTTATGGCCAGACTTGTTAACCAGCCAATAACCAGCCAACAAGACGAGGTGGAAAAAGACTTGTTCAAGTAAGTGATGGTACTAAAGTGAGCTAGATAGGGTAGGTACAGTTTGGCTGCATGGGTGAGCGGTCAATTGGTATCTTATTAAAGAAAGAGTACTCGAAGTCACCCAAGTGTCATTTTTTACGTTGCCTTGTTAGGGGCTCTAATCGATCAAATCTATTTTGTTTTTTTAATGCTACTTGTTGTTGTCGTTTTTTTTTTTCGTTACAAGGCGTCTGCCTGGCTACAAGCGGCGAATTGGAGGGCAGTGTCTTCCATTTGAAGATTTTGCCATTCACAAGGCAAACAAGTACTTTAAACAAAACGGCCGTCTTTTTCTTCCAGGAGTGGTAAGCAACGTGGAACCTCTTTTAATCTGAAATGCTAAATAATAAGAAAGTAATGACAAAAACTATGATACTTTATTGAGAAGCTTTGTACGTCACATCCCTTTTAAAAAAACGCACTATAACAGATATCAGCCAATAGATACTATACTCGTGACTGTACATTTTATTGAGACTCGCTGTAAGCTTGCGCGCATGACGCATGAACATTGTCTAATCTCATAAAACCCCAGTTTGAACATTCGTTCAGCCAAACAAGAAGACCGTGACATTTGCATTATTGATCTTGTTCAATCTCCACCCCACCCCGTCCTATTCCACTTCTGTGTTTCCGTATCCATTAAAACAGAATTTTACGGGAGTGGTGCAGTGGTAAAATAGCAATAGCCTGCATCGCAGACGTAATCTAACCCCGGTTAGTAATGTCTGCAAAGCAGCTTTGAGATCCTTGTCCCAGGCCCTCTACGGATTAGCAAATTACTGGAAGTACGTTTCGCTTTTCAGTCCTCCCATCAGGCTTTTAGCCAGACATTGAAAACTGGCCGTCCAGAAGGTATGTTTTGTCATAAAATTATAAGAGATTAAGTGAATTTTCCTTGTGTTTCTTCCAAAAATGGGCATCCATAGGACGGCTGGACTCCCTTCTGGCTAAAACCTTGCCTCCCATCCAGATTGGCAAATCCACAATGGCCATTTTAACAGGCCAATCATGACGCGTACTGAAATCCGGGTACACAGGTAGGGGCCCAGAACAAGGAACAAGGATTTTGGCGCTGTTTCGCAGACGGACCTCAAGTTAAGTTTTGTCTGTGTCCAGACTACTACGCAACGACCGAAAAACAATCATTTAACAGACATTTCGGTTAAATTGTTGGTGTTAGTTGTATGGTAGGAATCTACTTAATTATCCTTTCTGGGGAGGAATACATTAGCGTCGATAGTGTCACAGGTGTTTGTCTAATTCTCTATGCTAAAGGAAGATACAAGCGTAACGGTGAGTTCTGATTTAAGCCAACCAACAACTTTTAAGTTTCATTGTGGCCAGGGTCAGGTCTGTCAATTATATGGTCCTTGATTTAACACATCTTCTGGCATTGTCTGTCTGGCCGGTTGTGGGTCCGTTCAACTCTGAGAATGAAAGCAAAAATGAATGAAGAGCGGCAAAAACTAACTCCAGGTGACCATGTGAAGGTGTCCGTTACGAGAGAGTTGACTATATTTTTGAGAATTTAAAACTAACTAAACAAATATCTTTGCCTATATTTCATCAGGAGCTTATTTATTTATGGAATGGGTTTAAAGTGCTTGGCCACAGACCTGATCTTGTTGAACCTTTGATGAATCTGGTGGATAATTCGCTACATATTCTGCACAAAGCAAAAGGTGAGGACTATTTCAATGTCAGGTCGGTTCATCGCGAGGAACGCCATAAGAAATTCAGACTTTTTACCTCCTTGCTTCATGATAAATCAAATATTAGAAAATGTTAGGCAATATGAGATGTTTATCCCGATCATATGACGGTACTCTGACCTACAGAAACTTTTTAAAAACATAGGGTGAGAGTTAAAGATTGAAATAAGTTGTTTGTTTTATAGATGACTATGGAAGTTACCTGGATGACTGGTGTTTGGGTAAATTGCTCCAGGCAATGTGTTGTCGATGTTTAAACAGGAAACGAGAAGCCATGGAGTATCTGAAGGGTGCTCTCAGTCGGTTAGACTTCTTTTAGACTTCTTTTAGTTTTTGTGATTTCTTTTTTGTGTGTGCGTAAATTTCTGTTTCTTGTTGTAGATCCAAAGATTTGAGCAACGATTCTTACCTGGCTCCCTACACATGTGCAGAGATTGGATTTCTTTACCTTGAAGAGGGAGATCTGGAACTAGCCAGAGAACACTTGGAGCGTGCAAGGTTAGGTTTCAGTATTGCTTGGTTACTATTGGGTTGTTTAGCGGCACAGGACTGTTTTGGATGACGTTATCACTTCCTCTGTTGGCCATTTCTTGCCCTCACAGGAAATTGGGTCAAAGTTCCTTACCAGAACTATAGTTGAGAATCCCGATTTCTTGATACATCACTGAAATGCATTGACCGTGAAGACCTAGGAAGATGCCGTGCAGGGACTAATGTTCCTTGCCCATGAACGTCTGGGAAGGAATGCGCGTGGAAGCCCAGAGAACGAGCGTGGGAGGCAAAGTGGAACAGTCTTATAGGGAACCTGATAACTCAGTGCCCTTAATTGAATCATTGTTTGTTTGCTTTTACTAGGAAACATCAGGATCACTTGTTACAAAGCCTTCTTCATCTACGAATCCATGCCGCTTTACAGAAAATAGAAAATTACTCCATTCAAAATGAACTGTTTGGGGTAGGTGGAGAATTTGCATGCCCTAACCAAGCACTCGTGATAAAGGAAGACCTGGAAGAATCAGGAAATGAATCTGAGTTTTTCGATGCTGAAGAAGACTGGGACGATAGTAGGCCTCGACAAGACTCCAACTCATCATTTGATATCATATCAGATGATGAACTTGATACCATTATATCGTAAGAAAAATCTATTTCAATGGGCGATGTGCAGCATATTTGTGGTATCAGCTGTGCCCTGAAAATAACAAGGACAGCGACACGTGTTGTTTGCATATAACCACGTTACTTTTGAAAGAAAGAGGACAGGTTTGGCACTTTTTTGGAGTTGCGAGAGTGTGCTCCTAAACTTTTTCAACCAGACACGTTAAAGGATTATAAAAAAGACGTTTCCTTTCTTGTAAAATAATCGTTAAAATTGGTGTCATTCATTGGTTTTACTTATGATAGCTCCCATCAATTCAAGTGGAAGTTATTTCTTGTCACTTTTAATCAGGTATATAGAAACTGAGATTAGAATCTGTACATACATATTTAAAATGTGATGTATTTATTCCTATTATATAACAACTGCCTTTCCATAAACCTGAACGTGAATTGTATATACCGGTACTAAATTATTTTCAAAATGAAGGGTCCATATTTTTACGTGAATACTTCTCAAAGTTGTTGCATGTATATTTTATCTATTTCACGCCAGTATATACACATATTTTGTCTGATATAGGTACATTGTAGTCCCGTCTTTTGTGGTAACAACGTCTGAGATAAATAAGATAAATAGTTTAGGTTGTCTAATGATTGACATTGTTCTCTGCTTGGCATAGTTTATTATTATTGAAAAGAAGTTTACAAAAAAATTACAATGGTGAATTGCGTTAATTGCATACACAACATGGGAACACAACACAAAAGAACTTTTTGGGCAGTATTGAATGTTATTTAATCTCAATTGATTATGGATAGACCACAAAGTGGTAAGACTAAATAAATATTCCATGACAAAAATCTCCAATGATTTTCACCATTTCACTTAGTTAATGCTTGCTTGATTGTTGCTACTAGTTTTACAGCTCATGGAATCTGAAAATTCAACTCTCATTGGGTCCTTGGCATGCTTAACTTTTAATTATTTAACAAAGTTGTATCTATATTGTTCGTTAAATAAAAGAAAATTTACATAATCCATCTAACGGGCAAAAACCGTAATTGGATTTTTTTCCTCCCTTGGATTTATTACACATAAGCGACTACAAACAATAATATTATTATATTAACTTTACTACAATTATCCTGAAACATTCTCAAATAAAAGTGAGTGAAAAAATCGCCTTTAAAAAATGCCAATGACAGTGTCACTATGGAAAATCCCATGTCAGCTACATCTACCTGTATATCTCATATAATATGGATCCCTTACTGGTTTTTTGTACAGCATTCCATTTCAATTATGAGCTGGGAAAATACCAATACTGAAAAATTCTATCAAGCCACAATAATACTCATAAAATATACTTGTCTAATACATTTTAAGAAAGACCTAAAACACGTTTTTTTGTTATTCACCTTAATCCCCCTTTTCCTAAAATAAATAAGGTCACATATTTTCTACTAATTTTTCTTTGTACATTTTGAGTCTACAAATGAAATTTTATTGTGTAATATCCAAATTAATCCGAATTTAAGTAAAACTCCTAAGCAAAGTGGTCATTCATTTTTTATTGCATTACAGACTAAACTGAAATTGGAATGTTCCTGGCTTATTTACTTCTAGCTATTCTGATAACCTTCTCAGTCTTAAAAGGGTTAACTAATAACGTTTTAGAGAATTGAGAACCAAAATGCTAGCACATCCTTGCTGATTGCCATAAAAGTAGCCCTGGAGAATGAGTTTGATGTTACTGAGACAATTTACAGTCGCCTTCTACACAGGTTTCACTACCGTGGAATGTGCTCCATGTTTTTCTGGCATACTGTACAGAAAGGTAGCCGCTAGAACACCACATGTACCAATAAAAAAGAAACTAAGAGAGAGAGAAAAAAAACATTTATTATAACATGTGTGTTTTTGTTCTTTAAAGATAAAGTTTACAATCTCTAAAATTTGAAGAGTTGATACAAAAAATATATCTTACTCTAGTTGTATATGAGGTCGTATATGAAGGAGTTACCTACCATATTTCCTCGAATAATAGCCAGGGGTGATTATTTTTTCTTCACACGAAAAGGGTGGCGATTATTTGAGGGAGATGACTATTTCAAGTGGTTCTCACTGGAAGTCGTGCCCTTAGAAGTATTTTGTTTTATCGTCACATGAAATCAAAAAACAATCACATCAAATAAACTGAACATGGGCTTTTTAATTGTTCCAAATTTGGTTCCTTGATTAATTTTCAGAGCTTGATTCGTCACTGATCAGTTTTGCCATGTCACATTCCACTTCAGTATGACAGGGGGGGGGGGGATAAAAGAAAGAGAAGATGATGGGATGGGTGGGGGAGGGGGTGATTATTCGAGGGAGGTGATAGGTTAGGGGTTAGGGTTAGGGGTTCGAGTACCCCACAACCAACAAAATATACTCAAACATTTAACAAATGAGACCTAAAGAACATGGTGAAAAAGAAAGCAACAGTGAGTAAGAGGATGGGTCAAAGCAAAGAAAAGCTATGTTTATCAGTTACAAAATAATGTAGTATGTTCACTCACTTTGTTGGCTGAAAGTCCCCAAGGAAATAAAATGAGACAAGAGACGACACCACTATAGAGACTGAGGTGGCAAACCCCTTCAAGATATTGTCAGCGTACTTTACAACTGCTGCCACAACTAAACCACCAAAGGCCTACAGGTCAAAATAAGGAACGAGTGAGACATCAACCTTTAGAACTTCACAGCCAATTAATGTTTTGATTTCATATGCATCAAACCTTTTTCTTTCAGAAAAAAATATTGCATTGACATTACAATTTACAGTTGTGTGGATATATTTTTGTGGTTCAAACCAATTTAATTTGTATTTTTCTGTGGTTAACCTGTCAACATTTTTTAAAACAAAGTAAACCAGTCCTGAATATTGTAAATTTTCAAGCCAAAGAGAAATAAACACAAACACAAACAAATTATACACATCTATATTTCTGTATTATAAACACCTGAAGTGAAATAACCATCCAGGTCATACTGTTATAGCCTTGAAAGAAACCTCCATTGCTAATTTGATTTCCATCATTTATAAAAACAGCTATCAAGCCAAATACTACACCAAAAGCTCCTGTAAACAAAAAAGCATCATATTTCAGTCATGATTAGGCTTTAAATTTTACAGTGTGATACTGTTCATTAGAAAAATTATGCCAAAGATTTTTCAGTTTGGGATGTACTGTTCAAGCTATGGCCAACTTGTATCCATTCAAAAGATGGCCCTAACCCTAACCCTAACCTGAAAGAAAATCGAAATTGCTTTTCCCAAATTTCCGACAGCTCATCAGTCTGTCTTGTTCACACCATCACTTTGGCCTCTGGGGACAACCCTCATGACCTTGGGAACTAGAGCCAAGGTGAGTAAACAAGGCTGTATATTATAATGTAGAGTAGAAGGAGGTATAAAGTGTCCCAGCTTCACCACAAAAATTGGCTTGAAAAAAATTGTTTTCTTGACTTTACACAGCAAATGAATTTATTTGGCAGCCCTTTCTCCTTTTGTATTCATTTACAATATATTATTACTGTCAAACTCAGAAGACCGTGAACACCTGAAAAATTCCAGGAATGTTGATTGTGTACAGACCAATCACAATAAAGTTCAGGATACGCAAGCAAACCTCAAAACCACAATTTAATTACAGTTGCTGTTCGTGGTTTAGTTATCACGCATCTTATTGGCTTATTTCTCGCAACACAATAACATTCCATAAATATTTCTGGTGTTCATGGTTTTGTGAGTTTCACAGTAATAAAAGTGTATAGTTTAGTATTCAAAATGATAAGCACCCACTATTGATAACATGTTCTAGATATATTGTAGCATCAGCATTTTAAGGAATAATCCACTAACAACAGGTTTTAAACTATACTTTACCTAACTGAACATTTCTCATCCAAATAGATGATTTAGTTCCTTTTAAAATTTTTTCAAAGTAAACACCAGCAAAACCACTGGAACAGCAAGCTGTTAAGACTGCCAGTAAACCAACAAACTGCCCTGACAGGGACAGCTCTTTAGCAGTATTCTCTTTTCCTTTATCTGTTCTCCACTAATAAAGATTGTTATTAAAAGCAAAAATTAAAAAATATATTAGCAATCAGGGAACATCATTCACTTAAAATTATAATAAGGTTGTTTCACAAAATGTCTTTACACCAAGGAATTAAGGAAAAGAAAACAACAAAAGGCGAAAGCACAAACACTAGAGTAAAAACAGTAGTATAGTGCTGATGATGAAACTAAAGGATTAAACTTACAATGTAAGAGAAAACTTTGAATTGGATTAAAAACAAAAATTTGAAAACTGTGAATCAAAATGACAAAAATCACAGAAATCTTGCATCAGCGTTGATATAAGATCATAGCACTCACCTCTCACTGACTTCACAGGAACAAACTTACGATACACTCTTTTTTTTTTATAAGAATGTTGTTTTTCCGGCCCAGGCTGAATATTCTTATTTTTCTCCTGATTTTAGGACTTGACACGTTTTAGAATGTAGGAACAAACTTCATCGAATATCTGAACAAAAACTAGTTTCTCTCAAGCTAGAAAGAATAATTTTATACGGTTCAGTTAAAAACTGTTAACAATGTTTAAAACAAAACTGTGATTATCCTGTCTGTGATTTTTAAAACATAAAAGAAAAAGAGGTATCTAAAAAGTGACTGTTAATAATCAAAACACTGTGATTATCCTGTCTGTGATTTTCATCCAGAGGTAAAATTATGACACAAACGCTTGGCTGCTGTGTTTGATATATACCTGTACATGTAACTCCTCACCTGAACTAATGTAACTCCACCCATAAGAAGAAGGAGAGAAATCCACTTCAAAATGCTTAATTTCTTATGAAGCATACAAACAGAGAACAATGCTGTGGTTAAAATCTTCAGCTGATATGTGACCTGAAATTGCAACAATAAGTTACAGTACAGTAATAAAACTGATATATACTTTTCTTGTCAATTTGGTAATTGTATTGCTTACCCTCAAACAACAGCCCCACTTCTGTAGTGATTATTGATAGCTCCAATTAATTTTTAATTGTTTTAATCTCCTTAAACTCAATAGGATGACGTCTTTTTTTTCCTTTTTATCCATTTCCGTCTTTTCTTTCATATTTAAATTTAGTAATCCCAGCGAGGTTTAAATAACAAAAGCCCTAATTTACACAAGAAAGCAATACCCTGAAGGATTCTGATAGTAGTAGTAGCATGATGCCATCGTGCAGATGGCCCATTCAGTAAGTCAATCAACTGGCCTTCCAGTCTCCCCTCATTGTATTTCAGTCTATTTCTTGCCCGCACCCCACTATCTGAATGTTTGAAATAGGGTCGAGTCAAGTCAAATCAATTTTTACTTAAACTCATACAGAATATAATACAATTCAGTGCTTTTAAATGTAAAAATAAAACATTGTGAAGAAGGAAAATAAATTTTTTAATTTTAGGTTCATAATTTGTGCAGAGACTGGGACACCTAAATAGTTCGTAGAACTAACCGAGTAGGTGACCCAAAACAAGAATACAAGTAGAAAGAATAATAGTGACAAAATAGCTGTTTTAGATAAAAAGTATTATGTCACTAATTAACTAGTAGTTAAAGATAATATAATCATAAATCTTCAGGAATTAATAGCACTATTATGACCATCAATCATAGAATTCTTGATATTTTGATGAAAACTACAAAACGGCTTGATTTTCTTAACATCAATAGATAAAGAATTCCAAAGGTTTGGTACCAGTGTAACGGAGAAAAGGAATGGGTGATGATATTGATAAAAAATAATTTTATATAAATAAGAGAGAGAAATCGTTAGCAGCTGGATTCCACATGAAACTGAAATTTCGGATTTTGAAATAAAAAAATAAATATACAATCAACAGCACAGGAAAGTCTTGATTACAGGGAACTTTACTCGAGTGACAATTGCAGGAGGCGATTGACTCTTTTTAAATATGCTTTCATTTGTGTTCCGATTTTATTAGACCAGAACAACATGCTTCGGACGTACTACAACACTTTATAGATAAACGAATTTATTAATTAAATATTTTTTGTTTCAAACCTGGTACGTGGCAGCATCCAAATTAGAAAGAGCGAGGAACAGAAGATTGTTTTGAATTGTGTACAGCCCAGAGGGCACAGCCAGCTTTAAGTTCTCCCATGGTTTACCTAAAATCTCTTCCCTTAATTGTCCCACGAAATACGACCATCGATAGTGTGATCCATGAAAAGTAATGGCTAAACATGCCAGGATCTTAAAGATTTCCGAGAATACCACTGCTGTAGAAGCAATATACATTTCTCCATGTGTTCTTGAGTAACGCATCGTAAGGACCATAGAAGATGTTTGAACAACCAGTATTCCTAGACATACGTGCTTAAGTGATAGAGATATGTTCTTTGGAAATACTGCAACGCGAAAAAAGTACAATTCGTTTGAAACCATTTAAATCTTGTTAATTTTTAGACCGTTCCCCTCAACACATTTGTGCACCCACATTCAGCACAATAACTCAAATTATAGACGTAAAAAACTCCATACAGAACTAATATAACCACAAATGGTGCTTAAATAGTTGTATGGAATGATTTCATCTGTTCATTGAAAATAACTATCGATAAAATTTGGCAATACTGAAGTGATTACCTCGAAATATCCAAAGGTATGGTTTGTCCGCCATCTTTGATTCTTGGTACAATTCCGCTGACCAGTTTTTCTGTTCGCACTCTCAAAGTTTCCAGAAAGTTTCCTTGGCAACAAAAGTTGCTGTAAAAAACGTATTTACAAAATGTAAATAAACCCAACAGCTATGGCCAAATCAAATTGCTGAAAAAAAGACTGGATATAGGAAGCAGTTTGCAATTTTACCATACAAAAAGAGAGAATTTCCATTGGAACCAGCAGTCTGCTACACAGCCGTTTTTAGAGTCGTCACGCAACGCAACGGGAGGAGCGTTGCGTGACGACACTAAAAACCAGGGCCCAGTTGTTCGAAGGCCGATTAGCGCTTAACCCTGGGTTAAATTTAACCCGAGTTTCTTTTTCTGCAAAAGCATTTTCTCGGATAATTTTCTCTCTTATTTTTAGAGCTTCCAATCATCAACCTGTAGACAAAAAGAACAAAAACTGAAATGCTTTTTAAGCTTTCAAATCTGAATTCAAATCTCGCACTAACCCTGGTTTATCTTAACCCAGTTTTGAACAACTGAGCCCAGGGCGGATATATCCGCCCTGCTAAAAACGGCTGTGTAGCAGACTAGGGAACCAGGAGAGTCTCCTTAAAATTAGCCTTACAATAAAGTTATAAAAACAGCAACAGTGCCTGTTCCGACTTATGTTGATTATTCATCTTACAGTTTTAGGTTTCTTTTCTATATTTTAATCAGAAGCTCAAAATAGAGAAAGAAAAAAAAGAAACGAAAATTAAAAGACTGAGGACTGAGAGTCTTCCTCAGTCCTCACTCGGTCTCGTTCGGCCGTTGGCACTGTTCGCAGTCCCAGTTCCTTCGTTCAACTTCTATTTGATTTACTGTGGGGTGTTTGTGTTTGGTGCAAAATGCATCCTTCTATCCCGATTTTTCTGGTTTTTGCTGCCTGTTGTTCTAATGTAGTACTTTTGGAGTTACTTGTGAGGTAAGGTGTTGAAGAAACACAAGACAGGATTTGCAGGCTTCTTTTTGAATCTTCTTAAATCCTTAACACTGATCGCGCAAATGATCTCAAGCTTGCTTGACTTGAGCTTGATTTGTAAATGTCATTTAATACATGCTCTAACCGTTAGTAGAAGGAAACAGTAAAGAACTTTCAGCTTCGAAGAAAAAGGCTGTCCATGTAAAATGTCCTTAAATATATATATTATAGATTGCCTCACTTCTTGAGGGCAAAGTTGCTGGTGTGCTCGTGACGTCACGGCGGCCACGTTGATGGTCAAGAACAAAAGCATTTCTCTCCTCCGGGAACTAAATTCCATTTTCATTTACATTTTTGAGAAAAAAATTTCTACTATATTGACCCCCAACGTGCGTATGGCCACCTTGTCACGTGGTTGCAAACCAAGAATAGTGATTATGCAATGCTAGCAAAGGCCAGGGGTGGGTCATGGGGTAAGGGATAAGACTGTGAATAAGAGGAAAGGATCATAGTACTAGGATTCCTTTGGAGTTATGCATAAATGCCAACCTCTGGAGAGCTCACATTTGGAGACTGTCTCAAGCCCTCCCCCCCCTCCCCCCCAAAAAAACAAATCATCCTAAACCCAGGAGAGGGGGGCGGGGTTGCTGTATTTGGGAGACTCCTAGATAATCCAGGAAAATTGACGTATATAAGGGTATAACAGAACTGAAACCCTAGTTTATAGAGCAATGGCAGAACTCAACAAGATCAAACATTTGCAGATGTGCCTCATTCAAATGGAAGAGCATGTATTGTCTGAATATCATCCAGAATTGGTATATAATATGCTCTTATTTCAGAGAAGACCCAAGCTGTGTGAATACTGTAACATTTTGCCAGTTTCTGTTCATTGCTGTAGAAGGATTCATATTTACTGCTCACTTTGGAACAAAAAAACCAGTTATTCCTATAAGGTAACTTAATAACAATCTTATGTAACTACAGACCAGTCTGTCTGTCTTTGCCAAAATGAAGAAATATATTTCATCTGGGGGAAACTTGTTGCATCCATGTAAGGCCAACTGACAACTGACTTATCACAAATGAAAGGTTATCAAATCCAAATGTTCTCAGATAAATAGAAATTAGTAATATAGCCAAAAAGCAACAGTCGGTAGTCATGATAATGAGTATTATGTTAATAGGATGATTTATTATTTAGAACACACTCATCTCCTTTTTTCTTCCCTTGAAGCTTACCCCTTTTCCTTTCCTGCCACTCCCATTGATGTTCTGAAATAGGTTAATTTTGATTACTATTTCATTTGATGTTTCCTCATCTCAATTGACATCAAAAATTATTAATTTTGTTCTTGTTCTCAAATGACTTTTTTGTTCCATCTCTTTCAGTAATTATGTGACAATGGTAGTCTTCTTCTTCTCAACCAGTGTGATCAACAATTATGCACTCAACTTTAATGTACCCATGCCATTACACATGATCTTTAGATCGGTTAGTGTTAGTAGGCTTATGTTTAAAATTCCCTTATATAATAATGTAACTTTTGCAAGATGTAGGTTGTTACCAACTTTAGATATTTGATAAACCTACCTAAGTTATGTAATCCCAGATTAGCCATGTAGAGTTCAGAACACTGTCAACTGTAGCACTTTACTCACATTGACCATATCATGACAACTTCTGGACAAGATGTCATTGTAAGCCCTGAGCAAAGGCAGTTTTATCAAAGTTTCTAAGCGATCCAGATGCCGAAGCATTTGCAGCTACTATTCCTGTGTTTGACTCAATAAAAAGTTAAGTTGTATTCTTTTCACTTTCGTTGCCTAACTGCAGAAGAAATTGTAAATATAAAACCAGCAGAACAACTTTTATTGCTGTGCTTTTCATTACATGACAGCATAAAATTGCTTCTTTGTTTGTTTTTTTGTAGGGCTCCTTAGTAGCCAACTTAGTTTTGGGAATGATCATCTTGAAAAGAAGGTATGTCACTAATTTGTTCATGTTTAAGGAAATCATAGACTGTGAGCAGTCAGTTATTTTCTTCAAAGTCACTGGAGCAGGGTGCGTGAGTGGTAAACAGTGAGTGCATATAGCGAAGCCACAAGCTGCGAGAGACGAGGGCATAAGCCAATTTGGGTGTAAGCCAGTTTGGCTAAAGGCATTTCTTGGCATATACGATCACTCAACTGAGAACATACTAGCAGTCTAAGGAAATCATGGCATAAAAATGTAGAATAGACACTAGATGAAAACTATAAACTAAAGTAAGAGAAATGCCTGCTCTGTTAACTTTTTTCTTCTTTTTTCAGATATTACCTGTCCAAGTATTTTTCAGTCCTTATGATCACAGCAGGAATTTGTCTATGCACAGTAGCATCAGCAAAAAAAGTGGTAAGGATGAAAATATTTACGATGTTTTATATTGTCTCACTACAAACAAAAACTGAACCTCTGATAAAGAAATGCTAGGTGGCACAAAGCAAAGTAATTAGGCTTTATGACACATTGTGCCAGCATTATTTTGTGCATAATAGCATGGCGGAAGCATAATACCAACATAAATAAATAGAATGGCACTTTCTGTTGCTTCTCCCAGCTGATAAGTGCACTTGTATTGTTACAATGGAAATACCACCAAATAGTTTGTATGAGAATAATTATCTATTAGAAAGTGTTGAATAGCATACCATAAATAGAGGATATTACATGGCCACGCAGAGATACAAAATATCTCTTTGAGTGTTGAAAAATATTTCACGAACAAGCTCAGCCAACAAGCGAAATATTTTTTCAACACGAGAAGAGAAATTTCATATCTCCAAGCGGCCATGTAATGTTCTATTTATCATATAGACACCAATGAACTACCAAACCATTTCACTTTAATAGTTTTTTGGTGTGAAAGGGGCGATTTATTATGAAGGCATAGCAACGGTGATATTTTCACATGTGAAGATATCAAGTTTTCGCACGAAAGCTCGCATGGTATTTCATTGGTGTTTTATATATGATAATTAGTTATATGGTTATCATAGTCTGAAATAACTGGAGACTGTCTAGATGCATCCAAGAATATTTTTTAAACATTTCAAAATTTATTTTGTTAATAATATTGTCAAGATATCAGCATGTTTGCTTTGATAATGCTGTGACATTCATTTTTGTCTTTAGGAGTTTAAAGCATCAACTGGTGATCCATATACTGACTATATGTGGTGGTGCATAGGTAAGCACACTGACATTCTTTTAATGGGACAATTCTAATCTTTGGATATATATATATATACAAATTCCGGAAGTGTTCTCTTTGAATTAAAAGACAAAAAATTGGTTAAGTGAATGAATTAACCAGATTGGCTGCAGCCAGTAACATACTTCATGTTATCTACCAATAAAGAGTCACTGCTGCAGTGTTGTTTTTGTTTGACCTTGTTACAGGTGTTGTACTTCTTGTACTTGCATTATTTCTTTCTGCAAGGACTGGCATCTATCAGGTAAGTATTCTCTTGTTAACCTTGAATTTACCTTAATAGGAAAATGCATTTTTCATTCATAAACAATGAATGAATCTCGTTTGTGACAACATGGTAATGGCATTTAATTGGTAGTAAGTATCGTCCCATTTTCGGTAATTTGGATTCAGGATCCGTAAAGTTTTTGCTTTCAGAATCTGGAAGACTGGGCTATAAGTAGGTTCAATGAATCCCCTTTCTCTTTCATCTATGGCTCCTCCCATAGATACTGTTGAATGCTCTGTTGCTTATGCGCAGGAATCTCATTGGATTGCCAAGAATAACCTAACATCAGTAATGCCAATAATGCATTGAGTGCAAGGGCATTGACAAACAGCCTATGGCAAGGGCGGATTTTGGGATGGGCTGAGGGGGCAGTGGCCACCCCTTTCTGAATTTTCTGGACCCGCTCCTCTATGGCATCATCGACGTTAATTTATTCCGGCACAGATTCCTTCCCATAGCATACTACTCATAGGTTTGGATCTGTTTTTCTGCGCGTTGCAGCTAAATTCACTTTCCTCCAATCTTTAACCTCAGGAACAAATGTACGCTGAACATGGCAAACATCCAAGAGAGGCTTTGTTTTATGCAGTGAGTAGAGTAGTCTTAATCGTTTACATCATACGCAGGGACATGCACTCAGCGAGTATTATGTATGTGTTTACCAGTGAAAATGTTTCTTTGTCGAAAACGCTCCTCAGAATTAAAAAAACGCAGTTTTGTACGCTGGTTGAACAAAAAATCACGAAGTCGTATCCAGTCTGTCTCTCGATACTCCACGATGTATTTTACCTTGTCAGACAGATGAAACACTTTTGTGTCGTTTTTACTTGGGCGTCTTTCAGTCGTATGGTCCGTATGAGGATAACGAGTGATTATGGATACGGTAGAAATTTTTTTATTTGGTGCGACGAGGAGAGGGCTAGAAGTGGGACAGTGGATAAAATAGAAACAAACAGGCTCACAGGCCTCACAGCCGGGTGGCAATTCTTATTTAGTGTCAAAATATTGTACCCAACCAGGTTTTGAGTTTTGTGTTAATTGTGTGTAAAAGTGGCATTTCCTCTCCTATAAAGTAACGTGATGTTTGTTGAGTCAGAGTGGCAAAGGGCTCCACATACTAATTACCATGTACTGGTGATTTTTTTTTTACAGCATGCGTTGCCGTTGCCAGGGTTTCTGCTGCTATCAAAGGATATCTATCGACATATCTTCATATTTAACGCATCTGGTGAGTCTGTCTAGAAAAGTTGTTTTCCTTTTTTATTTCAAGGGCAGGGGGATGTGGATTGATGGGTAGAGGAGAAACGTAATAATGTTAGACCAAACTTTTCCATAAGGCAAGCAAAATGATAGCATACGACGGCACGTTTTCGTAGGAAGTATGTAATAGAAGCATTCGAGACGTTCACGGTACATTCATGCAGAGGAATTGATCAACTGAATTTGCCTTTAACGTATGGGTCTTCGTAGCTCACTTAGTAGTGCAAACAACAGAGCTAACGCAGATTCCATGGGTTCGAATCTTGTTGAAGCCCCGACTTTTTTTCGGGTAAACTTTTACTTTGCTTAAATTGCTGTTGCAAATTGGACGATCATACCTTCATTTTAATTTGTATTCCGCGATGTTTCACTTCTTTCACCCGGTTAAACTGAACTCAACAACTTGACCTGCTCCCAATTCTTGGTCTTCGTAGCTCAGTTGGTAGAGCACTGCAGCGCAAACACAGAAGCTAAGGATTCGAATCCCTTTGAATCTCCGAAATTGTGTGAAAAGAAAGGTTAAAAAAAGGTTTATTTATAAGGGATTGTTTATAGTGGGAAGTGCACTTAGCTTATCCAGCTAGTTTATAGGCAGGCACTCCACTCGAATACTTAGAAGCAACTAATTCAAATACAACGTAACAGGATTTAAAACCCCAACTGGCAGGAGGCAACCAGTTGGCTAGTATTTACAAGCGTGACCGAGGATTTGAACTCAGAACGACCCGAGAGCAAATCCCGCAAGTGGCCAGAGCGGGACTCGAACCCGGGACCGCCGGATTGCGAGTCCGACGCGTTGACCACTCGGCCACGCTCCTCCTCCTTTTTCGAGTTAATTTGCAATTGCTATTTCAACTGGAAAGATTGGGATTTCAATTGAATGTGAATTTGGTGAGGAATCGAACGGATTGCTACAGTATATTGGCGAGGGAGCGAATGCCAAAAAATAGAGTTTACTTAAGGGCATGTATTCACGCAGCGTATTTTATCAATCTTTTCCAGCCCCGTTGGTTTTATTTGATATCCACTTTCTTATACCCAAGATGTGGGCCTATGTGGCTGGTAACGTGGTCACGCAATACATTTGCATTCGTAGCGTATACATACTGACTTCAGAATGCACGTCTCTGACTGTCACGCTTGTTGTCACGTTGCGCAAGTTCATGAGCTTGATGTTTTCTATTTTTTACTTTCGGAATCCATTTACGTTGTACCACTGGCTTGGTACTGTGCTTGTGTTTGGTGGTACTTTGATCTTTGTGGAACTGGCAAGCAAGATTCGAGAGGCTTTATTCCCCGAAAAGGAAACAAAGATGGACTGATGGAGTAGTCTTTCGTCTCTGTTGTGCCTTCGTTGGACAGAACAACAGCAAGAAGAAGAAAAACTAGGTGTAAACATTGTTTTAGAAGGCGAGGAACTCTGACAAAGAATGTAATGACTCCAAATCATGTAAATACGGTAATGATTTGTGATGATACGTAACCCATTCTTTATTGAGAGTTTAGTGGAGCAGACGTGTCTCTTCAGCCTTCTCTGGCCGTCGGTTTAGCTAAGTAAGATAAAGAAGATCTAACATACTCAAGATGCCCTGGTTATTAAATAGAGTTTATAATATATATATTTCGGTTCATCCTTTCCATATTGGACATCCATACCATAAACCATAACTTGTCACGGTAAATCACACAAAAGTCTGGTACTTCATTTTTCTGAAAACTTTCAACTATTTTAAATTGAAATCATGAAGTATCGCTGTATTATTTTTCAATTAAAGAAAATGGGAATAATTTCAACTACTCATGGTGTTTGATTATAATGTTAAACGACGTATCCGTCCTTCCATTTTTTGAAAGAGACGGTAAGGAGTGACTGTGAAGGGATGGTACATTGGTTATAATAAAGGTTGGGACATTTTGTTAGATACAAAATCTTAGATAAGCCAGTCAAAACGTTTTTCTTTTTCTAAACTGCAGCGCCAAACAAAAACAACGCTACCGTTACCTCATGAAAGACGAGCTAAATATGAACTAATTACGGAGACGGCCTCAATTTATTACATAGTGTTAGCGGGAAGCTTTGTTTAATTATTTTACTCACTAATTTGTCTTCAGTTTGTGCCATAATAACGCCCTCTTTTACGGCTTCAGACATCGGAGGTCTCTTATTAATTTTTTAACTTTTGTTTTGATAAAGTTCAATTGCGTTGGTTGTTATTTCATATAGATTTTACCCATTTACCCCTGAACCGCCCGAAACCGCCCTTTCGGATCCCTGTTCCTCATACCACATATGACGTCATCAAATTGAACGGTCAAGGATAACTTTGTCGTGTATATAACTTGTACAGGGTGAAGAGATCGTTCAAGCGCCATAAGGAATCGGCAGGATTCAGTCAATGAGGCAGGTGAAAAACGCACAAAAAACATGTAAAGTTAACTGACCTGAAAATTGCAATGAAAATCTTGTTCCACTACCTACCTAGCTACACGGCTTACTTTGATCTAATCCTACGATCCTAAATGCTTTCCCAAAACCCTTTCCCACCGGAATGAAGCCTAGACAATACCCAGCAAAAGAAGTGAAAAATGAGCGGCGAGAATGCGGTGTGGAAAAATCGGCCAAAAAAAAACAACGAAATTTAGCATTAAGGTACCCATTCAGGAACCTGGGGTTCCTGTTCAAGTTATACCAAGATGCTTTAATAGTTTCTTTGTTTCAGTGGAATGAATTTTCATAATTGGCCAACTGCTGTTTCGTTTTATATCTGTTTATGTGATTAATACGGCCAACCGTTTTTAAATTTGGTATTTACAATGGTATTTATTTTATGGACATTTTTTTGTTTTGCAAATTCATGAGCTGCATTGAAGTAAGTCTGAAAGGCCAAATTAAAGTTGCAAATATAATCATTGTATTTAAACATGCTGACAATGCTATGACTGAACTCAACGTTAGCATTGCAGTGTTAAAACAGGTTAGTATTATGCGTACGCTCTCATTGTTGTCCTCAACTGATAAAACTTAGTGTTTGATATGTCTACCAGGCGGTCACGGATCTTGTCAGTTTTCTGTGGTGTTCGTAATCTAATATCCACCTGCCGGCCTTGGAGGTCTTCTTCAGATTGTTAATTGTTGTTTAAATATCAAGCATTCGGTTTCAGAAACATATTTTAAAATCACCGAGCCAGCTCAAAACAAAACTGCCTACAAAATATCAATACGCCGGTCTTCAACAGGTAATTCAATTCTAACTTTTCTTTATTTTGTATATTTTGATTATTCTTTGTGAATTCGTTTTTTTTTTAACGAAAACATGTTAAGAAAACCAAAGAAAGAAAAGAAACTCGGTCGCCATTAATTGTAGTAGAGTTGTGACCAAGATAATGCAACGGACAGGAAAACCATACACCGATATTCAGTTGATATTGAAATGTCTTGTGCGAACGTTCAAATTTATCAAAGAGTTTGCTTTTGATATTCCTTCGGACCCATCCACTGTATACTTTTTGACACAGTATGGTTGTCGGAGTAGAAGGATCGCTTTAATGTGTCACAATTCTACGGTCTATTCAATTGGCTGTTACCATTGCAGAGCAAATGTGGAAGTAATTGTAGAGATAGAGTTGGCTATGAGTTTTCTCACCTTTCCACTATTTACTATCCTCGTGTAACAGACGGTTAAATATTTCACAGAAATAGGATAAAATTTTTAGCTTGATTTACTCTGAAGCTTACCAGTGAGTTGTCTCGTGCACCCAAACGCCCCACACAAAGGAAACTGCCGTTCAATGAATTAAAATAAGGATTACGAATATATGAAGTTTTACTTTAATTATTTTGCGTAGCGTTCCGTGGTCACCTTTTCAAAATTACTTAATCAGCCTTAAACAGAATTAAAAAAAAGAGTCGAGTCATGCTATAGTGGCTGGTACTTGTGCGAGGAAGGCACTAGTTTGCTGTTAGAAATTAGTTGTTGGTCTTATCTCTACCCTAATACAAATTTTCATATTCTAATGGATCATTATGAAAAACAGTGTGTATGCATTTAGGATGATAATCCAGGTTTTTTTTTACACTTTTTACAGTTGATGTTTAGAATTCGTAGAAATAATTCTGACCGTGGAAACAATTGGTTTTTTGGAGTTTCTCCAAGTTAAAACGTGAATCTTCATTCTCCGCGTAAATGGCCCTGCTACCAATTTGAATATGAAATTGTCAGAGAAAACATAAGATAATTTTCAATTGTAAGTTAAAGTACAGTTTATGTTCGTGACTCATACGTTAACAAGGTGCATCACATTAGCACCGACAGTGTAAGTAGGATTATATTAGAGATATTCCGCCACATTCTTTTTAAAAAGGGCTGATTAATAAACTGTCTCACAAATCGCATTTTATAAGTTTTAAACTATTTGGTTTTCCATCGTTGTTTAAATTTGTTAAAACACTCTTGCTCCGTAAGAATGTAAGCCTGAATAAAAACTATCTGAGATTCTGTTTCCAGTGTTTAATGGGCCGGGCTCCATTGCTAATGTTGTATGATACATAGTCAAAATTTATATATCAAGCTGCATAAAACAGCCTTAAACTCGTTGTAGCATGTAGACGAAATCTTTTACGGCAACAACCCCCAAAACCTCGAAAGCTGTAACTTGAATTTCTTTAAGAATTAGAAATCCTGGCTAGTTTTATGTGTTCATCAAAAATATTCATCAAAAATAACAAGAGAAATAAAAAAATATTAACAGGTGATGAAATTACAATTTACAGAAGAATCTAGATTGGCGCGAGGCCCCATCACTAACGCGAACGTCGGTAATGTCATATTGGTATGGGGTGAAATCATTAAAAAAAGCAGTTCTTTTTCTATCGTTCTGTTATTGTTCTATCTATGAGATAATGTTTACAAAGCGGTTAAAATGTGTTTTATGGTTATATTGTTCTCTTTAGAAAGCCATTAGGGAACGATTGTTATAACAGAGACAACTGACTGTAGTGTTTTGGGGGGGCCTCCAAGAGGAAACTGATTCACTTCATGCAAAACTTTGTGTTTATGAAGGGTTGTAATAAGCGATCGGAAATTTCAAAAGAATATTATATGCCCTTAATGACGTAACACATATATATTATTCCATCTAAAAAAGAAATCCGACACCATCGCCCTCAGATAAGCGATAAATATATTCATTGTAAGTACTTTGGAGGGTTTATTTTCCTTTTTTTACTGATACTGATGCAGATTTCCCTTGGTAAGTTCAATCAGCTTTTAGAAAAGCCAGATATCGTTGGATAAAAGATTGTCGAAAAATCTGCCTTGGAATTGGAATCCTTTTCGAAGGTATAAAAATTAATGTTCGTTTTGCGTTTTGGCGCGAGCCAGATTATTTATAGTGGTGGATGACGCTGTGACGAACGTATTTTATATAGCCCTGACGGCAATATCGTGATGACGACATTGACATATCCTACCAAGTTTTTGATCAACCTTTTACTTGTTTTCAAAGGATTTTATTTTCATTGTTAATTTTGTGCCACCTAAGCAGCAGCAAGAGACGAACTACCATAAAAACCCGCTAACGTTATCCACTTCAAATGTATGAAGGGCGTCATGTCATAGACCTCAGCTTTTAAGACGAATGTCATGTAATTTTAACGGACAATCTTAAATACTTTGTCGAACAAATTTTAAAGCCATAACAGAGGATATTTTTTAACCTAGTTTAACCGATCCTGAAAACTATAAGCGGCGTCAAGGTGATATCGATCGCATACTAAAACTTTGCAATAAAATCTTATCCGGATTTCACGCAGATAACAGAGCACCATTAAATAATCTTTAAAAGCACCTAGTCACTTCACTTGGTAGCTGTTAGACACTTATGAATATAAATGCAACGTTGTTTTAATTATTTTGGTAGGCTTCGTCTTTTAGCCATTTTCTGTCGTTACTCTTTGGATGATTATGCCAAACATTTCAGTATAAGCTTATTACCAAGCATTGCTAAAACGCGACAGTTGATCAAAATCTCTGTGCAGGTCACGTTTCTCCCAAAACCTTAAAACCTCCGGTTAATCAGTAGATATCTTTCAGACTTCCCCTTTTGCGGTTTAACTGATCACAGCTCTCAAATTACAAGACCATGTCAGCTTCTGTAGATCCGTTCTAGCTGCAAAAATAAATACTATTTATCTGGCCGGCTCAGCATTTCAACTTCTCTGATCAAAGTATGCGAAAACTCACACATCTGTTAGTACCGGTCTGTCGCCAACATTTCTACATATTTGTGGCTATGTAAAATGTATGTTATTTTGATAACTATTTTACAACAATTAGTGTTCAAAATGTTTGTTGAAAGTTATCAAAGCCATCAACTGATTTAGACGAAACAAATAAATCATCGTCTTAAAACTACAGTCCTTGCACGAAAAATGTCTTTTTTGAAGACAATTTTTTTCTTAAAATAAATGATTTTGGCATATAAACAAGGGACAGTTCGTAGTTTAATTCCAATACTGAATGACAAACTTCATTACAAACATCATGCAATGACGTCATCACATATCCTTTGTCAGTAATGAAGGTAAATGTCTCTTTCTGGCGGGGTAGAGAACATGTTATTAAATAAAAAAAACCCTAAATTACCTCAGGTCATGTTTAATGGCTAAGACATTTTTTTTAAGGATTATTTCATTTCCTTTGTGTAAATACCGAACCAGTTTCTCAAAGCCTACTGAAAGAATACGTGTTTTGGTCAATGACATTCACTTTGATGGGCGCGTAAACAGGCATAAATTGTCGTCCCTGAAGCAAACTAATTATTTCTACA